CATAAAGCTTATTCTCGATCATAACCACATCTAAAACACGTTAAAATTGTGCAGCAGCAGGATTCAAGTCAAACCATTGAGTTTGGCGGTTTTGAGACATCATCTTTCATTGAAAAAAAAACAACTTTTCCATTTTGCCGACGCGCATGGCTACGGCGACGCGCGCGCATACCAGAAACCGGAGACTTTTTTTTTGGCCTTAGTACATTCGATCTATTTTGTTTTGCCCTTTCCGGTCTTATTTCGCTGTTTACAACCAACGTATTAGAATGTGAGCGAAACAAAAACAAAAATTCACAAAACTTTCGATTTTTCGGTTATTACTCAGAATCATGACCTTCTACTAACTAGCGCAGACTTTTAACTCAACCACTTCCTGGATCGGCTGACTGATTCAAATTGAAACGCTATGTACAGGGAGTACCGCAACCAATCCCCGTTTATAGGCGCATGGTTGCATCCCATCCCATCATACATACCATTATCATGTTGCGGCCATCTTATATTTTTCCCATTCAAGTCAACGCAACTAAAGCGAGGCTGGAAGGACAAATAGGCTGCTTCCTTTTCGCACAACTAAACATTATCATTCAGTACTGTTACTGGATACAGGGAACATGACTGAAATGGTGGCAGTATGATAAAGGTCTATAGTTATTAATCTTGTAGGTTTTTTTTTCCTGGCATAGTACAGGTAGTGGGATAGGGGTAATGGTTCCGGTGGCGCCTGTCATAGTGATGCATTCGACAGGGCTGATCGCAACATCCTCCACCTTCTTCAATCTACTTGTCAGTTGTCCATTTAAATCGTGCTCAAATACAATTTCCAAGCATGTTAAAATGACTGAATATTTAAATTCATGCCTTGTATGTACGTCTAGATTGCTAGCTGTCGGCAGCTGATGTGGCATCGATCTTAAATTTGAAATTAAAAAAAAGGTTCGGAGTTGGGGAGGAGAGGGCTTTTACACCAATACATTTTTTTTGCATAGTAACCAATGAGCTAACAATGTTTCCATTCTCCCAAAATTATGCCTGGTCGTCTCTCGTTAGGAGGGGGCAGCTGTGGGCTAGCCTCCAAAGAAAATTCCGTAACCAATATTGAAAAAACATTTGCCGTCAGACGCTGTCCCTCTAGCCTTTTTGAGTGCGTTGCTGGATTCGATCGGGGGGGGGGGGGTAATAATAAGCAAGAGCACCAGCTCAAATTATGACAGCAATTGACGACAATTCTATAGTTTCTTCTCAGTAAAATGACACTCCATAAAATACATGTTAAAGGAATATAAACAAAATAAAACGTAAACAATACTGGCTCGATCCATTAGATTTTTCTTACATTAAGTTAAATGTGTACTTACCGACTGGTTGCAGAATCATACGAAAAATGTATACATGTACCGGTAAGCTCGCCTGTTCGGTAGTTTAAAAACTTGAACATGTCACAGCCAACACGGTTTGGGTTAACTATCCAGCATGCATCGGCAAACTTGGACACTACGCATGCGTGTGTTCAGGGCTTAATGAATATGTATAATGATATCTTTTGTTAAAGCAAATATCCCTAAATGTATAATCGATATGTTAATTCCGTATCGTTCAATGAGCGGTTTCAGTCAGCAAATTGCGTGTCATACTACGGAAGCGTATTGCTGCCAACCAAAAAAACCCAAAAAACAACAACAACAACCTAGAAAAGCTTAGTATCTTGTTAAAACGACTTACTATCTCGTTTAAACGTAATATTTAGGTTTTGATATTGTTTACTTACCACATTTTAAGGGTTTGGATAACAGGATATTATCAGGATGTCTTTTATTTAGGGAGAAATTGTTGAAAACCAAAATTATTTGCAAAATTTCGTGAGAATTTGTTTCAGAAACAAAACACGGCATGTTCCAGACGAAATGGCTCCTTGTCTATCATATACACTCGTATCTAATCTCACAAAATACATGTCAGCATGCTTCCAATTCGTCTTGAAACTAACATTTTGGAGGCTGAATCAGTACTGAAATACTCAATTTTTATCATCTATAAATTATACTCATATTATCTCTGAAAATAAGAAGCTCCTTCAGTTCTGTACAAGCCTTAAATGCCTCCATTTTTTGTTTATGTGGAAAAGGGTCTCAACAACACCAACATCCCCCCCCCCCCCGTCAAGAAAAACATGTTTTAAAAATCTTGTTCGCAAACAGCGTTCGTGCGCAGGTTCGTGATTTTCGAAAGTTCCGTTCAAAAATTTCGAAACTTTCCGTTTGCGTCAATTTCACATGTCAAGTAAGCCTGAACGTTCTTTGTATTTACTTTACAACTTGAAGGGAGACGATGTCATGGAATATGCACATTTTGAAAGCATTTTTTTTTAAATTTTGAGGAATTCAAAACAACTGCACAAAGGATACAAAAGGGGAACCGAAACTTGATGCTGGATGACAAGTCAGCTTGAAATGCTGGACAAAAAGTACCGATATCGACAGCTTTAGTAAACACTCTTTTGTGATCTGTCCCCTAGTCGGCAAAATGTTGAGCTTGGTAATCAGGGACGTTAGTTCCCCCCCCCCCCCACAAAAACAAATCACATTTGGAGGCTGAATCAGAACTGTTCCATGACATCGTCTCCCTTCAAGTTATAGTTCTATTAACCCTCCGAGCAGCGAAGCGGTTATAAAATTCTCCACATTTTCTAAATATGGGCATAATCCTTTTTTCAATGGGCCAATTAGGCCAAGCTTCCATCTAATCCTCACCCCTACTATACACCACAAGCCTGTAGACTCCCACTGGCCAGACCCTAGCCACTCCGGAGTAAGGAGTGTTGAAAGACAGAAGCCAAGATGGCGGCTCATGCCTTTGTGCAGTAATTTGAGAAAATGGTGGCCAAACCGCCGATCTCTTTGTGTCAACCCCTCGTGCCGCCCATAGCTCAGAGAGGTTGTAAACAATCCCTGACGATGTGAATGACCTATATCTTGTGCATGTACAGGCATGCGGGGGTTATTGACCTAGAAACACATGTGGCGATAAAATTCTCCACGTGGCCACTCCGTGTGATTTTTTTTTGCTAAGTTGCTCGCAGGGTTAATCGAGAATAAGTATTAATACCCTTATTAGAATATTATTCAGATTTGATAAGGGAGCGGTACTGCTCACGAAATTCGCGTCACCTGAACTATTTCGGACTTAAGCTATTATTGCACCGGGTGTTAAACGCTTGCCCATTAGGGTTAGGGTTATAAGGTTTGTGTTCGGGTTAAAAGCTATACGTGCTGGTACGGGCTATGAGAATTGAGAGGAAATTTCGTACATTCCACAGTCGCGCTGACATAGTTGACGTTTGAAACAGGAGTGACGAACACGCGCAAGATGTTGAAACCAAAAGAGTTACCGAATGGTCGTGATTTTCGATGTGGCTCTAGTCAGCAGAAAATTAAATGCTTGAATTTGCCCTGTCTGAATCTGAGGTCTTTTACGATCGTTTTGATTCACTTCTGATATTTGTTGGCTTGGCGTGAGTCTGGATAGCTACATGATTGCAAATTTGTTTTAAAATCATGATCGTGACCTTGATCGGCAGCAGCTCTTTTGACCCAACCGTCTATTTCGGCAGCGACCGGAAACCTGAAATAATGTGGCCAATACTTTCGGTATGAATAAATATATCTTTGTTTGGAAAAGTTATTTTCTTCTCACCATGGCCTGAATCATTTGGAATTGCATACTGAGGTTTCAAATGTATTGTGAAGTAAAAAGGAGGGGCGTTCTAGGGGGGGGGGTGGCAGCTTACGCGACAAATAATGGGAGGCACGCATAAAATGTGGAACACCTTTTGTTGAAATGTAGTTATGTGGTTAATCTTGTGACGAAAGGATCGAAGTGTCAAAAATTCACAATATTCACACCCGTTCAGTGCACACTGAAGTTATTGGGACGAACAACACAGGCACCATTCATCTCCAAATTCCTCTCAATTGTTAGAATTTATTTCTGTTTTGTTTTTGGCGGTTTTTTTCGGTATATTTCACCCATAGAGTCATATGATTTAACACACAATTGCAGGGTGGGGGCGCTATCGCAAGCGGACCATTGTGGCCATATAAAATATATATCGCAATTATGCGTGGTTGCGTCAGAATATTAAGCTGCAGGTTATGGCTTGCTACTATACACACGTACCAACAGACACAGAGCCACTTCCCCACATACATGTGTGTCTTGCCGGCGGTAGGTAGCCAAATAATTCGGAAGTGGCTAGGACATAACCTATGTGGTAGTCGAAAGAGGGCGCTTCGTCAGTGCACGGCAGCAAAGGTCCCATGTGGGAACGTATATGTGTACGTGAACTATATACACCCCGAGGACAGACAGACAGACAAAGGGAGAACAACAGATTCTTTGTTGTCCTCGAGAGTTCATCTTTTGTTGAAATCGGTCCTCGGTCGTGCGTTTGTGTGCTTAGTCTATGGGAGAGTGTTATATTACAGGGACAAAGGAAAAGACAAAGCATTGTCCTCGAGAGTATAGTAAAACACGACTGTGTGCGCTGACTGTGGTTCCCCAATATAAGGCGGAAGCATTTTGTCTGCCATTTCACAAACGATCGTCCAACGGCAGCGTAGTAGCTGGCACTATGCTTCCGCCACTACGGGGTTAGTCAAGTTCCAAGAGTGCCTTGGGTTTTTGAATCCCTTAAAACAGCCCGTCCATTGCGTGCATGGGCAAGATAGAGGGCGCTATCAACAAGAAGAATCGAATCCAGTCTCGGGAACTTGGGGGTGCACCCCACTAAAAAAAAAAGTTCCCTAAGTTCCACCAGTGATAAATGCCCATACTTCAAAATTCTTCTAAAAATACTCAGAACTCTCACAGGTGTTCAGGCTGCACAGAAAAAAATAATGCTCAACATGTCATCTTTCATTTTCTTTTCAATATATTTCGTCTATCAACAGTGCAAATCGGCACACACAAAATAAGTAGCACAAAGTAAACTTTATTCATTCAGTAGATCATCATTTTATTCACACATGCATACAAATCTGCCCTAGCTTGAGAGAGCATTTACTCATTCGAACTTTCTACCGACACAGCCAGGCAAAGAAACTGGGATTTGTTTGCCCGGAAGACGATATTCTCTATGTGAAATTTCCTCTCAAAAGATGAGGTTGGTGTTTATTTTTGGAATGTAATATGGATATCGCCGAAGTTCTGATTTATGTTGACCCCACAAACAAAAGCTTTAGTCTCCAATCTTCAAGCCTGCAATGCGGAAACCATTACGATACACCACACCGGAAGATCCTTGCAAAAGTATTCACATGACACTCGTATCCGTCGTGCGCCTGCGCAGCACCGTGGGGAACACGGAAGGGTGTTTCTGAAACCCCGGGTGTGTCTCCAGCTCAGCTTCATCTCTGGATCCCAAATTATTGTGTTATCAAATTATTGAAGGTTATCATCAGGTTTGCTTTCTAATTTAATCCAAAGTTTTCAAAGAACTTATGAAAGCTCTCGGATGCTGTAGCATTGCAGTAAATATACATTATGAATATCAGATCATTTTTATATGCTATTTACAAGCAGTCAAGACTTCATAGTATATACCTCAGTCTTGACTAAAAACGTCATGTAACCAAAAACAATTCACACAAAAACCCCGCAATTTCTAAGTATATGATCTGTTTGTCTTATATCAAAACTACGTGCTCTACTAAGAAACTGAATGAACGCCATTTTGGTATTCCAACTGCGCGTTCGTACATCACAATCTGGCAGTCCTGATGAAAATAGATCGCCACAAGCGTGCATGATCGTCTTGGAAATACGGAAATGAAAAAAGTTCTGGTTCTGAATCAAGTGTACAGTAATTTTGAAAACTATTGTGGACGGTGTGCAATGTTTTACTGGTTTATTTAATGATCCATCCACGTACGAACAACTTTTCAATCTTCTTGTTTGCGTGTGAGCGTTGCGGATTGCAGAAACAGCATGTTTAGACTTGTGTGCATAATTACTTTGCTTATCCCAGAATCACGTTTTCAGGTCAGATCTTTATGATAGGTCAAATTAGGTCAAATGCTAATTTGAGTTAACTTATTATTAGGCTAAATCCTTATGTGTACTTTAACATTTGGAATACCAAACTACGAATAGCGGGTCTGACCCTTTATTAAGGCTATCAAACGTATGATGGAACGAGACAAATAGGCGGCTCTGATCCAAGTTAGTTCCCTTGGATGAGTTGATTGAGCCGCTATAAGGGCGCCCTCTGTAATCTCGCAATCACCTCAAGACCTAAATAATCATCTCAGCGTCTACATGTACATGCCTGCCCCCACTGACCACTATACTAACTAGTAACTGGACTGAAATCTATACGCTGATTGGCCTATTTCCACCCCCCCCCCCCCCCCACCAACTTCCAAACACGTGCTCCAAAGCCGCAGCAGGCTTGGAAAGAAAACCTATACGTCATGGGGGAACAAAGATGGCGGACAGTTGCTTCACGGTACAGGCGCATTGTCAACCAGACCGGTCAGTATAGAGGTCAGTAGCCGACACACTATCATGCGGGGATAATACTAGTTTAAAGAGTTTATAGTGTAAACAGCATTGCCATGAAGATAACGGCAACGGTAGTGATGATGTTGACGGTCACCGATCCAGCTGCGTTGCACAGCTCCCCACTGCAGCAGCAGATTGTAGCAGACGAGCCGCCAAAACTGCCGGAGGAACAAGCACCTTGCTCGGGACAGCCAGCACTCGCGTAACAAGCCCTTGCCACCAGATTCAGATCACCACTGGATGCAGTGGTTTTCTGTGTGAAATAAAACAATAAGTTTTGTTCAGCCAATATTTCCCAGTATAAACACTACCACAATACACGTACTTAAACGCAGATGAAATCAACGTGCAGTGAGCGAGTATACGTATACGTTACTGCAACCGACCCCTGCAAGTTCGGCGGTCGGTGGTGAGACGTCTGCACTAGTATGAGAAATATGCGATGCTTATCCAACTTACGTCGCCGATGAAGGGCAAAACTGAAACCAATTTAATTATGATAGGAGGGATTTTAACTAGATACTCTCGTCTTTCTGCGTCTTCAAAGTAAACCATGGACACATGAACCTGTCTTAAAATATTGATTTGTTTGAGTTACTCCCAACTTTAAGAGCTATACACTCACAGCGCACACGTCTAGGCCAGTCGGGCAGGTAGTTTTCAAGACGTTAGTATCGGTGGTGGCCGCGTTGAACGGATCACCGCAGGCATTGGTGTCAGTAGGAGCACCACTCCCTGACGTACAGGTGTAACACTGGAGACCCAGGATACCAGCTGTGGTCCATAATGAGAAGACAAATACGAAGAACTCCCATTACATTTTCAAAACGAAATGGCTTTATTCATTACAAGCTGATTTATCCGATCATATAGATCGGGTAAGGCATAGGGCGTATTTGTGTTGGGGTTGAAAATGTGCGGAGTCATGTAAATGGGGGATTTAGTTGAGAAGACATGAAGTTAAATAGAAATGAGGCCGACTTCGAAAACCTCCCAAGGGCGTACACGTACTATGTTATCGACCAGTGTAACATTTAAAATGTCAACAAAGATAGTCAAAACACTGATTGTTTTTTTTCTTTCTGGTTCATAGGACACAGTGGGAATATTGCAGTCGTTCGAGGAAACACACGTTGATTGTTTAAGCTTTCCATTACATTTACTTTGTCTGGTTTTATTGTTTGGATTTATTAGAAGTTGCACTCAGATAACCCCTAAATAATACCATGTCAATTTTTCGGACCCACTGAAAATCTGCACTTTTCAGAAATCTGAGTGTATTTTTTAAAACCATTTGAGTACTTTTTGTAACCATCTTCTTGCGTTCATTCTTAGGCTGGCATCAGTTCAGGGTCAAAACTTTGAGTTAGATTTTCCATTGAGGGTGGTTTTTTTTTTTGGGGGGGGAGGTCGTTTGTTTAGGTTTACTGTATAAAAGAGTTGTCATGTTCGCTCGTATACCAACTGCCCTATCCAAGGGCGCCTCTGATCACTAATCAATTTCTCAAACCCTTCTGAGTGAAACAATATTCTAAAAGTGCATCTCCCATGATCAATGCTCATTATATGCGCACGTGTAAGCGCGCAGCGGAAGTGTTCACCCAGAGTCTGTGCCTCTGTGGGTCAACTGCATCCGTCCCAAAACAAAGATGGATACTAGGAGATGGATACCAGCGAAATGGTCAGTTTACTTGTTCAACTAACTGAAATCAGTGTCACCCATGCATGTTCTTGAGCTTTAAGAATGTACAAATTGAAATGAATAAGACATTTACCGATGGAGGTCAGAAAGATGGCGGCTGTGAGAAGCTTCATGGTGGATCACAGGTAGACTTGCACACGGCTAGACACAGCAGTAAACCTGCATGGTACCAACGAGCATGAATATGGTAGAGCCGTATAGTCAGAGCCATTTTGTTAATGATGTAAAACTCTGGTGATTACCATATATACTCTTAGCACACTGGAACGTCAATGCCCCCATAATATGAATTTTACTTGGGAACATATTTTGTGCAACTTTTTACTCTTCTTAAATGTATGAAATCAACGCGACATCTTTTTTTGTCAATCTTATTGAAAAGTGCACTTCTTTAAACATTTGAATTAATGTCCATGCTTTTCCGGACAAATCAGGGCGCTGTTGCTGTGACGTCATTTCAGGAAGACACTGTCAATTGGTGAACCCATAATGTGCTCCTTAAAAACATTTTGTGAGAGTACTTTGCTTATTGGCCTACTGTCATTCACTGAAACAACAACGAATCACCACAGAAAAGAAAATTAACGAAAGCAATAAGTCCAAAATTTTGGCAAATTGTTGCGCTGAAATAGCTGTAAACATTGTGTTTTCTGCCCGAAATGTCATCACACTTTTGCTCAAAGGCAAATTCGCATGAGCAAAAAAAAACCACCAAAAAATGCACCAAAATGCTCTTAAAAATGGCAAAAAGAAATGGAAAGGAAAGTAAAATGGGACACAAAGGTGCATTCGCAAGAACTGCATTAAAAGCATTACATTACGTGGACCCTTTTAAGGGTTCATAAGATGACCTTTTTTTTCTTAGGAACACATTTCGTGTAAGTCTTTACTCCTCTTAAATGAATGAAAACTATTTGACATTCCTTTTTGGTTAATTTTATTGAAAAGTGCACTTGTCTTTAAAAAAAATAAAAATCTGAACTTTTCCGGACAATTGAGGATGCTAATGTTGTGACGAACACTGTTCACATTGCCGTGGGGGTAAAAAGTATTGCATTGCCCTTTCAATTTGGCTGCCTAGACCAAAAATGGTGTAACCTCTTTGAAATTAAAAAAAAAGAAGAAAAAAAAAGCAGGAACTAAAAAAAAAGTTGACCATGAAAAAGAATCCTGCTGGGTTATTTGAGCTTCCTTGGTCTGCCCGAACCGGACCTCTTGCATCTACTTCCTTCTTGGTGGAACGTTAGGAAACGCGACAGTGGTTTCAGGAAGCACATACAGTAGCCTTTACTTTTGGCCTTGGGGACCACAGCTGGTAGAGACATATGCGCATTTACTTACAGTTTTTAAAGCAGTCTTACTTTGACCCGGACCCGAAAGCTATCACGAGTTAGGTAAAAAGAAAAATGAAGGCACCATGGGGTAACACATTTCCTGCCTTCAATTTTTTTTTTGGTCATTAACCTTGATCGCACAACCCCTGGTTCGTCGTGTGCTTCTTCCTTGCAGTATTCCTTGAGAGAGGACGGCACTAATATTAAAGGTCATGACATAAATTTTACACTGACATGTATTTGGTGCGAATATCCATTCTTTGGTCTGGAAATGTATGAAAATAAAAAAAGAACTTCGGTTTAATTTGTTTTAAAGTTTACTTCTTCCTGACAAATGAGGGAGCTGTTGCTGTGATGTCAATTTAGGCACGCACTCTTTTAGTATACAAATGCACCCAAAATGTAGCTTATTAAAACATTTTCTATTGAAAGTTTGCTAAACAAATCATCATCTACTGAATCAACGGTAAAACACCACAAAGGCTGACCGTGGCGAAAGCCCAAATGCTGGCAACTGCTGATAAGCTGTTGGAATGTGGTAACATTGATGAACTTATAAAAAACATTTAGTTTTCAATGTTTGCTTAACAATTTAAAGTCTATCCTTTACCGAAACAACATTGACACACCACAAACAGAAAGTTGACCGCGGCAAAAAAAACCCAAATGCCGGCAACTTTTAAATGCTGAAATAGTTGTTAAGAATAAAGCATCTGCCTTGAATGACAAGATGAAAATTGAACTGTGTAAAATGAAACACACAAGGCTGCATTCTATCAGGCCTACATGGGCCCTTTAAAGTGTTTTGTACGCGCCTCTTGCGAAATAGCGGAAAGCAAAATTGTTGACCAATCGCGCGGCATCTGTGAGTGACGTGGCGGGTCGTGGAAAATCACCACATCACATAGAACCAAAAGCAACTCATATTGCAATCATTATCGTCACTTTTTTTTGGCACACTTTCTGAGGCTGAAAACCGCGACTGATCTGCTGCACAACAACGGCCCTTTTCTAATACGAAACACATGTGAGGTTTCAGATTTCTCGCGAATGTGCTAAATGTCACGCGGAAAGGATCGGGGATTAGAAATCACAGTTACTCCATTGCCTTGTATACAGTGCAGGTAACCAAATTAATTTTTAAAAAAACTTGTCTCAAACCATGTTTTTTTTTCAGCATGACTTTAAAAAGGTGTAAAGGCTAAACGAAATCAGAAACTTGAAGCTCTTGTCGTGATATTGCTTTCAAAATTACTGTCCATGCTTATTTTGAGCTTCAACCAAAAAAGAAACTTGTATTGCTATTTTTCTAACAAAAAGTCGGCCCACGTCTAGTTATGGACAAAATATTGGACACATTTCAAATGGTTTGCTGCCCAACGATTCTCACATCAGTTCTCGCGGAGCAAAGTGGCTCACGCCACTCTTTCACAATCGATTACAATGTAATCCACTCTCTTAGTGGATCTCTTTTTTTGCGCAAAAGCAACCCTCCAAAAAAGTGGGGATTTTTCCGAGGTTTTCAGACGATCAAAACGGTTAAGGATTGTTTTCGTTGAAATAAAACACTCAAAGGCCATTTTCTTTTCAGGAGGAAAAAAAAATCGTATTTGTTGTAGGGCACGGATGACTTCTGTTAATATCTGCCACAATAACATTTGAAAGACAAGCGACCTTATGAAGGGCCCACTACACTAGGTGGAAGAAGTTAAATTGAGGCGATGAGAATTTTTGAGACTGATCAGGAAGAAGTCATTTTTAAAGATTCTATTTAGGGACTTTTTTCCGAAAGTAAACTGATACATTCAGTCCCCACTAGCGCTGCCGCGGTGTCCCGTTTTGAGAATATGATGACTTGAAAGATATTCCTTCACATGTACATTTACATCACTATCGAGAGCTAGCGGACCCGGGGCAGAGCCTGGCAGTGAGCGTGCGGTGCGAAGCTTGTGCCCAATTAGGTTGTATATATAGGGAAGAAATTGGGAGAAATACAAGCACTTGTCTGGTGATGAGTTTCAATTAATGTTTGCTGTGGGACATTATTTCAAATTTGTCCCGTTCGATTACTTGACTTCCTAATCTAACTTGACAACCAACATCTAGCTTCTTACAAAACGAGAACATTTCATAGCAACACAAGTTTCAGGGTGTCTAAAATGGCAAGAAATAACCCGTCAAGACAATAAAATTCGTCAGTGACAAGAGAAAACTTTAAAATCAGGATGATAAGTAAAATCCCTGTCATTTTAGACACCATTGTATTACATCTGGTCAGCATTGAAATTGTTCTTTTGTTTTTCGGATAAAAAAAGCCTATTGCCTACCTTTTGATGTTGATAAGTCTAAGGCACCACCCGTCTCCTCTTGCTTCGTCGGTGGAAATGAAGCGAAGGCTCTGCCGCACCCACTGCCGCCGATTGCCGGCATCTGATTGGTGCATTGGGTACGATGGATCGTAAATAATCACAGACAACGGAAGTGACATGTCGGTAGTCAGTCGCAGACAATCGGTACAGTTGGCTAACTTCTTGCAGTGGTATGTGAGACATGCGGAAGTATAGTTGCGAAGGTTGGTGGTGAATGGTCTTGGATGTCTTGCATAGTCATCTGGAAAGTTTTAGTGACGTCATAACGATCACGTGCTGTATATAGCTTTGGTACACCAGCTCATGTTATAGAAGTAAAGTTCAAGGTGACCATTTGCCTATTGAGATAATGGCAGACACAATATGAGGGCGCTGTTTGATTTAGGCCCACTTGTCATATATGGCCAAGTTCGGGCAAGGACCATTAGTCGACTAGTGGTTGATTTGTGACGTACCAAACTCTGTCTAGTCGACGGTGGTTGACTACGCTAGTCGACTATTTGGAACCAGCCTACTGGGGTTGGTTGGGTCGCTGGTAACCAATAGCCGCGCGCATTCATAACGCTAGCAGAGAGCCAGGATCCAGAAGTTTTGCGATGACATTTTGACCAGCGTTTGACTAGAGACGTTCGCACGTTGCTATCAGTGCGCAGGCGTAAGGTACGTCACAAATCAACCACTAGTCGACTAATGGTCCTTGCCCGAACATGGCCCTTTCTGTCAATGAGCAATTAATTTGTATCTGTCGGTAAAATGCCGCAACAAATAGCGCCACCTATTGTCTGATAGTGTACAAGATCGTCCGCTTCGAATAGCGTCCCCATAATGTTAGTTGGTTGTCCATTAATTCCTTCCTGCTCCCAAATTAATTCAGCGGTGGCCGGGTGACCTGAGGAAAAGTCCTGTCCAACTAAACTTCCGGCACGCGGTGGTCTTCCGGAAAATGTGTATGGTGACCCTCGTGAACTTTATTCCCCGTGCAATAAGATTGGGTCGTTATATCCTTGCTTTCTAGTCCAAACACAGTCTTAAAATGTGCAATAGGGAAGGGCAGTATAACAGTAATGCAGTTAAGTCTTTCAAGTCGCATTAGCAGGAAAATGTTGATCAAACAGTTTTCTTCACTCGTAAAATAGATCTTCATTATTTTTATTCACGCGTGTAAGCGTCTAAAACGAGTTGACAGCAATTTGACTTTCGTCCCCAGGGGTTATTATATTTATAACCTCGTTTCCAGTAGTAACCCCTGGGTGGGAATCTTGCTTCCGGTCTCCTGATTCGATACAGCAATATTAATGGATTTGTATCCTACACTTGGTATTTGCATTTCCAACGTGCATTACGTATTTTAACGTTCAGTGTGAATTATTACGTCCACAGAGCCTTAAAAACACCCTTTAATATATAATGTGATACTGTATATTGGCTGAATGAATATTATAACTTTTAAGTTGGCTGAGAAAATCGTGGTTTGGGATATCTCACGCGCGCCGCGCGCGACGAATTGACTGTGTTTTTACCACAGACACGCAGTTTTAAAGCAAGCCATGCACCAGACTATCCTGCTATTCTTGCACATAAGTGCACGTGTGCAAGATTTGTCAATGTGCAAGTGGTGATCCAATATACTAGGGTGAGAGAGCAGGCAGTGCTGGGATCGTGCGGCTCAACATCATGGGAACGAGGTTGCCTCTTCCCCGATTCCCCCCACAGACATTATGTCTGTGATTCCCCTGTAAAAGGGCGTCCTCAAGAGCATTTTATACCTTATCCCATACAAGAATTTTAATGGACGTCTTATATTCACAGTAAACGAGGAACTTATGTCATTGCCAGTGACTTGGCATCGGTATCCCGAGAGCGTGCGGAAGTCCAAATGGTTCCGGAGATTTAAAACAAAAAAATTAATGACATTAATACTTGAAACCAAAGATTTAAATATTAAATTAGCAGTAAAATTACCGTAATTAAAGATGCGATTCGATATCTTGAATTCCTTTGTCTCCCATGGCAGTTAACTACTAATGGACATTTCAAAAAATGCGTTTTAGACGCACTGTTGAAAATTTCTTTCCTTCATTGTTTTCTTCAACATGACAGCACGCCAGAACTAGGCCCAATTGGGTCTACTATCTTCAAACAAAGTGTGCTCTTCGACAATAAGTTCGTCAGTTACTGTTTGGATAGTTGGAAATTATGGACTGTATAGCTTTAAACCAAGTAGAGCTTTTCAAAAAAAAATTTGTCAGTTACCCTTTGGATAGCTGCAAATGATATATTCTACCTTTAAAAATGTGGAGTATAAACTAAGAGGGATTGTAACAGTTGAGAGTTGAAGACACTCTACATTTTTTTATTCGGTCTTGTAAATCATCAGTATTTTTAAGAAAAGAATATTTTTAGTTAAATTCAGTCACACTTAATGTCCCGTAGTCATACAGCTCTTGAGGCATCAGCATCAGCATTCCGTTTAAAACAAGAAATAAGGGAAAGGCAAAACAGTTGTATTTGTTACAAACAATAAGGCTGAGAAGTGTACACAAATATTTGCTTTGAAAGAATAAATATGATCTCATCCATTACAAATTTGGTGTAATTACAATTCGTTAGAGTGGCGTGAATTGCGCGGTTTTTTTCATTAACAAAATGTTTCAAAGGTCCTGGCAGAGGGCGCCCTAGGAGATCTTGACAAACATGGCGGCCTCTCTTTTGAATGTCGCAGGCTCAGCTGTGCACACATGATATAATTCGAGTTGACGTCACCTTGGTCATTGTATAGTCTCCTCCTTCACCACCAGTAGCAACATCTGTAAAATATGCGTGACTCTCCCTAGTTCCAACGAAAAAAAATCAGAGAAAAGTATTGAGATTTCCATATTTGCTTGCAAATAACCCATATATTTAAAAAGGAGAACAGCCGTTTACATTGTTCTGTGTCTTTACAATGCTGCCTTACACATTGTGTTATTGGCCTGCTCCACCAGCATGAATATTTAAATATATCTGACCTCTAAGTCACAGGTCACCGTGAATCGATCAAAGGCTGGCTGGTACTACGATACTAATCCGCCTTGAGATATTGAGGCTGTTTTCAAACTACCTATAAATGCGACAACTAAAACAACTTGCGATCGTAGTCTGCTGATATGGAGAACAATTTATCCTTGGATATTAATTTTAATCATTGATGCCGTAGTTAACAAGGCAAAGAAAGCATTGCTTACCTTCAAATCTGGTCAACCACTTGGGCAGACGTTTCGGATAGATAAACAGGAAATAGGCGGGAATCCCTGTTAGGGTGATACCAACGCCAATTGCCGTGTCTATGGGAGAGTCAATGGTTCCCATGACGACCAGGAAGATGGCGGCAAGCACGAAGAGAATTGGAATGACAATGTTAACCTTCAGGAGTAAAATGAGAGCAAGAATAATTGTCGTCAAAGAAAGTTGTTTAATCTATTCGTTACAATTCAGTTTCCTTTTTCAAGCGTAACTCTAAGCATGCTCTAAAACTGATGTTTGTTTTTTTCGACCACACACTCAAATTACATACCCACAAACATTGCAACACTATATTAGCTTACAGACATGCCGAATGAATGTTTTAATAGTCAGTGCACTTTGACAAAAGGTAGCCTATTTAATTCAATGCCCATTTCACCTTGTAAGGGCGAGGTCGGTCTGGTTCCCGCCACCGCTTCCACACCATGCCGGCCACGGTGGCGCCGATAGATGTCCACGCCACGTAGCTGAAGAAATTGATCAACGTGTAGATGTCGTTGGAAAACGTATAGCAAACAGACAGCGCTATCTGTAGAAAGAAATAATGATCGTTATATGAACATTATGTTGACTTGTGCGACGTGTATATCTGTCAAAAGGTCATCTTAGATGTTACCTAAACTGAAGCGAAATATTAACATCATGGGACTGCATTCGTCCCTATATAGCATCTCATTAAGATATATTTAATATAAATCAACACCACAGTTATTATTTTTCCCGGACGATCCCAATGACCCCAGCCTCGACTCCATGGCCGCGTGCGCGTTGAGATCGCGCAAGGCATGATAGGAAACAACATGGCGCAGCAAGATCTCGTACCCATGGGACAGAGGCTGCAAAGACCCCTGTGCGAATGGGGGCACGCTACCCAAGCAACAAGGGCAAGCATATTGTGTCCCGGTTTTCCATTCTTGTTCTTAACCTGAAAGAGGGCAGGAACCAATTCTGGACTGCACATACATCGCTGGACGTTGCCTTTCAATGGCAAGGATATAGACCATTATCATGTTGCGGCCATCTTGATTTTTTTCCATTCAAATCAACGTAACCAAAGCGAGGCTGGAAGGAAAAATAGTCTGGATCCTTTTTGCACAAAAACCATTATCTCTCAGTACTGTTATTTGGATACAGGGAACATGACTGAAAAGGTGGCAGCATGATCAAGGTCTATTTTTCTCTGCTGCGCAGATAGTTTGGCACAGAAATACAAGCAGTCGTAATTTTTTTCTCGAGTCATAAAAAAGTCGTGACAGAGTAACGTTGTGCTTTGAGTGACTGATTTATTTGGTATTTGAGTTTTAGAACAAGAGGAAAGGCAAATATAATACCCACAATGACAACGATGGACGGCAGTGGCGAGAGAAACTTGATGTGAATCATGGACAAAATTGAAGGAAAGTGTCTCTCTCGTGCTCCAACAAACAGCATCCTGAGGTAAGGGTCAAAAAGCAAAACAGGCCTATAAACCTTTCTTTGCCAAACACGGGCTATGGAAGGCAAATGACGCAAAGGAAGAATACTTGTTATTTTATAAACATCATCCTTGCCTTGTTGAGAAACAAAAGCATAATAACCATCAAACGCTACCAAAGACTTTCTACAAAAAAGTAATTCCTTTTTCTTAATAATGAGCGTGCTACTATACATTTTAGGGCAAACTTTGTTGCTAACCAACTAGGCTTAAATTTATGCCCTTGTAGCAGGCCATACAAAATGGCGCTCAAAGTTTAAAACTGGAAGATAAGAACGGTCTATAAAGCATAAGCTTGTAGTAGTATCTGCAACGCAGCAAGTGTTTGCGATTATGATTTAGCTGGAGAACGACAGCGAAGCTTCCAGAAAATTCATTAAGCTCTACATCTGTTTGTGGTCTGTTGGATTGTTTGTCTGTTTGTTTAGTTTAAACAAATCTATTCCGAAATTGTTGCCAGTTTTCAATGATTTTTATGTCAACCTTGCATTACAGAATGAAGCACGCCATGTGAGAAGCAACTTGAAAAGACAAAACATACCTCGAGCAGACGATAATGTTCCCGTTGATAGAGCCAAAAGTTGAGAGTGCCACAAAAATCGGCATGGCCAACGCGAATCGGCCCAACAGCTTATCCCCGAATGTCTAAAATGAAGTAAAAAAGAAATACGGACTAATAAATAATCTCTGACAATCACATCTTTAGCAGTATCACGAAGGGACAGAGAGCCTAGGGAGAAAAGGGCTTGGCTTTGTACAGGGTGAGTAAAAAAACCGAAACCCAAATGTCGGGACTATTGTTTTATTGAAGTTCTACATGTAGCACTTTCAAATTCTAGAATATAAAAGCCTAACTCATAAGCTTTCTTTTAGTACACGAATCATTCAAATCACTCATGTACTTTTCAAGTTACGGAATTTTAAACACAACCACCGTTTTAAGGTTCTGTCCACGGATCATAAAAAAGTGTGCGTTCTTTCAGCAAAACGAAAACAATTCACACACATCCCTGAACTGTTTTGTGATCCGTGGATGACAGAACCTTAAAACGGTGGTTGTGTTTAAAATTCTGTAACTTGAAAAGTACACAAGTGATTCGAATGATTTTTGTACTAAAAGAAAGCTTATGAATTGGGTTTTTATATCGTATATTTTGAAAGTGCTACATGCAGAACTTCACTAAAACAATGGTCTCAACATTTGGGTTTCGGTGGTTTTTTTTTACTCACCCTGTATGTAGTAATATCATGCAGTTATTTCTATATGAAACCTCTACAAACTGGTACACTCGGCCACCATGCCGTACAACAATATCGTGGTGAAAGTGTCCCATTGGTTAAAGAACGAAGGGGGAGTTTATCTTCTGATTAATGAAAATCATAACTTTAAGACTTAATATTCAGCGCACTGGGATGTTGTCCGTCGCCCGGGCCGTTCAAGGTGTGTTAAAGACCTCTCCGACAGACCCAACAATGAATCATTGACCGTTAACTCGTCGGCGGAATCCATTCACCGTCGGCTTACCACTGCAACGGTGTTCGAGGCCAGAAGCTCCGCCGGCGTCATTGCTGTGAAGTACGCCACGTTGGTGAACACATACAGCATCGTGACGGTCGTCACGCTGATGAAGATCGCCCGCGGAAGGTTTCTGAAAAACAAAAAATCACGTGGACCACAAAGTTAATTGTGTTCGACCCACACTCTCTTTAAAGATCGGTGAATTTAACTGACGTTTCGCCCTGTTTAGCCAAATTGGGATTTCAAGAATTGTAAATGTGACGTTTTTGTTCCAAGTTTACAGATGTGATTTACTCTGTATTGGCATTGCTTTGCATTATGAACTCTGTCCAAGACGTTCTTCGATTTTCGATATTTTAGGTTCATCAAATGTTAAGACGTTAATGGGTGCTATAATAATGTTTAAAAAAGTAATGCCAAAATCGTCCACCTACTTGTTTGGGTTCTTCACTTCTTCGGACACATAATTTAAACTTTCCCTTTAAAAAAAACAAAACCAAATAGCTACATTAGGCGTTAAACGGTTTACTACATTATAACCATTAATTTAATGGGCATCCTGTTGCTTATTAATTGAACCACACATGTATTGAATTTCTTATTTTTCTTCTATCTATTGATTCTTGTTTAACTTGACCTTTCTTGTTATCAAAATAATTAAATGCACTTTGTTCTGTCCACTTTGCCCTCCATACTATTGTGTCCCATTGAATTCTGCTATTTGCATTACCAGCCCGTGTAGGAGAATAGTCCAGCGTACAGAGCGAATCCCAGACCACTGAATGTCGATCCCTCAAAAGCGTTCTCGAAGTTTTGTGTCTGACCTGCATGAATAATATTAAAGGCGTGAAATTGTGTGAATGCCTCGTCCTCAGTCCCTTTCTGGTTATCACCCGTAATTGTCGTTAGTGTATTTTCCTTTTTGAAATAAGCCTAGCAGACTCAAGCCCAAGCTTTGCGCATACCCACCATGGCACTAAATGCTAAAAAAAAAAAAAGCCGGCCAAACTTAACACGCATTGGATGTGAAAAAAAACTGGAAGGATAAATCACGCATTCAAATCACAATGCATTGCCCAGCCCTAAATTTCCAAAATGCAATTCTATTCAGAACGGTTTTGCATTGTATAGGCGTGAATATATGTGTTTATATATTTACTTGCCCCTGATTTCAACTTTTGCAGACAGAGTGTACGTGACCTTATTGACAAGGGCTCTATTCGAAACCATTTTCACACGGCGGGCTGAGTTTGGAAATCTTGTATTCGTTATTCAGTCACCTCAAAACTAAGCAGGGTGTTCAGATATTTTTTTTATTAAAAGGGAAAAGGTCCAAAAGCGGTCTAGTGGTTCTTTTTCATCCTTCTTAAAACGCCGAGGGCGGAATCCGCCCTTTTTATCTACACGAGATCGCTGGGCGATTTTGGGGGTTTTGCTTAAAACTTTATGAGTTTACAGATACACATCTTTCGGGCATGTTTTTATTTTTACACAAGTACATGTAGCTCAAATTTCCGAAAAAATCTTGTTTTCATAAGACGTGTACAGAAAAACGCGCTTGTACTCAAGTGGAAGCATGAAATATTATTGGCCATGATTAAAAACTCTTCATTATTTTGTTTGAGCTAAAACTGTTCGTGTTTTCAGAAATTAATTTCCTCACTTGCTTTTCAAATTTGAAGAAAAGCAAAAATTCGCATTCCCGAGATCGCCCGGGTGATAATATGGCTTAAAAAAAAGAGAGGCTTTTCAAAGGTTAAATTCTACCAGGGATCGCTTAACCGCAACACGAATACCCGGCCCGGACCCGTGTAAAAGACCGACTGATTTTTTTCTCAACGATTTTATACTCCGGATTCATTAGGTCTTAATACGAGGCTAAAATGTAGGTTTTTTGCTCTGAAAAGTCTCGGGGCACATTCAACTCTGAATCCGATTCACATTCGACCTAAAATCCCTGCATGGGACAAAATGACAATTTTTCGTGTAAGAATGCCATTTCTTGCGGTCCAAATGACCTTTTTTTGCGTCTAATGACACTTTTCTGGGTCAACTCACCCGGAAAAGTTACCCCTGGAGAGGTGACATTTTGTCTCGGAAAAGTGTCCGGTAAAATTTGAGTCGAACGTGACCCGGGATTAATTCTTAAGAGTGTTTTGGCTTGGACATTCAAGATTTCAAATGATTCTGAGGCCAGAGAACAAGAAGGGTTTTGACCACCCCCCCCCCCCCCCCCCCCGCAACATTCTGAGTGGCTACCTTTGATCAGTTGAACAACACCGGTGATAATGATGATAGCCAGTGCAAACACTTTGCAGATAGTGAACAGGTTCTGTACCAGGGTAGATAGGCGAGTGCTCACGATGTTGACAATCGCCAGTAGCACTGGATTAAAAAGAACACGTCATGCACAATTTTCACACACACGCACAAAATCTTCGCAAAATTTCTCATCGTTGTGCAGGAAATAACATTAATGCCGGTCTCATTATGGCATTAAATCAAGGCCCAGGAGAAAAACAAGCATTGTTTAATCGTTAAGTTTATCACAAAATCAGGTCATAAGTTCATACGGCCATTAATTTTTAGCTTGGCCAGGCCACGCTGGCAGCAATAACAATGGATAAAAGTGTCACTAATTTACTCATTGGCTTGGATGGGTGTTGCGTTCCAACACCATGAAGTGGTACATGTCCCGCTCCCGTATAGGATCTGAAATGTGCTATAAGGAATGCTTGTATCTGGTGAGAAGGGCTATACTTCTAGAGGGAGCTCCTTTGAGGCCAATTGTGAAATTTATTCCTGCAGAATTAATTACAACGAGGATAAGGTATCATTGAAAAACTCACGCATGGCAGCTGTGCCGAACAGCTGAACGACCAAACGCGGTGGCGGGCATTCCGGGTCTGGGTAGAGCGGCTGCAGGCAGTAGTCACCGAACGTCAGGGCCACGATGGCAAAAAACGCGGGGATGGCCATCAAGACGCTGATCCAGATGTACAGGAAGGCTACCAGGTCACCGTAGATGGCCTTCAGGTAGGCGTAGACCGCCCCCGAGGATGGGTAGGTGGTGCCCAACTCGGCGAAGCACAGGGCCCCCAGGAGGGAGAAGACCCCGCACAGGCTCCAGATGACAAGGGTGAGTCCCAGAGACCCGGCTCCCTGTAAGACACCTTTGGGGGAGACGAAGATACCCGAGCCGATAATGATACCGATGTTGATGCAGATGCCACTGAAGAGGCTGATGTTGCGTCTCAGGTGGACTAGCGACGACGACAGACTGATGTCACTGCCGTGGGACGTTTTTCTCCTCATTTCGGTTGTAAGTTCCATGATTTAGTGACCATAGACGGCTCACTGCGTATACATTTAAGGTATCAGTGTTTGGCGGGTACTGAAATTATTGTACCTGCTGCTCCCGAATTTGAGGCACGTATGTTTTTCACTTCAACAGAGTAGGCCTACATGTACAAAGTTGGCTTATCTCGGCCCACTGTATGTACATGAACAAATACAATTATCAACCGTCAACATCATTGACCTTCGACAAACTAATAATCACTGGGCCAATCATCTTCTCAAAAAGGTTTCTGTGGGACTGCGTTTTGTGCAAAGTTCAACTCACGGGCCAAGCATGTTGGACCCGTGCGCCCTTGCGGAAATATTATCGTAATAACACCTGCCAGGTCGTCGCCAGTTTGCTGTTAAAATGCTTAGAATACACGGGCGTAAATCGGGGGTGGTGGGGGTGGGGGGGGGGTGGGTGGGGAAGATATCCCCCTCCCTTCATGACCGAGGGGGGGGGGGGGGGGGTCATTGCATCACCGCCCCAGAATTGTTTGGTGAGAACCAAATAAACTTTCCTACAGACCAAACGTATTAAACAGTTCTTAAAAATGGAGAACAAACACTAGGCATACTAAAGCTTTATTTTTTAAATGCACCGTTTTGATGTAAGGTTAAGGGACGTACATGCGCAATTTGAATTTGGTATGCATGAACAGCGCCCACTTGTGTCATGTGGTGTCCACCGTAGATTTCAAAATTTTCAGGGGCCGTGCCCCCAACCCCCCCCCCCCCCCCCCCCCATAGTCGGACGAGCTTTCAGCACGCCTTCTCTCAATCCCCCTCCTTTCATTATCACCCCCCCCCCGATTCCTGAAAGCTAGATCCGCCCCTGCCGGTGCAGCCAGGTTAGCGGGACTTCAACAGTCAAAACTGAAGAAAAACAAATTGTGAACAAATGAATTGTTTTCGTTCGTTAACTTTCTGTTCATTCAGATCCCAATCTCATGGTCAATCTAATAAGAGAAATGATTTCAAAATTCTAAAATTGCCATAACTTTCATTTAAATAGAGAATTAGAAGGCAGTAGTTTAAAGACAGTAACTAAAATTAAAATTATGGCATAATTAAGCTTTCGTAGCTGCAGCTACTTTATCAGATGCAAGTTTCATCTTACTTTCATCATAAGTTTCGTCTAACTTTCATCATAAGTTTCATCTAACTTTTAGAAATTTCAAGTAATTCGCAACTGAAGGAGCACTTCAAAATAGCGCGCCCGTTTTAGTCTAAACGCATAATATGGAACGGTGATAGTTGGAAATAAGATCATTAAATATTTACTACTGGAATTTCGTTTATATGCAAGGCAAAAACTGCCTTCCGCGTTTGACGTAAACCATGGAGGAAACTTATTCCTCCATGCGTAGACAATTTCAACAAATCCTCCATAATGTCAGTGACAAAATAATGAGACCATGTAAAGGCAAGGGCGCCCTCAAGACTTCAAAAAATGTAACCGCGTTGATGTTAGGGCGCCCTCAAGACCAAGCACAAATAAAGTAACCCCCGTTAGGGCGCCCTCAACAGCCTTAAAACAAAAAGAATTTTGTCAATGTGCAACATCATTGAATGAAGATCGCAGTAATTTCTGTGTGAACTTTGCTATTTGAAAAGTATTATTCAAAGTAAGTTTAATATATTAAAGCAAGAGTACATTATAGTTATACCATAATTAATAAGTCAGTCCGTGCAAGATTCCTTCCTCCATGGTCCGTGTAACCCGTGTTTTGCATTTGTTCTTTTAGTTTTAGGCCTACCTGTTTTATCATTATCACACTTCCAACATGTCCACTCCAACAAGTGTTTTTATTCCTCAATGATTCGATTGACTAGGCCTAGTTTCCAGGTGGATTCCCTAGGCTATATATATAGGCTACGTACGGGAATGCCAGTGGGCCATTTTGTTGCAAAGGGACTACAAAATGAGCTACCTAACCTAGCATGCCTAGTAAAGTAAACCATGGACATGGTACATGGTCCATAAAACCACACATGTAATATAGGCCTAAATTGCAGAAAAAATTCCGTACTCGGACGTCACTTTTTTCAATTAATTTTCTAGCGCCAAAAGTTACATCTTTTATGGTTATTCCTCCACTTTCCCTCCTCTACTCTCACCCTCTCCTTTCCTTAATTTCTATTTATTAATCAGTCAGTTACTTCATCTGGATTCGAACCTCTGACGCTTACTTGATACACGAGACTCTTAACCGCTAGGCCGCGCACGATCGCTGTTGCAATAATCAATCTTTGGACGTATTTGAAGTATCCATTGAAATAAACTAAATATTCATGAGAAAATAAATATTCATAATGACGTATTGCACTATCATTGGCAGGCTCATGCGACGTCATGGTTGTTGATGTCACGTGTATAACGTACCGCTGTCTTTTCAGCCACTACAATCAGTTTTGACCGGCTGCTTCAAGTTAGTTCTGCACGACGTATGCATCCAAAATGTGCTCTAAAAACACATTTTGAGTAAATTTTTTTCACCTTAACACAGCTTCCTGGATTTCTCTTGGTTCAAATGACAAGGTGAGGTGACAATTAATATGTTTGGCAGCAGATAAATTGATGTCCGAGTACGGAACTTTTCCCTAAATTGCTTTTGATCGGTGAAGAACCGGGATCCAGTGTGAAAAATGAGCCAGTGTAGCTTAACTCAACTTTCCCAAAACCATCAGTAAATTGTGATACATCGTTCTTGTGCAAGTTGTGGTACGACTAATAATATATTACATGTTTATGACTTTTTGAAAATATTTTTCTTTCCAGAAGAGTTTTCTGGGTATTAAGTCGGCAACCCTCTACGTCGATAAAATTTTCACGAAAAAAATCCTGAGAGTTGTGTTGCTTCTTAAACCACTATGGATTCCACAAGCAGTCTGCCTAGTGAGCCACCACAGAATCCCGATGCAAAGAGGACTCCGTCACTTGAGGAAAGTGACTCAGATGAGGAATTCTTCGATGCTGTAGTTGTTGCCGATGATGATGAAGATGACGATGACAACACTGCCACTAGTGAAGAAACAGAGGACAAGGCAAAGACAAGACAGCACCAACGTAGCGAGGAAAGTGTGTCAAGAGATGTTGATGACTTGATCCAGTCTAAATTGTTAGGGTCTACAGAAGACAGAACAGCAGATGACGCTGAAGAGGATGCCAAAAGAAATAGTGAAAACTCAAGCGATGGCAGCTCTCAAGAGAGCGATTCGGAAGATGAGCAGTTTTTCAGACCGGTAGAACATGACAAATTACATGTACATAGAAACAGGATAATGGAGAACACTGGGCCGTACGGTGATGCCGCAAATCACGAAGGGCTGAGAGCAGAGCAAGAGGAAGGGGAAGAAACGGGGGCGGGGCAAGATCAGCTCGATGGAGGGGCGACTGGCGATGAGGAAGCCGTTCGAGAATTGGAAGAGCAGATGACAGACGAGGAGAAACAGGTAAAATGTACAGAGTGGAACTTCGTGGCTCTCAGCTTACCACAAAGAGTCCCTGCTTTAACTGTACAGATTATACGCTTAGCAGCTAGCATATTTCACAGGTGATGCATTGTGCTTACACCAGGAACTAAGGGTTCTTGATATGGAATTTGAAACATCGCTTAGTGGAAATAATACAGGATGAAACTTCGTGGCTCTCTGCTTACCACAAAGAGTCCCTGCTGTAACTGTACAGATTATATGCTTAGCAGCTAGCATATTTCACAGGTGATGCATTGTGCTTACACCAGAAACTAAGGGTTCTTGATATGGAAATAGAAACATCGCTTAGTGCAGAAACAAGAAATTGGGCTCTGTAAACTGCTCGCTCATGGGGCTGTTTACTTAATTTCTAGAGTTAAAGGGGACAGAACTTCTAGAGTTGAAGGGGACAAAATAACAACCCACCGTTGGCTGTAGGGCTCATTATAGCCATAAAAGCAGCTGATTTTCAACCATAAACACTCTGATTAGATGACCTAACCAAGTACATATACATAATACTTTTATTCCCTTCATGTAAATTGTGCGTATTTTATTCTGTGTTATTACTTCTCTAGTCAAAGAGTTAACATTATGAGTAACGTCTCAATCTGTGTCCATTATGAACCCTAAACTCTTGTTTGAAATCTTGTTTTTTTTTTCCCCACACAGGCAAAAAGAGAAGAAGCACAGACTCACAAGACAAGAGGCAATGAATTATTCAAATCTGGAGGTATGTTTAGGTATTGACATGTAATTGATTTTGTCTAAGTGTTAAAAGCAACAAAAAGACTGAACATTGAACTGATCACATCTGCATTTGTTTGTACGAGTTGTGGTAAATAACTGGGAAATGCTGGACCATTATCCCATCAGGAGAAACAGAACGGTTCTCAGTTTTTTATGCCACGGAAACCAGCGATAAACGCCGGTCTGTTAAAGGTACAGTCCATCATTTGTAATTTGTGCATTTTGTTCGTTTGAAGCAACAAAAGTGCTCAAGATCTAAAGAAGGGTGCTGAACAACTAACCTGATGAAGTTTTAGCTCAGTTTTAGCTGTATATTTCAAGACAAACAACATTCTAGGATCTCGATTTCAAATCAAACGTTGCTGAATCATGTTTTGAATTTGGCCTGAATTCAGTGTCCGAGACACGTTCTCACTGAGCCGATTGCAGCTACGCGATGTCGCGCACTGATCCGATGAATTATAACAACCACGTATGCGTTGTGCTAATGCTTGCGCGGGCTTCGCCGAATAACAAAACGAACTACTAATTTGAATTTCCCATGGTGCTTCTTAAGAAGCACCGTTGGAAAGGCCTTCTTTTGTTGATTTCTTCAAAATGACAGCTTGCCAGAAAGAATAAGTTCACAGGGAGTTTAGTTTCCTTACTATCTTTCAACCAAGTATAATGTTCAACAATAATTACGCCAGTTACTTTTTGGATAGCTGCAAATGATGGACTCTGGCTTTAGTTTAAGCCATACTGGCTTGTTACTGACTGATTTGACATGTACTGCTTGTATCTGTGTAGAGTTTGCAGATGCAGTGCATGCATACAGCCAGGCGCTTCAGCATTGCCCGCTCTGCTATAAGAAAGACAGGTCCATCATGTTAGCCAACAGAGCAGCTTGCAAAGTCAGACAGGTTAGTCGTCATTAAATATTGGTCGTCTTTCACCCTTCAGCTAACCCTCCTACTATTTAAGAGGTCACCAATGGTCAAAATGTTTGTATCTCACCTCCTGGCACACTGTGTACAAACCAATGGGGGTCTTGACCAATATTGACCCAAGTAATAACCCGGATGACAATGCATGTTTCCATAGGAGGGTTTATTTGTCCATGCCTAGAGCACTTCATGAAAGTGGTAAATATTTTAACTTTTTAAAATGAACTTCGTACAAAACAACACGCATATCTTTTTTTGCAAGCTCTGTATGTACCTGAATTTTATGAACAGATTTTAAAAGTTATTGCGTTTCCCCCCTCCTAAAAACCAAGTGTTTTGCAAATTTATAGTCCCCTAACAAAAGAAATGTCCAGTAAGAATGTTTGTTCATGTTTGTTCATGTTTGAATCTTTCACTTCCGGACAAGTAAGCAACTTTTTGAAGTTGTCTTTTTGGATTGTCTTGTTTTTAATACTAGGAAGATCTGGAAGGTGCCATCACGGACTGCACAAAAGGTAATTTTCCAAATTTTAATTTTTTTTATAGGTTTTTGGAGACCTGCGCTGCGACGGAACGTATTCACACTCGACCTGTGTGAAGTTACGACGTCGCACGCCCATCCAGATCATCGTATTTTATTGTGAAACGTCGTGGTGTCGTTGGTGATGTGAACATGGTTGCGATTATTTTGTGTAGCGATGCCACTTACTCAATGATAAACACACAATTTCTCAGTTTTGTGACCTGAGCATTATTTATCTGCTTGATGCCGACAATGCTGAGCAAATCGCAGATCGACCTGAGGGCAGCTTGATAATTCTGCTAACTAACCAAATACCAAGAAAAACCCTTTTTCCAACAACGTGGTCGGTAAGCTGATTTGGCTAAGTGAAGATTAACCCTTACTCTCTGAGGGTAGTTTACTGCATGTCAGTTGGTTATGCCAATGCCCTCCAGCTGCAGTTTATTGGCAGATAGTTTGTCTTAACAGTGAAGGCTCCAATTGGCAGGAGTTGGAGGCCCTGGAGGGTGCCTGATACTGATCAGCTGGGGGCACTCACTTTGTTATCAGAGGACTCTCATTGTTCTCTGTGGCATGTATTGGAGTGCCTGTCCAGTTACCCTTGAAATGACATGGCAGATATTGGAGGGCCGTGCAAAAAACATATGCCATTGTCTTAAGGCACATAATGGCATGCGTTGGAGGGTCCAGTTGGGTAAGGGTTAAGTATTTGTAAAATCAGTGTGGGCTTCTCCTATTTTTGCCCTTCCCTTTCCAGCGTTGGAGTTGAACCCACTGTATCTGAAGGTTGTACTGCGTCGGGCCCAGGCCTACGAGCTGACCGACAAACTGGAGGACTCGCTGAAGGACTATCAGAGAGCGCTGGAGCTAGACCCTGGCTGCTACGAAGCTAGAGCCGCCTGCATGGTGAGTTAGGGAAGAATGCAACCTTACGCAATAAACATAAAAATTACGCGGTAAACTTGAGGTACCGGATGAAACCCCGTAAAATCTTGTAAAAACCTGGTGAACCTCAAATCAGGGGGAGTCAGGTTGGCGTAGCGGTACTTTCCTCGCCTTCCACCACTGTGACCCGGATTCGAATCCCGCCCGGGCCAATATGTGGATTGGGTTTTCAGTCCCTACCTGATTCCGTGGCTTTTCCCCAGAATATTCCTCTGGGCTTTTCCTCCCACCTCTAAAACTGTAATTTCTTCTCATTGCCTTCTCTCTACAGGTTTCTTCAGGCTTTCGAACTACAGTGCTTATGGTACTTTAGAGGAATCCTTGGTTTCAATACCAGAAAGAAATAAAATATAAAAATAAATTAAAGTTATTACCAGTTTAATTCACTGTCTTCCCTAACCTTACACCTGCTGAAATGGAAGACAGTTTTAACTCTTCGCGTACATTGGGCCGATATCATCATCATTAGTAGACTGTTCCACAGTAACAATCAGTTTCCCTGTGGCTTTATCTTTAGCAATATATATTCTTTAGCTGATATATTGGTTAAAAAATGGTGACCAAGAGAGACGACCAGCAGATATTTCGGCTCAAAAGATTTTAGTGCTTTGTTTTAATTCCTACTAAGTGAGGCAATTTAGTCAGTCTCCAGGACCAATTGAATCAGCCCAGTGGACAGTCTGTAGAGTGCCAAAGTTGTCTTTTTTCACCATTAGAGTTAGGAAACTGTGAAGGCAATTTCACCAAGAATTTACCCGAAATGTAGATTGGTTACCAGCAAATTATTGAATATTTTTCAATTCGTCCAATGGACTCCCTTAATTCCGAATTATATCCTCTCTATTCTTTTCTTACAGCGACTTCCTGATCAGATCAAGGAGCGAAATGAAAAACTCAAAGAAGAAATGATGTCCAAGCTGAAGGACCTGGGAAACCTTTGCCTGCGTCCGTTCGGTCTGTCGACGAACAACTTCCAGTTCAACCAGGACCCAGCCACAGGCTCCTATTCCGTCAACTTCAACCAGAATCCGGGAGGGAACAACGGGAAGTAATGCTAGTAAAAATGTAGGAAACGTGCCAAAAGGTTCAACTTCCAGCGCAATATTCAGGCGGAAACAATGGGAAAAATTCAGAAATTCAGAAAAATTCAACATTCAGAAAAATTCTACGACACTGTGCCTAGATTAGTAGACTGACGCCTTCCAGCTGCACCAGGTTTGTGCCACATGCCCAACTTCTATTGACGTTCAGAGTTGAATTTTGGAATGTAGTAATATGTAAAACTTAAGAAATCTGTACCGGACAAGGAGACTAACAACTTCCATCAACTTCACACAAAAGAAACCTTCCAGAAAAAAAACCCCGAAGCTGTGCCCTTGACCTACAGACTGACACCTTCCAACAACACTGTGACCCACTCGCATGCCCATATTTCATTGACTTGCAGTAGCCAACCTTGGAAAGTTTATTCCAGAAAACCTTGCAAATCTGTACCTGGACCAGTAGCCAAACCCGAGGCTCGTTCCATCAACTTCTCGCAAAATCTAACCTTAGGAAGTGACATTTGGAAAGACCTAGGGAACCCGTAACTAGGCTGATATTTTCCAGGTTGTTTAGGATTCATTGACAAGCTAAATACACTCCCATTTTCCCACTGAATTTGGAAGGGAGCAGTGTATTAGAAGCATCAGGAAATACCCTGGTAACCCGTCTGCTTTTTGACTGGCCTATTTGCCTGTTTGTGTGAATACTGCGTCACATTATCAATCTCTGATCAACTATAAACTGCACTTTAAGAAATCTAATTCTGCCTATTTTGCTCACTGAATATTGCCCGTCTTGCCTTTTTTTTTGCTGTCACTTACACTTTAATCTCTGATCTGAGTGACATGTTGCAGAAATACTTCTACTGGGGTAGTAAGTAAGCAAAGTCTGTCACGAGCCAATGTGGCCCATCAGGCCGGCGTTTATCTCCGGTTTCAGTAGCATGAAACGACTGAGAATATTTCTGTTCCCCCCTGGATGGGATGCTAGTCTGGGATGCTAATGCCGGTACCCATTTATACTCCTGGGTGGAGAGAGGCAAGTGGGGATGAAGTGGCTTGCCCAAGGACACAACACATGACCAGCAGCTGGATTCGAAACCTTAACCCTCTGATCACGAGTCACAAACCCTAACCACTAGGCCACACTCCAGGGGTTTTTGTAATAAATTCATTGGTAATAAGAGGATATAGCAAGAAAGTGGGACATTTGCCACTCTTTCAATAGACCATTATCATGTTGCAGCCATCTGATTTTTTTTTTCCCATTCATATCAGTGTAACCAAAGCAAAGGTTGGAAGGAAAAAATACAATGTAGTCTGCTTCCTTATCATTCAGTGCTGTTATCATTCAGTACTGTTATAGGATACAGGGAACACGACTGAAATGGTGTCAGTATGATAAATGTCTATAGTCTGTTTTTGTTGTATTTTTTTTTCTTATAAACAGAAGGAAATCTATTGGGAGGAAAAAAAGAATTTGACAAAATGATTATCTTATGCTTTCAGAGCTGAAAAAAAAAGTTTATTTCTATCAATCATGTATGAGAAGAGAAAATCACAAAAGTACTATTGCTTGTATAATGTCAATCACTATGAAAATTAAAATCCAAATGTTTGTCCTTTAACAGTTCATGCATGTCTCCAAGCTATTTCAAATTTCAAGGAACTATTTTAACATCCCTTACACCTGTACAAATATTTGAGATGAAGTGAAAATATCACTTCAATTATCTATACCCAAAATTTCAATATTCCAATTAAATCATGCCACTTCATGTAATATCCAAACACACTTCGTGCATTTTTATAATTGTGAAGCCATATGGCATTTATAGGCCACCTGGATACATGTTTGACCTTTAAATCCCGTGTATGATTATAAGCAATTAGAGCATGCATTGTGTAGTTCCAATTAAGTGGAGCAGCATATAGATTATATATTACAATCTGACCCCATCCTCCGATAATACACTTTAGATTTCCCCAGGTAACACCATAATTGACATAATAAAAAGGTGAATGCATTTTCAAAACCCATACATGTACATGCCATAATTATAATAGCGATAAGCTCTAAATGCAATAAATAAAAATGGAAATTCCTTTCCTTAACATTCATCTTATAAACTTGACTCAAGTCTAGGCCATATTGGAGAAGTTTTTCCGATATGAAGCTGAAAGTGGATTTTTTTTCTCCCATTTTCTTTACTCTGTGCCTGGGCGTTGATGACACATTTGCATGGTCCTTTTGAATATTTTTCATTTAGGGGTATTTTTCATGCAAAGCTATGCCACTCACTTAAATGCCAGTTTCTAGTCGCTAATTTCTGCAAACAGGTACTTCATTTACAAAAATTGTTGTCAAAATGGCTAAAAGCTGGATTAATTTTATCCAGATATTTTCAGTGCCTCCCATGAGAAAAAAATATATTTTATACATATTTGATGTCAAGTACAGTTACCTAACGTAAAACTAAAAAAAAAATTGAGGCAAGCAAACAAATATACATGTATCCAATATAATATTACTACAGCCACGAATTATACATATAGGTCCTCTCCCCGGTGCTCTTCAACTGGTTAAAGACAGAATGCTAAATTTGTATGTTCTATTTTCAGCACCAACATCTGGAAGGAAGGGTTTTTATTCTACAGCACAAAAGATCCAGCCGATTTATAATTGAAAAATACATAGAGGAATTATTCCAGAATTAAAGGGAGTATACAACGTTTGTAAACAAAAAACAAAACTACCAAAATATTATAAAAACCTCACTGGAATGTTAGTGAATGACGGTCTAAAGTATTCGGTAAAAGCATGGCACCTGTTGTGCTATCATTTTCAAGAAAAGTGGTATTTTGTATCAATTTCCAACGCTGGTTGGACGACCAGCGTTAGAAAAAAACTGGCTTTTTTCAAATACTGCTCGCAATTTACAATATTTAGTTAGTCCGCATTTTCTTTTTGCAATCGCTTACAAACCTATGAACGGGTACAAGCCAGCTAGACTGGTTCCCTAAACTTACAATTCCCCGCCTATAAGTTGCTGTTGCATCTTACGTGGGGTCAGGGAACAAACTTTATAGAGTATGATTGGTTTTCTTGGTTTTTGCTATAAAATACCAACTCCTCAAATCCATCCATTTCTAAAAATTACAGCAAAAGCAAATGTTGTATATTCCCTTTAAACTTTGGTGGAAATTTGTGTTTAATGTCTCACGAGTAAATCTTGAAAATGGTATACACAAATCAACTTTTTAACACCAAAAAGATTTCAAATCAATCCTTCCTACAATCTAAATACATTTTGTAAATAGAATCTGAAAAAAATAAACAAATGCTGCTATTTTGTCTTTGATTATCATACTAAGAATGAGGAGAATGATTGATAATAGACTGAGGAATTTGTTCAAAAGTCCACCTTTTGTTTTTAACATTGGCCATGGACCATTTTATGCATACTGCCCTCTTTGGGGTCACATGGTATGATCGCTGGTGGCATTTCATTGTAAATGTGTCCCATCATGCAATTGTATCCTGAGCATGATGGGAAATATTTTGAATGAAATATTCCCGGAGATTACCACGTGAACACAAAGATGATCTGAAACAGTCTATGACCTGTGTTTTCTTGCGTTTCCAAGCCGCACTTGAGATTCAATTTTTCGGTGGCACTTCCACATCCCAGTAGTCAATGTGCTTCCCGGACTCAAAAGTGTCCTCCGTCAACAACTTCAGGAGAACTTTGCAGGTTGCAGCCGTGGTCAGAAAATACGGTGTAGATTTATTTTCAGCCATCTTTTCCCGCAATTCCGAATCTCCTGCTTGTGTCACAATCGCATCGTTCATGGCAGTGTCGAGGGCCCCTGGAGAATAATTAAGAACCCTGAGTTCTGAATCCTCAATGGCCATGGTCTTCATAAACATGTCTCGCGCAGCCTTGGTGGAGCAATACAGACTCAAGCTCTTCATCGGCTGGATGGCACAGAGCGATGAGATGTGAACCATGGTGCGGCGCTGGCCGTCGCGCTTGGGGAATACCCTCAGGAATTTGGTGCTCAAGGCCATGCAGGATGTCACATTCAACGTGAAGCACTGCCTCAGAGTCTGCAGGCCAGGGCTGAGGTCGCAAATGTAGGACATCTCGCCAAGTGAGCCGGCGTTGTGGATGAGCATTGCGTGCTGGTACTGCGAGCACTCCACCCCCTCGAACATGCGAGTAATGGCGTCTTCAGCTTTGGATTCGTCGCCGAGGTCTCCCGTAACCGTCTTCACCGTCACCCCAGGAGAGCAGGCAGAGACTTGTTTGCTCGTGTCTTCCAGATCAGCTGATGACCGGGCCGTTAAGACCATCAGGGACTTGTCTCCGAGGTGACTACCCAGGCTTAGTGCCAACTCTCGGCCCAGCCCCCTGCTTGCTCCGGTGATAATGCAGAAACTTGCAACCCCAAATACTGAAGGAGATGACATGATGAAATCTGGCCAGATAATTAATGATGACAAGCAATAACCTGAAATAAAGACAAAAAGAAAGTTATGATACTTGCTAGTCCACAAAATGCAAATATAAATTTTATTATTTAAAAGAAAATTAGGCTGCATGATCTGTAGCACATCCATGAAAGGAATAATTAAAATCAAATTAAGAATATGATTATCACATGAGTAATTTCTGACTTATCATAGAGCAGTTGTTGAAAAAAAAAGAATATCTTCCCAACTTTTAATTATGAATTTATGGTCCTAGTTTTATTAATTCTTGATCATGTTGAGCACTGTGGCCGTAAATAGCAATGCAGGCAGGCTAGTGCAGTGCAGCAACACATGATGATGTTGATATGGATGTTGTGCCCATTCTTGAAAATCACGCATTCTCGAGAATGGGCATGCACATTCTTGAGAATGTGCAACTGGATCCTTGCTCAATCTTGGCAAAAAATAACTCTTCCAGATTGAGCGCACATTCTCGAGAATGCGCGACAAGATAACGGTCTTGTCGATGCCGAGCACCGGCTGCGCTTGGCAAGTCTAGCTGAATCCTCGTTCACTGATTCTCAATAATTATACTGTTGCAACGCAAGGCGCTGAAAAGTAGAGTGGATATGATAAGTAAAGGCGTATTAATATGGGGGGGGGACCGGGAAAATATAAGAGACATAATAATACTAGTGCAAAGAATTCTGATTTTTGGGATAATAAAAGCGGGGGGGGGGGGGGGGGGGGGGGGGGGGGGACGTAAGAATGAAGAATGTGAAGAATGAGAATGAATACTGCGACATCCCATAGTGCTAATGCTATTTCCCATTTAAATTGCCACCAATTTATTGTTTACATCCCACCATAACGTCGCAGAGCTGGATTCTATCTAGTCAAAAGAGCAATTTTGGCAGCTTCTGGACATCGGTTTTTTTTGTGGCACGCATATGATACATGCAGGGACTTGTAACTTGTCTAGCCTAAACAAAGCACTTCCCAGACTAGTTCCCAGTCCTCCGTTATTACAAAACTTCCCATAGTGGGCAGAAAAAAGCAATAATAACAGGTTTAATTTGATTCAAATTATCGTAATTATACGAGTACAGAAGCATAGCACATTTTCTTTCCTCAATATATGAATTGTTTCCCTTTTAACCGCTATACAATTCATTTAACATAATTATGTCGTGCAATGTTTGTTAAGATTGGGCAAAATTAATAAATTGTGCACGTGATATTCCCAACCAATCTTAAGAATGAGCGCTCATTCTTAAGAACGCGTGCTCGTTCTTAAGAATGGGCGCTCATTCTTAGAATGCGCGCCCATTCTCGAGAATGTGCATGCCCATTTTCGAGAATGCGTGATTTTCAAGAATGGGCACAACATCGATAAAATACTTACTCAGAGTCAGACTGCAGAGTCTCAGCAGTGCGAGAGACAAGACTAATTCGTGATCGTAAATTATGAGAACTGAACGAAGCTGTGATTTATAGCGCATGCATTATGAATTGATGCAAAATTTGATCGCAGTTTTTGCATGCATAAGCTGCAATAAATTTTGTTTTGGTCAGCGGCGCTATCATCAGTATCATGCATATGCAGTGGTCCGTCCACGTGTCGTGTTTTACCCAGGCTTCATTAGCGAATGCCACCACGAACGTATCGGTTCGCCAGGGAACCAGCCTATTTTGCCAATCTCAACCTCTGACCCAGTGGAAATCTGGGCGGGGCTAAAGACCCCCCACAAAAAATAACCCAATTGACAAAAAATAGGAGCTTGAGAAAGCATTGCATGCGGGATTATTTTTGCGTTTCCAAAAATTGCAGCCGTTCACCGACAAAAAACGGCTAATGTAATGAAGGGTTTATATTGGGAATGAAATATATTTGTTCTTTTTTTTTGCCGAGAGTATGAAACACCCCTCTGGAATTTCAACAGCAGATGCCCGGAAAACGTAACCCATGCGTTTTGTAAAGGTACGAAGATCAGACTCGACCGCGAACACGTAACGTACTTAATACGTCGTCCTGTACGCGGTCGATCCAATCCGGCCCCGGCCCGCGTGCGCTCGTACTGTACTAGTGTACATGTACTATCGTGCCCGTACGAACCCGTACATCAGCGATCAAGATGGCCGACGCCACTGCACGTTCGCTGCAGTACGAGTACAAAGCGGTAAGTATTTCTCGTCTTCATTTGTATAGTTTCCAAAATAGAGATTGAAATCGACAAATATGAGATATCCAGCAACTATGCATGCATTTTGTTAGTGTGGAAGTAGGGGGAACGCCGAGAAATTTAAAGTTGAATTTCGTTGTGAGAGCTTGCAAAGTAGGTCGGCATGGTCTCTAGCTCGTATGTTTTATGTGAGGGCGCTATTTTTCCACATGCCATCGTCATTCATGGCTTTTGGGGAAACTTTTCAGTAATTCCCAGTCCTAAATAATGTGTCATTGATTTGCCAAGTGTTGCACAGTGTGAAAGTTTATTGTCACAGCTAACTTCAAAATAAATTTTGTGAATGATTAAGTTTGGTATTCGGCCACTGCTTAAAAAAAAAAAAAAAGAAGGAAATAATGTACAAAGTCTATGGAGAGTCAAGAAAATTTTCTAAGTATTTCTGGAAAGATTCCCATATCTGGCCATCACTTGTCACCCTGTGCACAAACCCTAATAGTATGGGACTGGTCTGAAAATTTCGAAATTTTTTCTCAGTAAAAATTCAAACTTTGTCCTTGCTAATCTTGACTTTTTAGGACATATTATCACTTTCTGATGGCAGATAGGTCATTTAAGGGAAAAATTACTGACGGCCAGATATGGGAATCTTTCCGCAATTCCTAACAAAATTGGAAATGTTTCTCAGTTCCAGATTCACGGCTTATAATCAGGCATGCAACTTTTCCTCGGATCTGCTGATTTCCTCGTTTTTACTTCTCATGAATGCCATTACAAATTGAAAAACGCTGACAAAGTCTTGTGTGGTTTGGAATTTCCAGTTGCATGCCTGTATCATCATTTTGCATTGACTGACCTTCATCAAGATATGAAGAAAAAAGCAGTGTCAGGTTGCAACATTCTTTCCAGACAGAAAGTTGCAATTCCCTGGCGCTACTTCAGCGGTTAAGTTATGTACTACAGAGTCTATGGAGAGTCAAGAAAATTTTCTAAGTAGGCCTATTTCCTAACAAAATTGGAAATGTTTCTCAGTCCCAGATTCATGTCTTATCATTTTTGTAATGAATGACCTTCATTGAGATGATATATGAGGAAAAAAAGCAGCGTCAGGTTGCAACATTCTTTTCACACATTTATCCTGAGATGTTTTCTGCCAAAAAATTGTTGTGTTTGGTGGTGAATAATTGATGGCACGGATACGAAACTCTTCCCCATATAAAAAAACTATTACCTGATTTCACAGAACTCCAATCTTGTGCTTCAAGCTGATCGATCGCTGATCGAACGTCGAGGTCGCGATGAAGCCACAGGTGAGGTTATGTCCCTGGTGGGAAAGATGGAGAGCTCAAAGATGGGAGACAGAGCACAGCGAAACAAACCACCGATGCAAGAAGAAAGAAAAATCAAGTAAGTTTTGTCAAGTTACTAAAAAAATCTATTAAATTATGCACAGTACTTTCAAGTTCCTTAAAAAAATCTATTAACCCTAACCTTCCTCACTCCTCCAAAATCCTCCTGCCGGTTTTGGATGATTTTAGAGGATTGAGGATGAATGGCAAAGATGTATCACTTTTTTTTGTGGAGGATGCATTATGTCAAGCCAGTAGGCCGTATCCTGCATTGGTTATGTTCAGCCATGCATAAATCAGCCCTGTGTTTTTCTCGTATTTCATCCGCACTGATTCTAAACGCCATTCAAACAGCCTCAAACCATAGGAGTAATTGGCAGAGGATTTTGGAGGATTGAGGCAGTGGTTACCCTCCACACACTAAATTCAAGAAAATAACGGATGATTTTGGAGGATTGAGGGTGAATCCAATTTTTTCTCGGTGGCAAGTGGAGGATTTTGCAGGATTGAGGTTGCAACCTAGCCAGAGGGCCTAGGGGTTTAGGGTTAACTTATGCACAGTATTTAATAAAGGGGGACTTTAAATGGAGTGTTTATTGAAACAGTGACAAATTCAGTCTCGTGACGACAGAGAGATTGGCAGAGCATACTCTCTGAAATGTGAAGGAAAGAATGTAGTATCCTGACACCATTTTCGTGGTTGTGTACAAAGTCTATGGAGAGTTGAGTGCATTTTCAAATTTTTTTTCTAACCAAATTGGAAATGTTTCTCAGTCCCAAATTCATGTCTTTTCAACATTTTTGCAATGACTGACCTTCATTGAGATAATATATGATGAAAAAAAGTGGCGTCAGGATGCAACATTCTCTCCAACGTTGAGTTTTTACCGTCCTGTCGCAAAGCCATACAAATTCACAAAAGACATTTTTGTTGCAAGACGCAACTTCAGTCTTACTCATATTCCTTTTTTGAACGCACATTTTTAAAAAAAATTGCTGTGTTTGTTTCAGGCGCCAGAAGAGAGACGACGCTCGCTACGACATGAATAAGTTCAAAGGTCAGACTCTGCTGTCTCAAGGCATTGAGGACATGGTGGGCATCTACTACCGACCCAAGACCCAGGAAACCAGAAACACCTACGAGGCTTTGCTCAGCTTCATACAGGCTGCCATCGGTGACCAGGTAAGGTGTTCAATTACAGGAAGACTTTATTGTCTTGAAACCCCTCATAATTATGAATATTTAAACTGAATAAATGCTATTCCAATATTCGGTTGAGATACAAATATTCAAATAATCGGTAAATTTATATAGTATTGAATAGGTATTTTGAATCTCCCTCAATTATCATTACATGTAAACAAGAATAAATAAGAAAAAATCGCTGTTCCAAATGGATTTTAAAATTTTTTTGACTGACCCTCTCTATGCAAGAAAACAATCATTTAACTGCAAGTAACAACAAGAAGTGTTTACTATAAGTAATTTTAGGACAGTCAAGCTCATTCAAGATGCCATCCTCAGTCCTAAAACAAAATCCAAATTTTGAAAATTAGACCTTGTGTTTACGCCATCTTCCTTCCGTTGTTATTTTTGTCCAAAGGATGAAGGATTATCAGCAACTATCTATTGCGTCAACCAGATACATTTTATACAATTTGTTGTGTTTAATGTGTTTATCATGCCACCAGACAGTTTGCCATGACACACTCACAAATGGGGTCATGTCGCAGCCTCTGTAAGGTGTTGGCCGAACATTTAAATGTTTTTTTAACGGTGCGTGAATGTTTCACTTTATGTTCATCATTCTTAGCCTCGCGATATCCTGTGTGGTGCCGCCGACGAGGTCCTGGCGACCCTGAAGAACGAGCACAGCAAAACCAAAGACAAGAAGAAGGAGCTGGAACTCCTGCTGGGCCCGTTGGCCGAGGAACGCTTCGCCCTGCTGGTCAACCTGGGCAAAAAGATCACCGACTACGGCTCGGAAAAAGAAAAGAAAGCTATCGGTATGTAAACCCCCAGAAGCTTCTAGATGCGACATAAAACATGACAATAGACCTTCATCATGCTTCCACCATTTCAGTCATGTTCCCTGTATTCAATAGCAATACTGAATGATAATGGTTTTTGTGCAAGAAGGAACCAGACTATTTTTTTCCTTCCAGCCTCGCTTTGGTTACATTGATTTGAATGGGGAAAAAAATCAAATGGCTGCAACATGATAATGGTGTATGGGAGCCCGTCACATTGCCAGTGTTTTTCCCAGGGTTTAAAAGTTTTTTTAGTCACTACTTGAATACATCAAATCATGTTGTTTCCTTTGTATAACCACACGAGCTATAACTAAGGATGTGAGGTTTAAATATTTAATTTAAAAAATCATAACAATTACCTTGTATTCCCAGAATGTGTTTTATTTTACAAAGAATCAAGGATGCCTGAAAACCTTTCAATATATTGGTCTGTATTTATTTAATTGTCCAGAGGAGGAGATTGACGAAACTTTCGGAGTCAATGTCCAGTTTGAAGCGTCTGACGATGATGTAAGTTTTCATGTATATTTTTCCAACTTTAATTCTGTGCATAAAATCACCATTCTGTGCTAATAGTGGCCTCACGGTAATTCCATTCTAATGTAAGCTGAAACCCTTTCTCATGCGTTGTATACATATGCAGTGATTCCTTACTAATTAGTGAATTTTGTTTACCATTAGTGCATAATTTGCTGCTAATTAGACTCTTTGTTCTCATAGTCATGGAAAAATCCCAGAAAATTCCTGGATTTAAATCTATCATGGAAACTCATGGAAAATTAAGATGCCTGCACAACCCATACATAGCATGTAGGAGATCCATGATGTTAGGCTCTGGTTTATGCAGTTTTTTAAAATGAAAATCGGGTAACTACCTCCCCATATCACCTTATCTGCCCATCTGTGTCTTGCTGTTAGTATCACCTGTTATGTATACCTATCCACTGTGTTGTCTTGGTACACAGTGGCTATATGAGTAGTCCCCACCCTATCTGTCTCACTGTGTCTCACCGTGTGTATCACCCCTTCTATCTTGGCATCCCTGTGTTGACTCTGTACGCATTGGGTGTATGAATGAAGGGAAATCAAATTGATGCTGACCAGCCTTCGGTGCCGGGGTTTGACACTACTCCACTGCCATCCTCTAGCAGCATTACAAAAGAAAGTTGTGAATTAATATGTTTTCTTAATACAACCCCACTCTAATTATTTGAGTGACAAAAAGTTGTGTGGCTTCTACAGTTACAGTGTGACCTTTGTTTTTAGGATGACCCGGATGACTGTGGCGAGGTCAAAGGTGAAGAGTCGGAGGATGACGATGATGAAGGTGGTATGGACACCGGCTACGACGCTACACTGACTACCAGCGTAAGTACGCAGGGTCCGAATGTGATCCTGGAAATTTAAATTTCAATTTTTAAATTTAAACCAGTTTGGAGGATCTTGTAGGATTTAGGAAGGTAAAGCCCAGCCACTAATTACTTTGCATGAGGCTCGATGTCCCTTGTAAGAAGTTTCTATCAGGTTCCTGCAGAGTGGTGGAATTTGGAATTTTATTTATTTATTATGATTATTCGGCAATTGGCCAGGATAACCCACGAAACTCTTTCATCTAATTTCCAAAGGGGTCCTTTCGGTAGAAGTTGTGGAAGGAAATGACAGCTTTAGTGATGGGAAGAAAACTGTTAAGTTGGTAACTCTATAACACAATCATTAAGGACCGGATATGTAAATTTTTTCGTCTGACGTCTTCTTATTTTGTTCTCGTCTTCTGTTTGCCAGCTTGGTGGTAGTGAGGCGGCCATGGGCATGGCTAAGAAGGACTTGCATCCGCGCGACATCGACGCCTTCTGGCTCCAGAGACAACTCAGCAAGTTTTACGACGACCCCAACGTGTCCCAGGCACGCTCCTCAGAAGTGCTTGACATACTGAAGGTAAGAAGTCAAAATGCACAGGACCCAGTATCGTGGCACTGCTAACCACAGAATTATGTGCATAAAATCACCATTTTGTACTAATAGTGGACTAACGGTAATTCAACCCAAAAGTAAGCTTGAATCCTCGCTCGTGCCTTATATGCATTCATTCCTTGCTAATCAGTGAAATATGTTCACTGTTAGTGCAGAATTTTCTGCTATAATTAGACTCTGGGTTCCTACAGTCACGGAAAAATCCTGGAAAATTCTGGAATTTAAATGTATCATGGAATGTCATGGAAAAGTTGGAATCTTGCATAACCCATACAATATTTGGCTGTGGCCGCTTCCACGGTAGAACCACGAATTTAGGCCCAGGTTAATGCAGTTTTTTTTTTTCCAACATGAAAATTAGGTACATGCAGCTACCACCCCATATCACCTTATCTGCCCACCTGTGTCTATGAGTAGTCCCCACCCTATCTGTCTCACTGTGTCTCGCCGTGTGTATCACCCCTTCTATCTTGGCATCCCTGTGTTGACTCTGTACGCATTGGGTGTATGAATGAAGGGAAATCAAATTGATGCTGACCAGCCTTCGGTGCCGGGGTTTGACAGTACCCCATTGCCATCCTCTAACAGCATTACAAAAGAAATTTGTGTATATTTGATATATTTACTTCACAACCTGACTCTTATTTATGCAACAAAAAGTTGTGAGGCTTCTACAGCTGATGTCATTTAGTGTCATTTTCATGGAGATGTCAGAAACATTATTTTGCTGTTCCCTTTTTTTAATAGTGAAAATGTTATGCAAAACAACACACAAGTGGTACAGTAAACTCCCTCGGTAATCATACTCAGATAAATAGAAACTCTAATAGCGCATAGTACATGAATTCCTTTGTAACTTAACATGTCCACACAGGTACGTCTGTTTATCTTAAAGTTTTTTTCGGCCAGTCCATAGAAAACACTCGTAAAAAAAAGATACAAATGTAACGGTGGAAGCTATTCCTGTACATACATGTCTGTAGAAAATTAGAGAACCTTGCTTAACTCAAACCCCGCATACGTCAAAATTTGTATCCATTCCCTTCAGATTTGAATTAAAGAGAGTTAACTGTATCTATTTTTGCAAACACATTGCCTAAACATAATTTTAAAAACCTTCAGCTTTTCATGTTTTTCAACTTCTTTAATTTTTTTTTGGCAGACGGCCGCCGATGATGGTCAGGTGGAGAACCAGCTGGTCATGCTGCTGGGTACCAACCAATTCGACTTCATCAAGATCCTGAGACAGCATCGTAAAATGAGTAAGCCTTAGTGTAGTGTCTTATCTGTTTCCGTCTTATCATTTAATTGTATGTTTCAGTCCATGTCAGTCACTTTAGCAACCCTCACAGAAAATACAATCTTTCAAGTGGAACTAATACATCTGCCTATAGACTCCATTTTATAGACATTTGAATGCATTGCTGATGATGCCCGACACGCACACAAAAAGTATTTTAAAAGATATTTATGTATTTGTTCATTTGTTGTAATGCTTACCATAAGAGACCCTCCTAATTTATTTTGACTGTTGATTGAGTTTAGACTGGTGTAAATTTGTTTCCCCTCAGTCCTTTATTGCACGTTGCTGAATCGTGCCCAAGACTCCACGGAGCGTCAACGCATCGAGGACAAGATGCGCTTCGACCCCACCCTTGCCCCCATCCTCCACGCCCTGACGGAGACGGACAAAGAGGACATCATCAAGGAGGAACGAGCCCGGCGGGCCGCGGCCCGGCAGTCCAAGGTGGATGCGGACCTGGACGCCATGGAAACGGACGAACCAGAGAATGTACGTCAAATATGACACCAGAACGTTGCCAAAAATGTGCCACTTTGTCTCATTTTTCCAAAAACTTCTACTTGTTTTTTTGGTGTGGCCTTACCAACCCCTGAAAGAAAGATTTTCTTTTTGAGTTTCTTTTGAGCGCAAACAGATCCTGCTAGTAGACTGGTTCCTGGTCCCTACATTAGTGATCAGGGGTTTAGAAGCAGTCCACCCTGCGAAACCTGAGTTACTGTCGGACTGCAAAAAATTATTAATTTGTACAGAAATTATACCAAAACTAACGTGGGCCAATTTGTTGTTGTTCAGTGTCTCATTCTCAAGTGAACAACTTTTGTATTGGTAGAAAAATAACAATTTAACAAATAAATCTGTTTTGGGGTGAAATCTGAAAATAGCACAGACAGTACATCTCTGACTTTGATTTTCGTTTTTTCTTGCAGGTGATGCAGCCGACAGAGATGTTGGAGATTGAGGACCTCATCTTTGCTCAAGGAGGCCACCTGATGGCCAACAAGAGATGTCAGCTGCCCGACGGGTCCTTCAGGAAACAGCGCAAAGGGTATGAAGAGGTTCACGTCCCAGCACTCAAACCAAAACCGTTTGACGACACAGAGGTAGGCGCAATATTTTTTATAAAAGTTTCATATTTTAACTGTTAATCAATTAATCGCTTGTATTGATGTTTGGAAAATGAGTTTGTCTGAACACATATGGCCAGAGTTCCATTGAGACTGTACGATAGGATTCTGATAAAACTTAAAAGCTCATGTGTAAAGTTACCCTAACAATTTACAGACCTCTTTCAAGTTGCAAAAATTGGCCGTCAATGTAAAATTGAAATTACTGTTCCGCTTCTGATTTCACTTCAATCTCGCATATAGATGAAGAGTGAAAATAAAAAGCGATACCCTTTATTTCATGCAAACTGACCCTTGGTAACCCTCCGTATACATCAGGCTCACGTAGTCATGAATCTCTCTTGAAAGACAAGATTCCAAATAGTTGGTTCAGTATGTCGTGAAAGCTGTCAACGATGATGATACCCATCCCATGTATCTGCAGTTTCCACCCTAGATACCCGACGGGTGTCCATGAGGGTTTCAACCTTCCTTGGATGTCTGAGTTGGCAAACTTTCGTGACAAAACTTGAACCAAACTCAACTGAATAATTCTGAAGTCACGGACTACTGTCCGAGTCACATACCTTTATTAAAAGAAAATTTTGCGTAAATGAAATCATTAGGAATGTCAATTTTTTTATGAGCCACATATAGTCCATATTCATCAAATTGTAAAACCAAACAAAGTTTATAACTGCAGGAGTGAGATTTGTCGAGATTTTCTGGATTTCAAGATTTGTAAAAAAATCCCTCTTAAAATCCTGAGGTTTTACCACAAAGGTGTCTTTATCCATAAATCTATAGGACAAAAGAAATGGTTATTTTAAGAGGTGCCTTTTTAAGCAAATTACAAACATTTACCATTGACCCTTTGTTACTCTGGCGCCCTCTTCGGCCCCCAAAACCTTCTACGGATTCTGTCGTGGAGTTTTCATTTTTCCACCAAACATCACCTGTGAAAACAACACGGCTGAGTATGTTCTGATGAATGTATAACAAACTAATTGTCAAAGGCTTATTTTGTAGGACCCAGAACACAGATTAAAAACAGAAATCAATCAAGGACCATAGTTTTTTACTCTAGTCGACAAAACATCTTCGTACTTAAATGGCTTTTTTGCTTCTTCTTCTTCTTCACAGGCCCTGGTTGCAATCGACAGACTCCCAAAATACGCCCAGCCTGCCTTTGAAGGGTTCAAGAGCTTGAATCGCATTCAGAGTAGACTCTACAAATCAGCCCTGGAGAGTGACGAGAATCTGTTACTGTGTGCCCCGACTGTAAGTAGAAAAACGAGAAAAGACTTTCAATCAACATTTTCTTATTTTTAATTGTGGAATATTTGGTACTTGATATCTCAAGCCATGCATTAAGTATTAGCAGCCATGTACGAGAGGAATGTGTAAATGCTTACCTTCATGAAAAGCATGTCACAATTTATACTTGAGGCTTTCACCAAACGACACCAAAGTTTGTGCCACCAATTTTTTTTAAGATCACAAATAGGACATATTCATACTCATATTCATGAGTGGAGCCTGAATTCCTTAATTGTTGGTTATTTAATCCACAGGGTGCCGGTAAAACCAACGTTGCACTCCTCACCATCCTGAGGGAGATCGGTAAGAACATCAATCTGGATGGAACCATCAACACGGACGCCTTCAAGATCATCTACATCGCTCCCATGCGCTCGCTGGTACAAGAAATGGTCGGCAATTTCAAAAAGGTCAGTCATTGGAAATCCCACCACGGAGTGAGGCTTTGCAGTTGCTACATATTTCACCGTTATATGTGGTTCATCTTGTCAAACTCTTGTCAATGTCTTTGGAGACTGTTATTCTCACGTCTCTGTAAACAGCAGTTATAGTTGCAATTTACTGTGTATTACTTTGTGCGTCACACTTTCTGTATGAGAAGTCCCCACCCTATCTGTCTCACTGTGTCTCACCGTGTGTATCACCCCTTCTATCTTGGCATTCCTGTGTTGACTCTGTACGCATTGGATGTATGAATGAAGGGAAATCAAATTGATGCTGACCAGCCTTCGGTGCCGGGGTTTGACAGTACCCCACTGCCATCCTCTAACAGCATTACATAAACATCTAACCATCAATCAAGTCGGTTTGGATGTTGGAAAAGAATTTTTGTTTTCTTAAAAAACCCAAAAAACATGAGGGAAAAAAATAATTTTTCATGTTTTTGCATTTCTGACATATATATTTTTAGTGTTAATATGCAGTTATATCATTTTGAACATTTTTGGTCGGAAATCACTACAGTTTCTCACTACAGTCTGTGTCTTTGGAGGCCATTATTTTCAGGTTTCTCTTCAAATATGAAAATATGAAAATATGCAAAGTGGTCCATATCTCACATACAGTACACACCATAAAAAAAGCATTATAATAGGATATCCAACAATGTGAATTTATATGTTTTTTTTATGAATTATTGTGACTTTGATCGCCTTTTTCAAGAGCAGGTCACATACAAAAGACGGCGATAAAACTGAAACCTTATCTTTGTTTTCTCAGCGTCTGGATTCCTACGGCATCACGGTCTCTGAGTTAACCGGCGACCACCAGCTCTCCAAGGATCAGATCCACGCCACCCAGATCATCGTATGCACACCCGAAAAGTGGGACATTATCACGCGCAAAGGTGGAGAGAAGACATACACACAGCTGGTCAGACTGATTATCATTGTAAGTGGAAGCAGGAGTGAATCTCCAGTCCCCCACCATGTCTGTCTACCTATGTGTCACTCTGTCTAGAGCCCTTACTTGCATCGCTCATATGATTAGTAATCCCCACTCCACTTGTCTATGCGTATCTCAGTATGTGTAACTCCCCGTTTAATTTGACACTAGGTATGTTGTATCTGTACACCTTCTACCCAGGGGATATTTAAGTAATCCCCACACCATCCGTCTCCCTGTTTCTCACTGTGTTTATCACCCATTCTATCTTACAACTGTGCTGTCTCTGTAAAACAGTGGTTATAGTTGCAATTTACCTGTGTATTACTGTGTGCGTCAAACTTTCTGGCACACAATTAATGTATGAGTAGTCCCCACCCTATCTATCTCACTGTGTCTCACAGTGTGTATCACCCCTTCTATCTTGGCATCCCTGTGTTGACTCTGTACGCATTGGGTGTATTAATGAAGGGAAATCAAATTGATGCTGACCAGCCTTCGGTGCCGGGGTTGGACAGTACCCCATTGCCATCCTCTAACAGCATTACAAACAAATTCAATCATGAATCAAGTTGGTTTGAATGTTGGGAGAAAGAAATTGTTCAAATGCAAAAGTTGGAAATCAGTCAAGAGGTTTGGAAAACTTGACAGAATCGAGAAGGTTACAGCCTGGCTACTTTTGATGCCCCTCAAAAGTTTTCAGTACCAAAAATGGTTTACTGGGTTCCTGCACATAATTGTGGAATCCTCCCAATTTATGCCGATGAAATCGATAAAGTTCTAAATTATCAAATTAAATAAGGAGTAAACTGAACATGGAAAAATGTATTGGCTCTGTTGTTTATATTGCAATAGCTTTGTGATGTGAACAGTTGTTATTGTTCTCTTGCGTACAGGATGAGATCCACTTACTTCATGATGACCGTGGACCTGTCCTAGAAGCTGTCATTGCTAGGTGAATATTAAAATCTAAATTTGAAGTTAATTACAAAGATTTTGCTTTTGATTTCCAACACCACGGAGGATTAAAGAGGATTCTGGAATGTTTACTTGTAAAACTGCCAATGGACTAAGAGTCGAGGATGAACTTTGTATTTTACAATCTGTTGAAGTTGCACCCCCAAAAATAAGACCGAAGTTGCATAATGCCCTATTCCAAATTCAAGCTAAATTTCCAATGAACCAACTGAAAAATCTTGAGACTCATTGTTGCAATGATAATTTTCCAGGACGATCCGCAACATTGAGACCTCCCAAGAGGATGTGCGGCTGGTCGGGCTGTCGGCGACTCTCCCCAACTACCAAGACGTGGCCACCTTCTTGCGAGTCAATCCAGAGAAGGGCCTGTTCTTCTTCGACAACAGCTTCCGGCCTGTGCCCCTGGAGCAGCAGTACATCGGCATCACGGAGAAGAAGGCCATCAAACGTTTCCAGTTGATGAACGAGATCGTCTACGAGAAGGTCATGGAGCATGCCGGCAAGAATCAGGTCAGTGGGATCGATGGCGCATTTGAAATCATTTTGATTTAAATTTGAAAGAAAAACACTATGATTTGGATGGTTAAGTTTGGCTTTGCTTAAATAAACTTTAAAGTTGATGCTTTTAAAATGATGTACTTTTTCTTTTGTGACAATTTGATTTTAGGATGATAATATCAGCAGTCAAAATCAGTGAAGTTACTGTTAAACGATTAACATGCCCATGCCTACATATTTAAACGCCAGAGAATCCACCTGTTCAAACCAATTAGCTGTGACAAAGCATATGTGGTTTTGGATGTGTTCTTGAACTCTTGAGACTAGAAATGCTTCCTGTCTGGTAGATGTATACTCCTGATTTGACAACTCACTGTACAATTTTTTTAATGTAGAACTTTTAAGCCATCATTATTGAGATCAACCCTTCGACCAGTTGAAACTTTTCCTTGTTGACTGTTGAAAAAGATGACAGCAGTGGCTTGTATCGTAACCTGCTCTCCTCATTTCTGTCTGGTGGTGTTTGTCCATTGACCAGTTGTTACAACAAACGAGGCAGTTACAGTAACTTGGGCAATTTCAACTCAACTTTTAGCATTGTTTTATTTTGACACTAGTCTATCGAAAACCTTCATGTCTCAGAAAACTTTTGAAGTATTACCCCTGTCGTCTAGTTGATTGTTACACTGTATTTGAAATCTGAGGCCGCTGGTACACATTTCTCAAAATTTTGCTATTTTATGCAAAGTTTTGCAATCCTATTAGCATAGAGATGTTTTGCTTAAATTCCGTTGTTGCCAGAGGTAAAAGCATTGGATTTTGTGGTAACCTGCGTTTCCTCCCGGTCGTTTAGGTGTTGGTGTTTGTCCATTCTCGCAAGGAGACCGGTAAGACTGCCAGGGCCATCCGAGACATGTGTCTGGAACACGACACCCTGGGCCAGTTCCTCCGCGAGGGGTCGGCATCCACTGAAGTCTTGCGGACGGAAGCAGACCAGGCAGAGGTAAGAACGATTCCTGGCACTACTCTCAGTCTCATCCTTTCTTCAATGGAGCCTTAATACGTCCGATATATTTGTGTACATGCATTTATTTGTATGTGCGCCAGCCAATCGAAGTCGATTTAGAAATTGTGACATCGTTTCGAGCAGAAATTGGCCTAAGCTGTTGATTGGTCAACTGGCTTCCTTGTTTTTGTAATACAACTGGTTTTAATAGAAGGTACCCGCTGATAGGTCAGAACCCGCAGGTCAAGACACAGTGTTTTGCATACTTAATCGTCAAATCTGCCAGTCGATCCTGGCACATCATGAGTGAAATATTATTTTACATGCATGCGTCATTTGAACAAATTTGTGTCGTCGGTTGAAAGGGCAGAGCAATTTGTCAACACATCCTAATTTCCATGGAGAAAACCCTGGTGCCTACCTTTTATTCTAAGAAAGACATTCTTTAGGCCAAAAAAAAAAGTCTCCGGTTTCTGGTATGGAGCTTGTCCAAAAAGTGGTGCGGCGACGCGGGTTTTTTTTTTATTTTACCTGACTTTTTTTTTTTTTACCTGACTTTTTTGCTTCAAATGTCGGCTGGTGACTGCAAATGGTGCCCGACTAAACTTAGTGCAAATATATGGGTTTGGCGGTTTTGAGGCATCATCTTTCATTGAAAAAAAAACTTTTTCATTTTGCCGACGCGCATGGCTACGGCGACGCGCGCGCATACCAGAAACCGTGGGCTTTTTTTTTTTGGCCTTATGTAATGTCATCATATAACCCTCAAATGGAAACTGACTAGTTTATATTTCTGTCCTTATCTTTTTAACAAAAGGACACTCTTTGGTAGTGGTCAATTAATTAAAATTCTAAATATTACCAATTTCAAATGTGCGGGGAATACACCAATTTAGTACAGTAGTAAGTCGATTGCAAGAAAATCACAAGTAAAATTACAAATCGCATCACAAGTAACAGATGATCAACAATTGATTTCCCACGCCACAGTTCATTTAAATTGCTTGCGACTTGACTTGAGACTTGTGGTGACTTGTGATTGTCTTATGATTGTCTTGTGCAGGGGTGTGAAATCTCAGCTTAAAAGCTGATTTCAGCTTTTTTGGTTTTGGATCTTCAGCTTTTTTTCAGCTTTTTCCCCCACTTGCTGTGTACAAAAGTATAGGAGATCTCCAAAATTCATTTTTTTTTAAACACCTTTTCCAGCTGTTTTCAGCTATTTTTATCAGTGGTCACTCACACCCCTGCTTGTGATTGACTTATGATTGTCTTGTGATTGACTTCTGATGATGTGATTGACTTGTGACTAACTCAACTTCGACTCTGCCCTCAGAACCTAGAGCTGAAGGATCTGCTGCCCTATGGCTTCGCTATCCACCACGCCGGCATGAACCGCGTGGACCGCGCTCTCGTGGAAGATCTCTTTGCCGATCGTCACATTCAGGTGCTGTGCTCCACAGCCACCCTGGCCTGGGGAGTGAACCTCCCTGCTCACACTGTCATCATCAAAGGCACACAGGTAAGAAAGAAATAGCCTTTCAAGGAACCTACCAAATCATTAAATGTATTATGAAAAAGCTTACTTGGATTAAAGATACTACTGGTACTAAACACTCAGTGGAATTATTCTGTCCAGCTTGCTAGTATTTAGAAGAAATCAAGAAATGTAGGGGATTTCCAACGATCAGTCAATTGACTGATTTTTTTAATAAAGAGTTCTATTGCCGAATCTTGTTTCGTAATCAAAAGGTTCTCCATGGATTTTCATTATTTTCTCAACAAATGTTGAAGCTGAAATTTCAACAGGTTAGGTTTTCAGCAGTCTTCCTTGGATTTTGAGTGGTGGTGTTATTGGATACCAACAAAATGCACCACAAGTAAATTTTTTTTAATTTGTTTTCTCCAGATTTATAATCCAGAGAAAGGTCGCTGGGTGGAGCTTGGCCCCCTGGACGTCCTTCAGATGCTGGGGCGTGCAGGGCGCCCTCAGTACGACACCAAGGGAGAGGGGATTCTCATAACCGGCCACAACGAGCTGCAATACTACCTGTCACTGCAGAACCAACAGGTGGGTTGAAAGAACTCATGGGTCAGGGGTCATTGTAGGTCATGGGTCATTGTTGGTCATGGGTCATTGTAGGTCAATGGTCATCCATGTAATTGTATGCCCTTATTACAAACTTCTCATTAGAGAAAATAGTAATTAACCATAAGCTGAATATTTTGCTATTAACCCTAACCTTCCAAAATCCTCCAAAATCATCTTTGCGTAAGTGGGGGATTTCAAAGGATTAAGGCCGTATGGCAAAAATGTGTAGTTGATTTTGAGAGATGCATTGTGTCAAGGTTTTTAGGCTGTACCTTGCGTTGTTTTAAGCTTGGCCATGCATACATTTAGGCCTAGATTATACTTGAAATCATCTGCACTGCTTCTGGATATCATTGGCAATGCCCCAACGTATTAACAATGATTGTTGGAGAATTTTGCAGGATTCAGTTAGTGGTCACCCCTCCAAGGACAACAATCAAGAAGTAACGGATGATTTTAGAGGATCGGGGCTGAATGCAATTTTTAAACAGAGGCAGTTGATTATTTTGTAGGATTGAGGATGCATCCAATCAAAAAAGCCCTAGGTTAACGCTGCAAATCTGAATTAAGAATTTGAGTTTTGTTACCAGAAACGTTTGAAAATTATAATTATGTCGTTTTAAAGCAAGTAACTAATAGGAAAAATTGTTCCCCCTGTTTGAAATCAGCTGCCCGTCGAGAGCCAGTTCGTGAACAAGCTCTCGGACAACCTGAACGCGGAGGTGGTCCTGGGCAACATCCAGACCATGAAGGACGCAGTGACCTGGCTGGGCTACACCTACCTGTACATCCGCATGATGCGTAACCCGACGCTCTACGGGATACCGGTGGACGCCAAGGATACCGACGCCTACCTGGAGACTCATCGCATCAATCTGATCCACACCGCGGGGTGTATGCTGGACAAGAACAACCTGGCCAAGTACGACAGGAAGTCTGGCCACTTCCAGGTCAGTAGTCATCACTAGTATTTACCATTTCTGTTCAGTTTTTATTCAGTTTATAGATTATACTCCTCAGTGTATGTTGGATTTTTTATGACAGAGAATAAAATTGAAGGTAGTTAACAATAAGTGGTGAAATTCTCCAAAAACAAACTTGTAAAATGAAGACACCCAGAATTACGTCGGAATGAAGTTACCATTTATGTTGTTTTACCGTTTATGTTCATTCACTCATGAAGCTGTCCATGAAAAATTGATTTTTTTTTTTTTTATTTTTTTTTTGATTTTTTTATGTTTAACAGCAAAAGTGAGTGGGTTGCTTAGTGGTTTAGGGCTTGATTGGTAGCCCAACTTTAAAAAAAATATTTGGAGGAATAGGAAAACAAATCACACTTTTTTTTTGGTTTGTTTTTATCTTTATTCACTGAATTTGAACTATCTCAGTTTTAATTCCATTTAATTGCCATCTGGGAGATCAGAAACAGAATGAATACAAGTTTTGTGGGCCCAGCCTCCATATGCTTACCACAGCTCGGCCTGATCGGTGCCCTGTCTGTACAATAGTTGGAGGAACAGCAAAATAATCAACAAAAAGACCACATGCATCTCTCTGTGGTGTATGTGTACTCAGTTGACTGACAGGACCAAGACACACACAAGTGTCAGGCATGCAACTTTTCCTCGGATCAGCTGATTTCCTCTTTTTTTACTTCCCATGTGTGCCATTGAAAATAGAAAAACACTGTACAAAGTCTTGGGAAAATTTGAATTTCCTCTTTTTTTGTGATTTCCCAGTTGCATGCCTGAAGGGTGTAAACACCTTCAATCGTGAACCCCCTATAGTCCGTCTTTTGTTTGAACTTTTTAGGAAGACCTCCCATGTGTTTTGTACGCGATCGTCAATTGTGGACAGTCGGGAATTAGGGACCCTATTGTTTCCTATTGTTCACCTACAGTGGTGATGCCCTGCTACCTACAATGGTGATGCTCACTTTCTGGTACCAGAATGTCACGAGAGCCCTGTATTCTTATTAAGGTGTTGCCATTTTCGTCCACCCAGGTCACGGAACTGGGTCGTATCGCCAGCCACTACTACTGTACCAACGAATCCATCGCCACGTACAACAGTCTTCTCAAACCGACGCTCAGCGAGATAGATCTCTTCAGGGTTTTCTCCCTGTCCAGTGAATTCAGGAACATGGTCGTGAGGGAGGTAAGAACGGACACACACTTGCCCCCTCTGTCAAATGTGGTTAATATTTTCACATATTTGATTCAATTTTTAAATGTTTAATTTTGGAATTGGCTTAAGATGTGTATTTTAAAGTCATAACTGTTTTTTTTTCCGTCGTCACTTTGCGTGCAGGAGGAGAAGCTAGAATTGACCAAGCTGCTGGAGCGAGTGCCTATCCCCATCAAGGAGAGCATTGAAGAACCCAGTGCTAAGGTAACTATCAGATTCAAGGTGCCCCATTCGGATCTTGATATTGTATCTGTTGGAACGTTGTGTCATGAATTTAAATCTCTTTTAGATTTATGGTCGGTTCATAGTTCATGCAAATGCGAAACAAATACGACGTCGGTAAACGATCCCTACAGAATTCGCCAGAGTTAAAATGTGATCAACAAACATGAATTCACAGCGGGAATACTAGCCGTGACGTCACAAATTCGTGTTTGCATTTACTTTCAAGTCGAGTATAAACCAGCTTTTAATTTTATTACCGATCGTGTTTTGGTAAAACACCCATATCAGTACATTAGTGAATTTGGTTAAGGGTCCCCCCCCCCCCCCCCCCCTTTGGGTGTTTTTTTTTTTTTTTTTTTTTGTAGACTTGCCAAAACTTGTGGACAGAGTCCCCCAATCCCCCTACAGTGCCTGTAATAATCCACTTATATGCTTCCCTGTTCCAGGTCAATGTGCTGTTGCAGGCCTTCATCTCACAGCTGAAGTTGGACGGGTTTGCTCTGGTCTCTGACATGGTCTACATCACACAGGTAAAGATAACCAGGAGTCGTAAACCACACTGAAATATGTCGTCAAAATGAGAAGAAATTGTATGTTTAAAGATAATGAGCATTCACAAGTAGGAGGTTGAGAGCGTTGATTTCCAGTTCAAAATCATAATTTATTCAATATTAACTTCATTTTGTTAGTGAACAAAAACTTTGGAATTTGGAAAGTCAGTCCTTTTGCTTATTTCTTAATGGAGATTTGAGGTTGTTCTACAAATAGTTTCAGAATTCAGCTAATGATGAGTGAGTTTCTCATGGGATGTAATCCTGAATTCTGATGAGAGATACCTCTGATGCTGTTTAGTCTTGTCTGTTGGTTAAACCCCTTTTCTATCTGTCTGTTCTCGAGATAAAATCATGCAATAACAGTAAGATTTACTTCAAATCCTGCCCCTTATAGAGTCTGTCTTCTGTGTTAAGATGGGAGAGTTTCTATTTTTGAAATCATGTTTATTTTTTCCTGATTTGCTTTCAGTCTGCTGGGCGATTGATTCGTGCCATCTTTGAGATTGTGCTTCACAGAGGATGGGCTCAACTCACTGACAAGACCCTATCCTTAGCCAAGATGATCGACAAGCGAATGTAAGTGAAACTCTACACTGTACTCATCATTGTTTGCTTCTAAACACCTTGCGTAGGACTGCATGCCCTTGTAATTTTACCCTAACTCCCTACTTACTTTCACTAAGTAGAAGACCTCGTCGGCCAAAATCCATCACTCACTCAGCTTCACCTATATGACATCATGAAGCCCGACAATGAAGTGCTGGTGGATTTGGATGGGCTTAGTACACATGGCTTTATAACAAAAGCAGTACTGGATGCCAGGCAGAATCAACTGGATTCCCCTAGCACTGCTTCAGGCCTCCAGGCCCAAGTCCATCATACTCCTATCAAAATTAAGTCAAACCAGGCCAGCAGTACCATTTCCCCAATAATCAACCAAAATGGAAGGATGGATTTTGATGGAGTTGGAAAGGTTAGGGTTAAACAGGCAATGCAACTTTTCCTCGGATCCGCTGATATCCTCGGTTTTTTTTCTTCTCGTGAATGCTGTTAGAAGTTGAAAAATACTGTACAAAGTCTTGTGTGGTTTGGACTTTCCTCGTGTTTTTCAAAATTCCATGTTGCATGCCTGGTTAAAGTACAAAGAGTAAGCCCTTTCCAGAATTTATTTAGGATTAAGGAAAGTTCCTGGCAAAGGTGCTTGGGGAGTTGACTCCAACTGCCGAGTTGGGGATACTATCAAAGCTCCACCCCACAAGCAATCATGATCCCACTCCCAAAGGTGACCCCTTGCCCTTTTTCTTCTTTCCCCTAGGTGGCAGTCCATGAACCCCTTGCGGCAATTCCGCAAGATCCCCGAGGAGGTGGTGCGCAAGATCGAGAAGAAGAGCTTCCCCTGGGAGCGCTTCTACGACCTGGGCCCCAACGAGATCGGGGAGCTGATCCGCATGCCCAAGATGGGCAAGACCTTACACAAGTACGTGCACCAGTTCCCTAAGCTGGAGCTGGCCACCCACATCCAGCCCATCACCCGCAGCACGTTGCGTGTGGAGCTGACCGTCACGCCGGACTTCCAGTGGGACGAGAAGATCCACGGCAACTCAGAGGTAACAAAGTACTGCCAGTTTGGTATTTTAAAGACCGGAGATCATTCAGGATAACATCGCTGATGTGATGTTATGACACGCCCATTGTACTGGTAATATACACGCAAGCGGCGTGTGCCTGCGTTCAAGGGTATGCGATAATTTTTGTAGACCTACCCTCCATATGCTTACCACAGCTGGGCCAGATCGGTGCCCAGTCTGTACAATAGTTGGAGGAACAGCAAAATAATCGGCAAAAAGACCACCTGCATCTCTCCGTGGTGTATGTGTACTCAGTTGACTGATATGTGTATTCTGAGCTTCATGATAGTCTTTAAGTAAGTTGAAAATTTAGTTGAAATAGTTGCTCAATTAACGTTTTTTGGGTGTGTTTGTTCTCAGGCATTCTGGATCCTTGTTGAAGACGTCGACAGTGAAATCATCCTCCATCATGAATACTTCTTGCTCAAGAGGTACTTATTTATTAAATTTTTTGGTAATGAGAGTCGCTCATCACAAGGTCTATTTAAGGGCCACTCAAAGTGAGGGCTACACAAAGAAGGGACAGAAAAAGAAATCTCCGAAAAGAAAAAAATACTTCAAGCAGAAAGTTACGTTTGAACCGGAACAGATTATCATCAACAAGAAGATACCGGTAAGGAGTTCCATAGTGAAGCAGTGCGTGGGAAGAACCCGAATGAATACTTCCAAGAATTTGCTTTGGGAACAATGTCTGTATATGCTATCCTTTTCCCTTCTTGAATTTATTAGTACCGCTTTGGTTCAGAGAAAATTCTTGCTGTGATGACATTCGAAGTGTAGACCATTGTGAGCATGATGCTGCCCAGTATTTTCCGACAAATAAAATCAGGAAGGACCTACAGTCATTGTCGTTACTTCATCCACATTTTTTTTAAAAGTAGTTTATGCCTTCAAAGTGCTGTGAAATCTTGTAAATTTGTGACAGCAACCTGCAGCTTTAAAAGCTTTTTAAATTTTGTTTCTTTTCTATTTCCGGTTTTGTTTTTTTTTTTTGGTAAAGACTAAAGCAAAATATTCTGCATGATTTCAAATCTGGCGTGTGTATTGACATTAAGATTTGTTACTCGACAGTAAATTTGCCCAGGATGAGCACATCGTCAAGTTCTTTGTTCCCGTCTTCGAGCCGCTACCTCCTCAGTATTTCATCCGTGTTGTCTCAGATAGATGGATCGGTAAGTCTGTTTGTTTGTCTCTGTCACCATTCATGTGTGTGTTTCTGAGTGATAGTTTTTTGGTGTGTTTTGTATTACACAGAGCCATCCCAGCAGGCAAAATCAATCAAGTGACTGTTTTTAACAACAAAGCGCTCCCTGATTTCATAAAGCATAATTGACTGGTTGTGACTGTTTATGTTTTATAACTTGGGAAAGAATGTTGCAACCTGTATCATCTTAATGAAGGTCGGTCATTGAAAAAATGTTGAAAAAGACATGAATCTGGGACTGGAGACATTTCCAATTTTGTTGGAAACACTTTGTTAGAAAATGCACTCAACTCTCTATAGACTTTTGTACACAACTGCTGTAGTGGCGTCAGGATGCAGCATTCTTTCCATAACTGTTACGACTTTGTCTTGACTGCATGTCTGTGCTCAAAACTGTCATGTCTTCTAGCTTGATATATGTATCAATATTGTAGTCATACCTCCTTTAAATTACTTGTTGACTGGTTTCTTCATGACCAGCCTGCTCTGTATTTTGGAGGGAAAACAAACCAGCCAATCAAAGAGCATGCGGATTGGGCCAATAATCCCCATGAACTCTGTTGGCGGACATCTTGCAAAAACTTCATCAAAAAAGTGTAGAAAGGATCTATTCAACATTGATGTGAATCGCATGACTTGAAACTTAACACATACATAGATCTTCAGATAAAAATTTGTCCCTTACGATGATGTCATAATGAGGTGACTATATGTTTGTAATATTAGCCTAAATGTACATTGTTATTGTTTTGACAAACACAAATCTAGTTTCCCATTGGTTTATTCAGTCTAATTAAGTAAATTAGTTCCATAGTTTCAAAAAGTTGAATGGAAAGAATTAAATGGACAATTGGTTTCCAATGGAAGATGAATGGCTTTCCATATATTCTTTGCCCCTCCCCTAGCCTCTGAGACGCAGCTGCCAGTGTCCTTCCGTCACCTCATCCTACCAGAGAAGAACCTTCCTCCCACAGAACTCCTAGATCTCCAGGCTTTGCCCGTCTCTGCCTTGAGAAACCCTACCTTTGAGACTCTGTACAGCAGCAAGTTCTCTGTCTTCAACCCCATACAGACCCAAGGTACAGATATTCAAAGATTCAAGATTTTAACATTTAATTTGGTAGTCACAAAAAATGTTAAGTTTGTCTCTTGAAAAATTTGTTATGGAGAAGTTTCTCAAAACAGTTGTTTACATGTTGAGAGTATTAAAATTGTTTTTGTGACAATAGAGGTCAGTTGAATCCATCAACAGTAATATTAACGATGAGAATTGTAATACATCAATCTGAAAGAGCGCATAATAACAGAAAGAAAGCAGTAATCATATATGGGGAGTAATTCACAAAACCTAAGTGTTGCCTCAAAAAAGCCATTTTCCAACATCATACATGTAGTGCACTTCCTGAAGAGATTATTTTGTAGCTGTTTCTTTGTGAGAATACCGAGACAAATCAAAAGCCGTGTGAAAATTTTAATATGAAAACCAAAAATAGCAAAGTTTTCCTTGTGCTAAAAAAAAAAAATTAACACATTGGAAAATTTCTAAAAATAAATGTTGACTTGTCCCTGTGATGTGCTGCAAAAAAACCTGGCCCTCCATGGTAAGGCCAAAAAAAATAGTTCTGCTTTCGGTTTCCCTACCTACCCTATTCTGACAGCCCCTACCCTATTTTTTTTATGGGAAAAATGAGGGGGGAAAAACACCCAAAACCATCAATTCTTACCTTTAACCCTTGACTACATGCAGACGCCTCCATTTGATAAAAAAATTCCCCTTCCCCCCCCCCCCCCAAAAAAAACATTGCCGTCCTACCTACCCTATTTTCAAATGCCATGTAATCGGAAGCAGAATTTTTTTTGGCCTAAACTTACGGTTGTGCACAGTTTTGTGAGTTTGTGACGTAAAGCCCTCACTTCAAAGTTGAATGTTTCCCTTCCAGTTTTCAATGCCGTGTACAACATGGATGAGAATGTGTTTGTAGGAGCGCCCACAGGCAGTGGTAAGACCATCATTGCGGAGTTTGGCATCCTGAGAATGCTGACCCAAGCACCGGAGGGGAGGTGCGTCTTTGTCACTCCGCTGGAAGCGTTGGCCGAACAGGTAATTCCTCCAAACTCAGCCGTAATTTAAGTTGCGCATTAATTACATGTGTGCTTTTCTTTTGGAAGCCAGGTGAGAACCAAAGCCACCATCTCCCATTATATGGCATGCATGTAAACATGACATCACATCAGCATGTTTCAGGTCTGTTCCATAAATTAAATAATTGTATCTGTGAAGGCATTTGATTTAAGCATGAAATTTATTTAACCGGTTCCCGTTGGAGGACATGATAACACGCACTGGCTGTTTTTATACTCGGGCTCGGCTGACTGTTTAAAACGTGAAGATTGCCTCGACTTGCCTCCGGGTGATGTCTAAACACGCTGATCCCTCGTGCCTTTTGTACACACACACAAAGTCTGTGAAGTCTATGGAGGTGGACCGTATGTTGATCTTGAATTGGCCTTTGTGCACAGCCTATTGTTTGACAATTTACGCTCCAGTGCACACCTCAGAGTATTGAAACAAATACTGTTGAAATGACTCTTGCGAATCAGTAGTTGTGGCGTTTGGCTGTAAGTTGGCTGCAAAATTTGGCCTTTCGCGAAAATAGAAATTTTCAGCAAAAATAAATCCTGACGCGAAGTGAGCTGGTTATTTTGAGATTTCCATGAATATTAAGGATAGAACAAGTCCTTCTCACTTCATTGTCCAAAAAAAGTATTGTTATCCGGCTGATTCAACACAATTTTCAAACAAATCTTCAAGTTGAAGACTCTAATATAATATTGGGAAATATTGTTCTCGTGATGAACCTACCAATAAAAAAGTCACCGTAGTTTTTGTGTGATTTGTTCTACAGTTTGAAATAGCCAAGTATCACTTGTTTAAAGTAATAATCCGTGGCATGTGGTAGTAGTATACTGACATCCTCCTTCACTTACCAGCAGTGTGGTGAGTCCGTTTCCAGACTGTTCATTAGCAGGAGGTACATAATCAGGCCAATCAAAGAGCATGGAGTTTGGAACAATAAACTTCATGAACTCTGTTGGCCGACATTTTTACACCACTGTCCAAGACTTGCAAGCTCATGCCTATTGCAGATTCATATTGTACCTTCCATTTGGTGTTTAAATCGGTTTAAATCCTAGTGAACAATTCACAACTTCTAAAGCCTAGCCTGTTAAACAAAGAATCAATACCTTGTAAATATTGCATCCAACTTGTATCTCCCAGGTCTACACGGAGTGGTACGCCAAGTTCCAGATGCAGCTGGGCAAGAAGGTGGTCCTGCTGACCGGGGAGACCAGCACGGACCTGAAGCTGCTGGCCAAGGGGAACATCGTCATCAGCACCCCGGAGAAGTGGGACGTGCTGTCGCGCCGGTGGAAGCAGCGCAAGAACGTCCAGAACGTCAACCTGTTTGTTGTGGATGAGTTGCAGCTGATTGGCGGGGACAACGGGGTGAGTCTCGTGTTCCTGTCATGTGGTATTAGTCATTTAATGTATGGACTCAAATTCCCAATTTATTGACTCAAGGTTCATAAGCGCCACTTCTAAGGGTACAAAGTAATAGTTGGGTTAGACCACTGGGAAGGATATTCAAACATGTTGCTTGCGACGCCTGACGCACTTGCAAAGGCAGTTCATGAGATCAGTCGTTGAAGTGTTGTTTTAAATTCAACGTAATAAAGTAAAAACAAATGCACAAAGGTCCTCTAATCTTATGGAACAAAAAGCTCTGCCCCTCTAAGAAAGCCACATTGTAAATGCGCTTTTGCAGCTGTATTTTAAAGCTAGCTCAAAGCAAACAGTAGTGAAATTTCGTGCTAAGGGCCAGGACCTGGCCCCCTTTTGCAAAAGGCAAAGCTGTACCATCTTTATCCCTCCCCGAAACTTCAATCAAAATGTCAGTTTTTTTGCTTGGTTGCAGCCCGTTCTGGAAGTCATCTGCTCCCGGATGCGATACATCTCGTCTCAGATTGAGCGCAACATCCGCATCTTGGCTCTCAGCTCCTCCCTAGCCAACGCTAAAGACATCGCTCAGTGGCTGGGGGCCAGCACCACCAACACCTTCAACTTCCATCCAAACGTCAGACCGGTACCGTTGGAGTTGCACATACAGGTAAAGACTGAAGTAGAGGCCCGTATGCCCATTCCATAGGGAAGTTCCAAAGTCACACCAAACCCAATCTTATTCATTTTGAAGAGTGGATGCATGAAAGTATGGTACTTGGATTTCAGACATTGCGTATGATGAGTGAACGTTTCTCAGGGATGTAATCCTGAACTCTGATGATAGAAACCTCTGATGCTCTGTCACTCCGTCTTTCTGTCTGGCTGTCTGTTAGTCAGCTGTCAGGCTGCCTGTGGGGCTTAGCTCTTTTTATCTATCTTTCTTTTCCAGCGATGACATAACTTTACTGTCCTGATTATTAAACCTAAATACTACACTTAAAATTGAAAACTTAAAGAGTCAAAAAGTTAGTGAACATTACAGTGAATTTAAGTTCAGTTTGGCAATAGTGTTTGTGAACAACAGTGCTTGTTTTATATGGCTGTCCGTAGGGATACTGTGATCCTTGTAAAAGCATTGTCAATCCCTATATCATTGTGATCATTAGATACGTTCTCTCTAGCAGTGTTTCCCCTGCCCATTCAAACGTGAGGTGGCCAACCTCGCTACTTTCAGTGACCACCTCGCTCAATTTTTGCCAATATCACCACCTCGCTGTGAAGATTGGCAAAAAAGGAAATATCAATTGAAAAATTTTCATTTTGTGTAGTATATGAGCATTTTCCTTTACCTCCATGTATCAAGAACTCACAATTTCGATGTGTTTTTGGAATCATCGCGCATTTTTGTGAGCGCTGCATTCTTTTCAGTTTGCAGACTGCGTAAATTTCGTTTCAATCATCAACTTGAATTGTTACCACCTCGCTCAGTTCATTAGCCAGGGGAAACACTGCTCTCTAGCCATCATTTTTTCCCTCACCATTGTATTTTTCAACATCTCAGGGGTTCAACATCACCCACACCGCCTCCCGCCTGATCGCCATGGTCAAGCCCACCTACAACGCCATCTTGAAATACTCGCCCAACAAGCCCGTCATCGTCTTCGTGCCGTCGCGCAAGCAGACCAAGCTGACGGCCATTGACCTCTTGACCTACGCCTCGGCCGAGGACACGGAGGAGAGCCGCTTCCTTCACGTGCCCAAGGAGGACCTGGCCGGCCACATCAGCAAAGTCAACGATGAGGTAGGTACTCCTTGAGGAGAGTGTAAGAAGGGAAAAATGGGCCACCGTCATAAAACTATTAACTCAAAACTTTTTTTAGCCTAAGAAATTTTTGCTTAGTGCCTACGAGGCACCAACCAAAATGTCAATGATAGGCCACGTTGGGATTACGCCTATGGAATCGGCTGTTGCTATTGGGGGTGCAATTCGTAGGGCCCAGTACTGTCAGGCTAAGCTCAACATTTTCTGCTTGCAGTCCAGCCATTTTATGCAAAACATAAGCAGTAAGCACATTGCGAGTTAGCCACGCCCCTTAGACAACCCTATGGAGTATTGTACACTAAGTTTTGTTTGTCTCAGATTTTGTGCGTTCTGTGTCCATTTGTATATCATGTAATTGGACAATATTTCACAAGCTGCGTTGACTTGATTCTAACACGATTCTACCTCGATAGGTCAATTGGCCCTTACCTTGGACATTACTTTTTGCAGTTTCTGCTTGCAAAGCAAAATTCAGCCATGCAGTTATGTTTGAGTTTGTAAACAGCAGTTGATGAAGAAATAAAACTGTTCATACTTACCAGCTTCAACAAATGTTTGTTCCCAGGATAGTGTGAGGAAGGGTAGAGAACGTAACCAGCATTAGATTTCCGGCATGTGATGAGTGAATTTTTCTCAGGGATGTAATCCTGATATCTGATGAGAGAAACCTCTGATGCTGTATGAAAACTTAAAAAGTTTCATCAAGCCCTCATTCCTGAAGTTGGATTTGCAACGAATGCATATTTAATGCTTGACAAGTCCTGGTCCAACAAGTTTTACGATTATTTTTAATTTTCTTCGTTTGGTTGGGTTTTTTTAAAATTAAATTGAAGGGTTGAACTGTTCGGCATGAAATGGTAGCTCTGAATGATCATGACAACAGAAATTTCAATGCCAGTTTAATATTCAATGAACATTTTAGAAAATTTATCTTGAAATAAGGATATGTCCATTTTTTGTGTTTGGCCCACCTCTATTTTAAAAATTATGTGTTGCTGAAATGAAACTTTTTCTCCACAAAATGGTTTTTGATCAATTGAACCGAAAATGTAACCAAACATTTGACAAAATGCAAAAAGTACAGGGCCTTACATTGTTAATTGATAGCTTGATTAATTGATGAAATGACCCAATTTTTGAAGGGTGTCCCGAGTCCCTAGGAACGTAAACTTGAAGGTGTAGATGGAGTTTTAATTGTAATTGTTAACCCCCTTGCTCACCATTTCGTCTGCAGACCCTGTGTGAGATGTTAGAGAACGGCATAGCCTACCTCCACGAGGGCTTGTCGGAACTAGAGAAGAAGGTCGTGGAGCAACTCTACACCTCCGGAGCCATCCAAATCGTCGTCGCTGCTCGCAACATGTGCTGGGGCATGACCTTCCCCGCCCATCTGGTGGTTGTCATGGATACGCAGTATTACAATGGAAAGATCCATGCGTGAGTTAAGGTTTTTCGTTGACGTTTCAAAGTTGTGACGTATACAAGTTGAGAAGGAGAAATTATAAGTGCTTGGACATTATGCAATGACACAAATTATCTGGTTGTACTGGAATGGAGTTTTGACTTCTTGTTACTCTCAAAAACACATCAAGATTAATATACATAATTTGTTTTGACGAGACTACTTCAAGATTCTATGCTAAAAGTGTCATTTTCATGGGCTAGTGTGCCTAAGAAAAACATTTTAAAATGAGCTTTTTTTTTTTTTTTTTTTTTTTTTTTTTGCCCAGCTATGTTGACTATCCAGTGACTGATGTCTTGCAAATGGTAGGAAGAGCCAACAGACCAGAGATCGAACACGAAGGTAAAATATCTCACATCTATCTGCGTGACACCTGCCACCGTTTGTCCTAAAAAGAAGAGGTCCTGATTATTTGCGGACTTTGTTCCAAAAGAGATGCATGAAAGTCTGGCACTTGGAATTTGTTTTCAGACGTTGCATGTGATGAGTGAAATTTTCTCAGGGATGTAATCCTGAACTCTGATGAGAGATACCTCTGATGCTCTGTCACTCTTGTCTGTCTGTTTGTTTGTTCCTCTGTTGGACTGTCTGTCTGTTGGTCTGTCTTTCTGTCTGTGTCAGCTGTTTTTCTGCCGCTCGAATGAACGTCTGTTGTCTGTCATTTTTTGTCATCTAGATTTCAAAACCTGTGGGCCTTATGCACGAGTTGGCAATTTTTGTCGTGTTCCCAGAAAGTATTTCATAGATTGTGAACTGTTGAATGGGATGATGCCAGACTATTTGTTCACTATAGCATCACTTTCTTTCTTTTTCAAATGGGGCTTAAAACATTAGAGTATGTTTAATCACACATTTTTAATTAGTCATCAGAGCAGACTGGTATTAATTTGTAACGTCATTGCTTTCATTTAATAAGATGGATTTTTTGGGTCGGGGTGATGTAAATCAAATTAGGTCTTGCCCTTCACCGACGTATAAACACTGTATATTCAGTGTGTTACCTCCCGAGTGGAAGTTGGAAAAAATCACTTGGGTGGGACTCAAAAATTCCAAAAATGAAGATTTTTCCTCACTGTCAATCCAATATGGCCGACTCATGAATAATTCACACAAATTTACAAGCAGGATAGCCTATGAATGTCGACATACAATCTCTTCACTGTGGCAATTGTGTAAAGCATGAACAAACCTTTAAGTCTGACGACTCTCTTTTCTAATTTGAAATGTTAATATTCTCCCTGTTTTCTTGATTGATTTTTGTGTGTTTTTTTGTGCTGATTTCCAACATTAACCTTGATGTTTTCCTTTGTAGTTGGCAAGTGTGTGATTCTCTGCCAAGGTTCCAAGAAGGATTTCTACAAGAAGTTCTTGTACGAGCCACTGCCGGTGGAGGTGAGCTTTTTTTCCAATGTTCCTTTCGTTAATTTCACTAATTAGTTCAATATGCAAGTTTGGAGTGAACTGAAAAAAAAAAAAAACCAAAAAAAAGCGACATTATTACGAACTGATCTTGAATCATCATTGCTTCGGTTTGCAGCATTGTTAGTGTTGTTAGCATCATGACTTTGATGACAAAGTTTGGTATGTTTTCAGGCATCCTTATTATTTGCCGAGTTTTGGTCCGAAAAATGGATGCATGAAAGTATGGTACTTGGATTTCAGACTTTGCACGTGATGAGTGAACGTTTCTCAGGGATGTAATCCTGAACTCTGATGAGAGGAACCTCTGATGCTCTGTCACTCCGTCTTTCTGTCTGGCTGTCTGTTAGTCAGCTGTCAGGCTGCCTGTGGGACTTAAGTCTTTTTTTCCATCTTTTTTTTTCCAAGCCAAAATATGACTTTCGGCATGATCCCTTGCTACATGCCATATATTTCGGTTTGTGGCTTCTGACTAGCGCACGGGGACAAAGTCATTGGACATTCATTTCTGAGACTGCCATCACATTTTATGCATTCACTTTAATCATTTTAAAGTTGGTGTATACATGCTTTTTGGGTGTGGCACATTGGAAAATAGGTCAGGGAACCAGACTACAAGAACAGCATTTTTTTTTGGGGGGGGGGGGGGTTTTGCAGCATCTATGAACACAAAACTTTGAGCAGGTCAGTGTAACAATATTTGCTATAAAATAGTAAACCCCAAATCCACCCATCCTTCTGAAAATTGCAGCAAAAGCAAATGTTGTATATTCAGCAGTTAATTTTTCAAATTGTAACATCCTGCAGTCAGTGCAAACAGAACTGAATTTTAGAGTTTATCAGCTGTATTTTAAAATTTATCTGCTGAAAAAAAAGTCACACAAATCACCAAAAACAAAATTAGTACTTTCTGTTTGATTGATTAGGATTGAATGATCTCCTGGCATATTACTTAATTTTCTTGTTTTTTTTTACATTTTGTTTTTACCAGTCTCATCTTGATCACTGCCTCCATGACCACTTCAACGCGGAGGTGGTTACCAAGACGATTGAGAACAAACAAGACGCAGTGGACTACCTGACGTGGACGTTTCTATACCGACGCATGACGCAGAACCCTAACTACTACAACTTGCAAGGTGCTTAAAAATCAAAATTCACTTATTAATTTTAAAAAAAACTCTGGATGACTATATTCTGTCGTTCGCCTGTACACATAGGCCCTACGATGAGTCTTTTTACAGTTTGTCCCGCTGCCAATTATATTTGGAATGTATTGAATAGCTAGTCAATCTTTTATGATGGAAAATTGGGGAGGGTGATTTTAAAAAAAAACAAATTAAAAAAAATATTGATAATTTTGAATGGTCCCTTACGTATAATTACCAATAAGCCTTGTGTATGTTTCAACCATTGTATTGTATGCTATATCCAGGAGTGACCCATCGACACCTGTCGGACCACCTGTCAGAGCTGGTAGAGAACACCTTGCAGGACCTGCAGCAATCCAAGTGCATCAGCATCGAGGATGAGATGGACATCTCCCCGCTCAACCTGGGCATGATCGCCGCCTACTACTACATCAACTACACCACCATCGAGCTCTTCAGCATGTCCCTCAACAACAAGACCAAGATCAAGGGGCTGATCGAGATCATCTCCTCGGCCGCCGAGTACGAGCAGATCCCCATCCGGCACCACGAGGACTCGGTCATGAAGCAGGTGAGTGGGTGGGGATTAGCTTTGATGGGATTAGCTAGGAGGGATTAAGGGGTCGAAGGATTAGGATGGGTAATAAGATCAAGTGACTGATTGAGATTATCTCCTCGGCCACCGCGTACGAGTAGTTCCAATCGTACACCACAAGGACTCAGTCATAAAGCGGGTGGGGATTAGGAAGAGGATTAGCAGGAGAGATTAAGGGATCAAAGGATTAGAATGGGAAATAAGATCAAGTGGCAGATTGAGATCATCTCCTCGGCTGCCTAGTACAAGCAGATGCCCATTTGGCACCACCAAGACTAAATATTTTCAAAATGGCGGGCGGAGCTGTTTCAACAACCATTTCATGAACGACAAAACTCATACACAAACAGCTGTCGCAAATGCTGTTATTATCCTCGCCCAGTTTCATGCAATTCGTTGTGCAGCTGCGCAATAAAATAGCTGCGTAAGTCCTATGCATGGCTAAAGTTACACACTGTTTCGTGAAATCAGCTGCTGTTGTGGCTGAAGCTTTTGTAGCAGCTTCAGCTGTGACTTCACAGCATTTGCATGTTACAGTCACAATACATAGACAAAGACAAAAATGTTCATTTTGGAGACCACCAGTGTGCCAAACTCTTACCTGTCAATAACCACCACTGGTGTATCAGTGCAAAGTCCCCACCCTATCTGTCTCACTGTGTCTCACAGTGTGTATCACCCCTTCTATCTTGGCATCCCTGTGTTGACTCTGTACGCATTGGGTGTATGAATGAAGGGAAATCAAATTGATGCTGACCAGCCTTCGGTGCCGGGGTTTGACAGTACCCCACTGCCATCCTCTAGCAGCATTACAAAATTCCTGTTACATTACAAATGTTGTGCAAATCATCCGTTATGAGATATTCTATGAGCATGAGTAGAACACAGAATAATGTATTTAGGCCAAGTTTCAGAATCGACCAATCAGGAACGAAAATTCAAGTTTGCTCGAAAATACCATAAATTGTGTGATTTGAAGCTGTAAGCATCTTTGCAATGCCAGCACAGCCATCCAAAGGATAAAAATGAAGTTATATTCCGTGCTTGTTTCTCTCTGTTGCAGTTATCAAGTCGTGTGCCCAACAAGTTGGCTAATGCTCGTTACAACGACCCTCACGTCAAGACCAATCTCCTGATCCAGGCTCATCTTGGTAGGATGCAGCTGTCTGCAGAGTTACAGTCGGATACCGAGGACATCCTTGGCAAAGTAAGTCTTGCAAAAGTTTCCCCAAACTTTGTATTTATGCACTACTTGCTTACTTTGTGTTTTTTGCTTTTACAATTCATTATTTAATCTGATGTTCTAAAGGCTTAGCTTTTAAACGCTAACCCCTCGCATATTTTGACTAGAAACCTTCTGAACGCAGCAACATGCAACACTAGTCCAAATGACAAGCCAGCCCAGTGTAGTAAGATTCATCAGGTCAACAGTCTCAAGGCCAAACTGCCTCAAGGACTCTGCCTCTGCCTCAGACTCTGTGAATACCAACTAATGTTTGTGTTTGGCATCCGTAGTGTAAATCACTGTCAAGATATGACATCTCTAACCCTCTATAATTTTGCCCGTCTTTCAGGCCTTGCGGCTGATCCAAGCCTGCGTGGACGTCCTATCCAGTAACGGCTGGCTCTCCCCGGCCCTAGCCGCTATGGAGCTGGCCCAGATGGTCACCCAGTCCATGTGGAACAAGGACTCCTACCTCAAGCAGCTGCCGCACTTCTCCTCCGACCTCATCAAGAAGTGCACAGAGAAGGTAACCAGTTCTGGTCTTGATCTCTCTCCTTGTCTTTTTCTTCAGATCCATGGAACAGTGATAATGTGAATGCAAGGCCAGGGATTGTGAAATTGATGTGAAAAGTTTCGGCAAATTTTGCCTGTACGCTTGAGAATTTGCAGCTTAAAAAACGTTAAAAAAACATCACAAATTTGCATTTGCTTGTAGGCCTAGTGTCAACTGGCCATAAGATTTGAGATTTTTCTCCTCACTTGATTTCTAATTTCATAACATTTCATAACATTTCGGCAGTTTCGTTTTTGAGTGTTTGCAAATGATCCTGTATGGAATGTTTTGCTGCAGGGTGTTGAGAGCATCTTTGACATCATGGAGATGGATGACGACGATCGTAATGAGCTTCTGCAGCTGGCCGACGCTCAGATGGCCGACGTGGCCAGATTCTGCAATCGCTACCCCAACATCGAGCTCACCTACGAGGTGCAAGAGAAGGACAGTCTGGAAAGGTAGGCCAAAATGGTCCCAACACTCATTCCATGGGCCTGAAAGCACGACGTCATTATGTGCCTGGTCCATTTGACTTACTCAAGGTACATGTTTTGTGCCAGAACTTGTTGTTGCTGAAATTTAATGAATTGACAAGTGTTATTGATTCCGCATGACTTTCGGCTGGTTCCTTTCAGTGGTTCCCCTGTGGTCGTCAACGTGATTCTGGAGAGGGAGGATGAAGTCACCGGACCAGTCGTAGCTCCATTTTTCCCACAGGTTTGTGGTTCTTTTCTTTTATTTCATTTTCCCCGGCATAAGAACAGTTAAAAAAAAAATACTTATTACCGCCACGAAATTGGCCCTGCTTTTCAAACGCCTCACTTCCAGGTAACATCGCCCCTCATTTCATACTTTGGTCCCTTTTGTTTTTTGCACAGAAACGCGAGGAGGGCTGGTGGGTGGTGATCGGCGACACCAAGACCAACAGCCTGATCTCCATCAAGCGGCTGACCCTGCAGCACAAGGCCAAGGTCAAGCTGGATTTCGTGGCCCCGTCCCCGGGCACCCACAACTACACCATCTACTACATGAGCGACTCCTACATGGGCTGTGACCAGGAGTACAAGTTCAGCATCGAGATCCGCGAGGCGCGGGACACCAGCAGCGAGGACAGCGACGAGGAGAGCTCCGACGACGAGTAGGATGGGTGTGCGCAATGCGCGGAGTCGAAGCGGGCGCTGTTTAAAGACGCCAGCGCACCAGCTTGCAAAGCTAGTGACAAAAAAAAGTTAGCTTTTAACAGAAGTTTGGCTAACATTTGCGTTGTCGATAGAGGGCGCTGTTCAACAATGCCAAGGATACCAGCAAAGTGTACGTTGATGGGAATAGCTCCGAGTCGTTGGTGGTTTCTGAATTTGTGCCTTCATCTTGAGGGGGCGCTGTTTAGGGTTTTTGCAATTGTACAAATGTAAATGAGGTCAATATCCAGATGTACGGGGCCAAGAATTTTGACGGACTGTCTTTGTGTGGTTGCCACAATATGAAATTGTCAGTTTGTCTTCATATTGATGAATCAGACTTGAAAATGATCGTTACTTTTTCTGATATTTTCAAGGTAATTCAGTTTGTATGTTTTGTTTCACTGTTTTTAAAGTCTTTTTGCACTTTGTTGTAATCGTGGAAGATAGAAGGTGGCAAATGGACCAGTTCTTGGGAACATTGCAAAGTATTTGAGGGGAGACTTGTAAAAATGCTTGATAAAGCACCACAGCTTGATAGGGTTAATAATAATATGTATCTCTTTTGTTCTTGTTCTTTGTTTTCCATTACTGTTAATACAAGGCACCTGTTCTGACAAGGTAATTCGTAGAGTCCCAAGGACCTTGTTATATAGGCGTTTGACTGTACATATTAAAATTGAGAAGAAACAATGGATAAGAGAAGATAGTTTTAAATGGGCGGTGCCCAGTTTTGTAAAAAAGGTTTTGGTGAATGTTGTCTACTTATGTGCTCAGAATTTTTCCACTTTTTTTTTTAAGCAACATTCCTCCAATAAAAAAAAATTATGTTTTTTGAAACATAAGCCCGAGGCTTAAGTATGCATTTGTATGAAAGATTTTTTAAGGTACTGCCTGAATTCACATTTTTTTTAAGCATGTTGTTTGGTTTTTGTACAGGTTGGTGTGGACAAAAAGACAAGTTTGCTAAATTTAATACATGTAGCAAAAAGGGTCCAAGTAAAACCACAGAAAAGAATATTTCATTAATTTGTTCTTTTATTTCTCTTGACATTTCTCTAACTGAAGCAAAGAAGAATTTTAGGAAATAAAATAATAGTATGAATCAAGGGTTGTTTTTTTCTTTGGTCACTTTTTCAACATCAGTGTCAGCAAATGCCCAATATAATCAAGTTCAGGAACGGTTTTACTTGACCTCAAGGCATGGGGCATCTTAACACCAAGTTAGGAACAATATTAACTACATGAAATTTTTTTGCCTCGATGCTCGACACCAATTTTCTTGCTAGTCCAATAAAGAATGCATTCATTTGATCCTGTACATAAACGTTGAGTGTTCCTTTTGAAATATTTAAGTTTTAAACCAATTTAATAAAACAGTGATAAGCGATATGAAATTTATCAGTGTGTGGTGTGTTGTAGTTTGATCTGATTTGAAAACAAGTGTTGCTTGCCCTGCATATGCTTTCAGATGGTGAAATTACAGGGTTTTTTGTCCTTTTTGACAGTTAAAACGGAGAAATATAGGGGAGTCAGGTTGGCGTAGTGGTACTTTCCTCGCCTTCCACCGCTGTGACCCGGGTTCGAATCCCACCTGGGCCAATATGTGGATTGGGTTTTCAGTCCCTACCTGATTCCGTGGGTTTCCCCCAGAATATTCTTCTGGGCTTTTCCTCCCACCTCTAAAACTGTAACTTCTTCTCACTGTCTTCTCTCCACAGGTTTCTTCAGGCTTGCGAGCTACAGTGCCTAGGGCGCTTTTGAGGAATCCTTGGTTTCATTACCAGAAATGATTAATAATAATAATAATAATACAACAATACTTTTACAAGCTCAAAATATACAATATAAATATTTTTTGTTCAAAACTAGAATACATATAAGAATACTCTTTTCAACAATACGACAAGCTATACTTTTGACATGTGACTGTGTTTGAGAATGTGTGATGGAAATTTCACTACCTAATACATGCTTTATAGTGTGCTGTAAAGTATGCTCAAAGAATACAACTACCGTATACATCTAGCAATTTTTTTCCCACATCACTTTTGAAATCAATGTACTGTGAAACACCATGACAAGAGGTTTGCGCACAACTGTAATTTAAGGAAATTCCGTGTTGAAACGGGTGTAATTCACTACCTTGTTTGGTTATCTAATGTGCATTAAAATTGAAATATGTGAATATTGACCACATCTTAAACCCTGCCGAATCTATCGTAACCAACACAACAAGGAATGTGAAGCCTGTTCAGTCCAAACGGTAGAACAAAAGGTCGTCTTTGCTGCTGCCGATATGAACAGCATCCGAGGGTGTGCTTGTTTGGGATATCTGTACTCGTCTGGGTTAGGGTTTAAGACGGCCAACTAGTACCAACTTCACTATTGCATGTCCCTGGTCCACTACGAAGCCGTTTGACAAGACACATAAGGCACAAGAAGTTACATCACAACCAACATCTAAAAGAACCGATTCTATTGGTTCATCCTTGCCTGGTCCCCTGTCAGACTCGGCCAATTGCAGACCACAGATTTTTAAACTGGTCCCCGTTACACCTTCTGGTTGTAGCAGACGACTTCATTCAGGTCGTAGCCCGACAGGGCAAAGCTTCGACCACTCTTGTTCGTAAACTGGGCCCCGCTCAGCTGGGTGTCCGATACGCTCTCGCTGAACATCAACTGAATCTAAAAATCAAATCACACAAAAAAAATCAGTGAAGGTTTATGTTCAGAATTCTGACCTAATTAGTAGTGAACCAAAATAAATTGCTCAGGAATTTGGAATGAAGTCAAGTTGCTGTCAAGTCATTAAAAGTCATCCAGTCATCGAAAGCTATTCAAATGAAGTGTCACAAGGGAAGTCCTTTGTCGTTGTTTATCCCTCGTTCTTCTGACTGACTTGATGAGAACTCTAAAATAAAGTGATAATGGCTGTTGATAGAAATTGCTCATGTACTTTCAGCAAAATTCTTCAGCAAAATTGACAGCTAACAGTTCTGTCCTAAAAGGTCTCATCTTAAGGTGTTTCCCCACAACCCTCTACAAGGCTGTGCAAGAAGTCCATTGATAAGTGGCACTGTCTAGTTACTGGACCAAAGAATACGTCTGCCAAGTCATCAGTATACAAGAATAGTTTTCTCTTACCTGAGTTACATCCCCGTCTTTGGAAACTGACCACACCCTGACAAAGGTGTCTTCAGAGGTTGACAAGAGCTGGGGAGACAAACAAAAAAACAAAAAACTTCAAGAGTTAAAGCCCACCCAGAGGTTTAAGTGGAGTTGTCAGCTATCATTACATTATATACTTGATAACCCTTCTAATTTCAAGTACAAAGGGCGTACGCAAGGCTTCAACACAAATCAGCATCTTGCACTCGGATTTATTTTTATATTCAGTGAAACTTCAACCTATTATAAATCAACTGTGGTGTCTTACCAAGCCAGCGGTCGGCGCTATATCAATGGCATGGATCCACTTGGCGTGGGCGCAGATTTCTGAGACCAGTGTCCCTCTCATGGCATCGAATACCCTGATGTGACCTGACCCAAACCCGCCGATCACCAAGCCGTCAAAGAAACACACCGAGGAACAAGTCACTCTGGGAATATAAGACAAATTCAGAACAGCAACGAGTCAAAAAATATTTCCAGCATCAAGTCTATAAAAGGGGGAAAATGTGCAAATATTTTGTAATAGAAAACCAAGCCTGGTTGGACTTACCCGCCACCGTTAATCCGGCAGACCCTTGTGAAGTTCTGCCTGGCCTGCCATACCATGATGCACCCAGAGTCGTCGGCCGAGGCCATGATGGCACCGTCGCCAGCCAGAGCACTGATGGGATAGGAGTGGCCGGTCAGGGACTCCGAGAGAGTCACGTTGGTCCCTCGGGCCGGGACGTTGAAGATGAGAACTTGAGCTGTGGAGGTGCCTACCAACAATGACAGATAATAACAGAGGAGTCGGGTTGGCACAGTGGGAATAGCCTTGCCTCCCACTTAATTGACCCAGGTTCGAGTCCGACCTAGGCCGTAGATTGGGTTTGCAATCCCTGCCTGAGAGTTTTTATTGGAAAATCATTCTCGGGTTTCCTCCAACTGAACGTTTCTTCTGTCTTTAAGTTTCTTCTCCTAATAACATCTTAAAAGTACAAAGGACAAATACAGCAAACCCTATTTTAAAAATGCATCTAGGAACTCTAGTGGATGCAAATGAGATAGCTTAACTCAAAACAGATACTGGTCATTATGCATTTTACCAAATGGCTGTTCGTTTTCTGTGAGATCTTGCTCTGGCCAAGAAACCATGTTCTATGTTAGTTTCTTAACAATGTCTTATCTATCCACACCTTCAAACAATCATCTTCTCCGTCTTTATCCCCCAGTACCCAACTCTGCACAACCAAAATTAAACTTGTGTTGCCAGCGCTCACCTATTGCTATGTAGCTGTCATGAACCGCAGCTATTCCTCTTGCAAATGACATTCCTAAAGACAAAAATCCAAATTTGCATGAATCAGTATTCAATTCTGCTGGCAAATGTAGTACAGAAATACACACTCAAGGCAAAATTATTTTCTTGAAAGAAAAAAAATGTCATTTGTCTTAACTTACCAACGCTTGGATCGATGTGGACAAGCGCGTGCCAGAAAACTAAAGCTGAACCGTCGGGCTCATATACCTATCGCAAAAAGACAAAATAAAAAATGTTTCTCAGATTTCTCAGATTTCTCTCAGTTGCTCACATTTGTTTAAAAAGCTCCTTGAATTTTGATAAAAAAATTTTTTGCCTTTTTTATTAGAACGAAATGGTTTAGATATTTTTCCAGGGAGAAATGGGGAGGGGGAGGGACTAGGGGTACATGGGGAAGGGATGGGACACTGGAATATTGCTGAAATGAAACAAAGGTCTTAATATTTCCTGTACCTGAATTCCTCTTTGGTAGCAGAGAACGAGCAACGTCCGAGACGGTAACTGACAAAACTTAGCCTGGATCCAGGAAAGAAATGATATAAATTAGATGAACTTGTGGGAAAAAGTACTTTTATTTGCGAATCTGAACACAAAGCATTATTATTTGTATTTTTTGTAACTAAAAAAATACATAGTTTACAAAAATACATCGTATCCCTCCCCCCCCCCCCCATGGCGTTTTTGTTTCCAAGATGGCAGATAGATTCTTCCATTGTCTTTACTCTTTCGCTGATACAAAATTGTGTCCAAAAGAGCTGTCACCATTTGGACACCTTTTTTCTACATAGCTACAATTTTGTTCAAGTGGAAACAAATAAAAGCATAACATATTGACAATATTTGCAAAATAAATGGCAAATGTACAATCTTTAAAAAGGAGGCGGGTGGGAAAATGGAACGAGAAACTGGTTTAGTTTTTGGCATGACCAAAAATCCTGTTGTCTAAATTAAGTCACTTTCCCATCACTAAAATATTTTATGTACTATTCAAATTGGGGATGTATTAAAACTTAAAAAGGTCATACATTGATACGTTTTCTAAAATAAAATGAAACAGAACCTGACCAAAGACAGATAGCACAAACAAAGGCTTGGACCTATAGTAAAATCCTGTTGCCATAGTAACCATCATCCATCATGGCTGACACAGACTGACAAAGGAAATGAAGGTTTCTCTTATTTTTTTTAACTCTTATTTTTTTTAACTCAAATGCTCACAATGATTACCCCAAAATAAACCTTTTTAAGGCATATTAATCATCATCAAACCAAAACACAGGATTTTAGTGAATAATAATTTTAACCTGTAGAATCATGGTGCTCTGCGGAGTAGGCGACGGGTCTTTGCAGGCGACTTGCTTGTGGCTGACGTTTGACGTGTCGCTCGCGCAGCTCGCCATACAAACCACGGACTTGTGCACCACAGCATACGTGGTCATGTTCTTTTCTGGGCTGTTCAGGACCGTCAGATTGTTGTACAGCAGTGAAGCTGTGCCTTTCATGTGAATGGGCTTCGATTTTTGGAACATTTTGAATGCAATTTTCGAGCTGCTAGTTAGTAAAATCCTGCGGCTGCTAGCTGTGTGTGTCGGCTGCAAAAAAAAATTGACCGAGGATTGGACTTCATAAACCGCTTGGGGGCGCTAGACTTCAACAGCACTGTTTCTTAAATTTGGTACTCCCGGGATCCGCCGCATGCGCTACATGGTGAATATCCATGTCCTTGTCTTTTGTAAAAAATCATTCTAATTTTTACAAATATTCATGTATAGCGTTGTCTGGAAATAATGTAGTATCCAGACGCCACCTCAGCGGTTGTGTACACAGTATAGAGAGTCTCAGTATTTCGAAAGAAAATTGAAAATGTTTCTCAGAAACTTGGTCCCCCTTTCCATTCCAACAAGTTTTTGCAATGGCCGACCTTTATTGAGATGATGTGTGAAAAACAGTGGCGTCAGGTTGCAACATTCTTTTCTTTTCATCTTGCCTGGAGCATGCTGTGGACCAACCAGGGAGGAATGACCGGAACAAATGTTGCAACCTGACGCCACTTTTTTTTTCATATTTATCCTCGCATCTCAATGAATGTCATTCATCATGTTCATTGCAAAAATGATGATTTTAAGACATGAATCTGGGACTGAGAAACATTTTCAATTTTGTTAGGAAATACTTCGAAAATGTTCTTGACTCTCCATAGACGTTGGCCACAATTGTTCCAGCATTTGTCCAGCTCACTTAACAATAACAGGTCTATATTTTCGCAGTGGCTATCGTTACGGCAGCCGTAACGCATTTCCCATTTTCTATCGTTACGGTAGTACTGCAACTTTTATAAAAACATGAGAAGAAAATATGAAATTAGAAGGAAAAAAGTGAATTTGAACGTTATGAAATTCGGAATTTATTTCCCTTAAAAAAAAAATCCTGCAAAGCCTCAGGTTAGAAAAGGAAAAAAATTCGAGTGCAAAACTGACATGCGAACCCGCAACTTCGCAGTGCAAAATCCCACCCTCTATCGACTGAGCTGTCGCATTCCTCGCTAAAACGCGGGAAACAAATAATTATATACCTGCGTGCGTATCAAAAAAGTATCCTAGGAGGGTTAAACAACGGCTGCCGTAACAATAGCCACTTCGCTATATTTTGCCATGCCCAGGCTATCAATCAATAAAGATTATTTATTGTTGGCATACATGTAATTGTACTTTGTTGCTATGGTTACAGCAAGTGTAACGCAATTTTCAACTGATTTGCTATCATTACAACATTGCAAAAATACCATTGCAAATCTATATCATGTCTCGTAGGCTATACTGCCCATCAAGAGCTCTTGTTTTTTTGCAAAGTAGTTTCTAAATTACTTTATGAGAAAAGTGAGGTGTATTTCAAAATAGTTATTCTGGAATTCACAGGTACAAGTATCAGTACTTTCATGACCGTTCTCAGTAAATTTTTGTCTTCTGCAGTGTAGATGATGAGCTACTAATGAAAGGTCAATCAGACATCTCACTCACCATACCAGCATCTTCAACTGGAAGCACCAACTACATCATGGATTACGACACTGATAAGAGCAGGAGGCGGCGCAACGTGTGCTCCCGTGTGTGTGATCGCTACCGATACATCAAGTTCTGTCTTCGCAGTCTGACGTACAACTTCTTCACTAACCGTAATATGGTACTCGATACATGCATGGAACCTCTGTTTTGGCTTGTCAACCACATCACAAGATACATGGGACCAGTGAGTATCATGACATTCTACTTCGTAGACTTCAGATAATGTTGTAAATGTATATGAAGTTTTGGCCCATTTTTAAAATTATGGTAGCATTGCTCTAATGCAACTAAAGCGAAGGTTGAAAAAATGCATGTAGTATGGTCAAATCTTTGGTGTTTATCAAGTAGGTTTCCGTGGTATGAAACGACTGAGAATATTTCTATTCCTTCCTGGATGAGATACCAGGCCAAGGCAGGTTGCTTCCCAGCTAATGCCGGTTCCCACGTCTACTCCTGGGTGGAAAGCGGCAAATGTGTGTGTAAAATGTCTTGCCCAAGGACACAGCATATTGGCAGCAGCAGCATTCGAACCCTTGACCCTCTAATCATGAGTCCCTACCCCCTAACAACAAGGTCACTGCCACAGTGCACAAAATTTGCACAAAAATGGAAAGCTTTGACCATAGAGTTAGGATTAAAGCAACTTTACTCTTTTCCTTTGGCAGCTGATGGTCGTGCTGGTCACTATACTTTCCTCCACTGTAGTCAGCGTCGTCTACATCTGCATCTTGCCTCGCTGCCTGGAGACAGAAGCCTACGTCCAGTTCACCTTCCATCTGATCTTTGGCCATTGGCTGCTAGTGAACATCGCCTTCCACTACTACAAGGGGGTTAGGACGCCCCCTGGCTACCCGCCGCAGGTAACAAAGTCAAACCAGTGGATACAAAACTTGGGCATTTTTTTTTTGTCAGGTCTTTGAAGGAGCATTGCTTGTACACTTCTACTAGATCACAAAGAATGCAGCAATTTCTGTCAAGCTAGCTTTGTTTTATTCAAGTGGATATTTTGAGTAGGAGATAAAGAAATGTCATCATCGAGTAATACGTTTTCCCCCACTCCCAAGTTTTAGGCTGCTATTAGTAGCGCAGTGTTTGAAACAGAAGATGCTACCAATAGTGTATTAGTACATGTACGTCCATATGTGTCTGCATTCAACAACATCCCCTCCCCCTCCCGAAGTCTCCGTCGGTGTGCAGGCCCCGCCCACCCCCTTCTCAAATATTTCTTGGCATTTAATTGATTTTTCTCTTTGGATACTGGATTCCGATTTGTTGAATCCAGGGACATAATGTTTGAATGATTAAAATTGGGGGGAAAAAAACAGGAGGTTCCAGGTTTGAATCCTGTCCGAGTAAATTTGTGTATATAATTTCTTAAATGCACTCGGACAGTAACTAGCCCACAGGTAATACAGGAGAGAACAAGCTCCTTGAATAACTGTGTTTCTGATTTTCTTTTTGCCAACGTTTATCCTTTTTAGATTAGGTTCCAGGTTTGAATTCAGCCCAAGTAAACGTGTTTATTTTCTCACATGTACTTGAAAAAAAACTGCGCATTCAGATGAATAACAAAATAACAAATTCCTCAAAATTGTGTTTCTGATTTTCTTTGACCCTGTGTTGTCCCTTTTTTTTTTTTAAGATCGTGCCAGATACAGGGGTGGCGACGATTTGCAAGAAGTGTATCGCCCCAAAGCCTCCTAGAACACACCACTGCAGTATATGCAACAAGTGCATCTTAAGAATGGACCATCACTGTCGTATCCTTGGCAACAGTGTTATATGTGTTGATAGTCATTTCCAATTTACCACAGCTTACCATTAGGAAAGGGGGGTGGGGCTGTCTAGGCAAAATAAGGTTTGATCTGACACAAATTGCAACAAAATTGTTTTCTAGAATGACATACTAAAAGTCAAAATCCCAGTGGTGGAAATACGCCTTATTTCCATCAATTGTAAATACCTGTCTTGTTATATATTTGTTCCCATATTTGGGTATATTTTTAGTTATTTTTAATTTTTTTTGGAAAAGTTTATTTTGGGGATTCTACTTACACATCCTTACTTCATTAATGTTTTCTAAAATGAGGAAATAGTAACAATCCAAAATGGCTACTATTATACCCTAAAGTAGTCTTGCCAAACCTCAGCATTGATGAGCTTCAAATTCACCAAGTTGCTTACTTTAATGGAAAAAGAATACTATTTGGATTTCAGTTGATGATCGAATATTCAGCATAATAGGCACAACCCTGGTAAATTGTTTTTGAAGATGAAGCTTTGTATAACTCCTCCTTAACAGACGGCCGACACAGCTTGGATTAATAACTGCGTCGGACATTACAACTACCGCTATTTTATATTATTCTGTATCTACATGTGGACGGGTACTCTGTATGTTTGCATCTCAGCGTGGCCGCTCTTCAGTGAAGAATTCTTTGACGCTCGGGTACTAAACCTTTTTTTTCGTATTAACCCTATCCCTGTTAATTACAACACAGTTCGTAAGGTGTACAAATCTTTGCAACCTTGTCGAAATGAGTCATCAGCTTTTGCCAGTTCTCAGACAAGGGGACTTCACCCTAAAGGGGCCAGGAGGGGGGGGGGGGACGGAATCTGCCCCCCCCCCCCAACTTTTTCCGCAATAGCTTTAAAAAAATATATATTTTCGTGAACCGAGCTGTTCTAACTTTTTAGCCTCGAGCCTTGCGCATCTTTTGATACCAAAAACATAAAAATCGGACAACTGGTTGCCGCTCAGCGAACAATTATCCGGCTTTACGCGCTGAAAAAAAAAGAAATTTCCCCATATACGTAGTGTACACAGAGCAGAATTACCATTCATGCATATGAATAATTAATTAGCCATAATTCCAAAACCCTTTGACCTATAGTCATGATAAGTTGTTCTATACGAATACAATATTTTGCAACTTCACCAGATTTAAGCCTTATGTGCTAAAGTAATGGGGGCATTATTGTGTGTTCATGCAAAAACGTCATATCTCGACGAGTTACGATGTTTTGACATATTTATACATAGCCCGTTGTCTCAAGGTATGTTGATCTCATTTATTTAAAAGTTATGTTATCTAAAATCACGCGGGATAGCAAAGAGTTCAACATATTGAGCATTGTTTCTGAATAAATTATCTTCCTGAGGTTAATTTATATCTTTAAATTTAATGAAATGCAAAAATTTAGCGAGCCACCGCAAACCTATTGATGCGTTTTTCTTGAACTGACTAAAAACTGAGTTACGACATTTTGGCACTGATAGTTTGTTGTGATTACATAGAAGAGTAGTGGTTCAGGGAAGGACCACAACTGTTCGTTCATCTGTTGTTCCAGTCAATGTGGTCTGACCATTGTCACCTCATTTGTATAGGTTATTTTTACAAATCTACTGTTTTGTTACAGAAAACATTTGACAGTCTTCTAGCAGGGTCTGTGCTCTTCACAATGCTGCACTCATATAAAGTTGCTGTAAGTACCACACATAGATTTCTCTCTGGCTGTTGATCGATTCTCAGTGTCTTAACTGTCTGTTGGCTGTTATAGTGGGGCGGATAGGGGAAATATTTGGGAGAATTGTACGTTGATGATACAAGCATGGCATTTGGCACACAGATTTTTTTTGGGGGGGGGGGATTTCCCTTTGTATCCTTGGAAAACCATTGTATCATTTGGGGGAAAAATTGTGTTTCTGTAGCAGCAAAACAAGACGGATCCGTTGATGGAGCGAATCTCGGCCCTCACCGACTCGGAGTCTGCCTACCACAAGGCCGTGGTCTTTCAGTTCATCATCTGTTTCAGCGTGCTGATCGCACTGGGCGTCCTGACGGCTTGGCACATCCGTCTGATCAGCCGTGGGGAAACCAGCATAGAGAAACACATCAACGACTCGGAGAGAGCCAGATTGAAAAAGGTCAACGTGGTGAGTCCCAATGACCTTTTTATTTTGTTTTATTACAATTTTTGTTTCGTTGAGAAGTGGAGGAAACTTATTCTCTGCATGTTAAGGTAGTCCCCCCCCCCCCCCCCCCCACTCTCCCTTTCTTACCATGGTTACAAACATGTTGATCGAAGGGAACTTTTCTTTCGCTCCCCTTTTCGAAGGTCTACAAGAATCCCTACAATTTTGGTGTAAAAGAGAACTGGAGAATGCTGCTTGGACTTTATGGTGGCAGGTGAGACTCAATATCTTGATCTTATGATCTTTAATAGCAACAGTATCAAGCATTTTTATAAATTCAGAAAAAAACGAATTTAATGAGTGATAAGTAGCACAAGTGACCACTAAATTACAGATTGGTGCATGTAAGTGCATTGATATCAAACAAATGTTTTTCGGAAAGAATGTAGTATTCAGACGCCACTTTGTCTTCAAAGTCTATGAAGAGTTGAGTGCATTTTCAAAGTGTTTCCTAACAAAATTGGAAATGTTTTTTTTGTCCTTGATTCATGGCTTTTCAACAGTTTTGCAATGACTAACCTTCATATGATATAAAAAAGTGGTGTCCGAAGTTAACATTCTTTCCTACTTTTCCGGTGATTGAAATTAGATTTTCCGAGCAGAATTCTATGAACAATATGAAATATTTAAATCTAGATTTTTTATTTTGATTTCTCAACAGAACATTTTGGCTACACGTCCTTCTGCCTTCCTCTCATCCCCCGGAGCATGATGGGACACGCTGGGAATCACTTGTAACGCCTGGTTACGTATCTGCAGCATTACCATGACAACTGTACTTGATATGCATACACCATGTATATTTTGTAGTCTTTCTTGAAGTACAACATTATTTTGTATGAGAAATTTACATTATCTCTCACTAATGCTGCACTGAAGCTTGTTTTTCAATGCTTTTATATGAAGCCTTTTCAAATACATGTACCACATAGTATTGTACAATGCTGGCCTCACGTAGCGACACACATGGTGCCTCTTTTTCATCAATTTGTCATCCATTGGAAAAGAAAAATAACGGAATTTGTCACGTTCTGAGTGATGACTACAGTCAGCTACGAAGCACTGTCCTATTTTCCAGTGTTATTTATTCCTAATGTCTGAGAAATTTTAACTAGAAACTGTTTATCTAAATCGGCTATGGAAATCATATGGTAAAAATGGTGGAGGAGACTATGTTTGGATATATCAGTATTGGGGTGACCCCGCGTGACGTCACACTTCTATGCGTATTGATAGTAAACTATTGTGATAGTTAATGTTTTTATTAGTAGTTTTACGATATTTGCAACAGGCCATCGTCGTACTGCGGGTTTATTTTTTAAACTCAAATTTTTTAACATAGTTGATTTTCACAAGTATGCTGTGAGAGATTCTTTTTTTCTCGTCATCACCATGAGTTTTCTCCATATGGGTCTGTTTTCAATCTTCCAGAATAGACGTAAAAGTTTTAAGTATCTGAGCCTTTTTCCCTTCAGGTTAAGAACTGGAACCACAATATGAAAAATGTACATCTTGTTTTCAAATCATGTAAATAGGTGTCCAAAATAATAGTGCCACGTTAAATTAAATTGTTTTTGCAATTGACAAGCTAAAATCAACCAAAACAATTTTTTTTATTAGGGATACGAAACATTTTTCATTATTGGGGATAAAAGTGGTCATGCTGAAATCATGAAAACGAATTACAAAGGAAAGGTATCATATTTTTGACATTGAAAATGACGTTTGTACGCAGTATTTTTTAGTAGGAAATTGGTTGGGTTTTTTTATTGAATTATGGAACAATACAAAAAGCTTCCAAGATGGCTGTCATGTGTAAGATCCATACAAATGTCTGAAGACAGACGTGTGGTGCTTAGTTATTTCTCATTCCTAAAACAGTACTATATTATGAAGTATGCATGTACATGAAATCTTGACATCAACCATGCTAGTTTTATTTATACCTTGAATATGCTGAAGTTGCACCAAATGCACTTTTAGGGGCGGATCTAGCGTCAGGAAATGTGGGTGGGGTTGAGTAAAGGCGTGCCTTTGGTACAGACTTATTGAGGGGTCTATGGGTATGCCCCCTTACAATTTTTAGAAATCTGTGATGCTTTCTCCTGCATTTTAAGGTAATTTGAGAATAAATTGAGGACCTTGATAGCATTCTGTTTATTTTTGACCCCATTTTACTATTGTCGTAACATATCAGCGGCTGAACAGGGCGGTTCCCGAACCGAACCCCCCCCCCCCCCCAATTTATAACTGACTTTGTGCCCTAAACACGCACGCAGTGCAGATTTGTTTTGTATGCAACAGCGTATACATCATAGATAGGTAATGTTACAAGATGTATGTGCAACGCAGTGTATATGAAACTTTTTTTTACAGATCGGACATGTGGTATTTCCAGACCAATGAAATTACAGTATCGAAGACAGTTCTAAAAGCTTAGTTGTATATGTGTATTTTGAAATCGACAGTTCTTTTGGTAAACGCAAGATCTTTCATTAGGACTGAAGCCATCTTTTTATCTACTCTTTAGAAGGGAAAAAAGGCACCTGTTATTTCAGATAGAATTGGGTTTTTTTTTTTAATGTCAAGAGAAAAATCATTGTTGTAATTATTGTTGTATTAATAATATCAGGTTAGGGGATGTTGGGCTTAAATATTTTTTTTTGGGGGGGGGTCTTCAATTCTCATCTTCGCTTCACGACAGAGAAACCATCAATCAGAGAAACAAAAGTGGAAGAGAATACAAAACGGAAAGACTCTGCACGTACAATCACATACTCTACTTAATTTATGGCTGCTAATAACAAGCAGCGACAAACGACAAGCTGAAATGTGATGGGTTTCAATGTAAACTATGTGTTTTGTTTATTGACTCATTTGAAACTTATTTTTTTTACAAACACTAACAGTGAATATTATACAGTTTGATCATCTTTCAATTGCAGTTTTATTTACCCATTTCTAAAAATCTATCTTTGTTTTGACATGCAACATACTGATGTTCCTAAAGACACAATATCAGATTTTATATCAGCTACCTGAGGACAAAGTTTTTTGTATTTGATACAGAAGTAATTTGAAATTTGGCCTTCATAAGATGGAATTTGCGTCGGGTGATGTAAATCAATATTAGGACTTATTAGCCCAAAATGTCTAATGTATCTTTAAATACCGTCAAATTTGTGACGTTTTAAAATCAAGTAACATAAATGTCTAATAAAAAATGATTAAACAGGTTTAAAAATTGAAGACTACATCTTCAAAACAGGAACAAATTAAGGGGTTAAGAAAACTTTTAGCTTTGTACACAGAAGATAAATATTTTTACTTGTATGCAAATAACAATTTGTTTATAATCACTTTATCAACGTTTTTTGCAGGTTTTGTTTTATTTACACTTTTTTGGTTAAAAATACACCTGCCTTTCAGGCCAAAATGTCTGATTTTTGTAGTTGTGGCCCTATGCTAAGTTTTTTTCATAGTATTCAGTAACACTAGATAACAATTGGACTTCATATCTCGCTATCCACAGAACTCAGGATGTTTCAAAAAGCCTCATTTGCAGGCAGAAACGTGACCCAGGAAGTCTTGTATGGATGTGTGCAATTGTATGCTTGTACAGTACATGCATACTGGTTCTACATTGTATAAACACCTCAATAAAATCGGTCACTTATGGGAAAATTTTAAAAAAAAAAACAATACGATGCAACTTTTCACAGCATCAAAACAAAATAGACTATTTGTCTCTTTTTCACTTGTCGGGCTAAAATTATTTTTATTTAAAAGGTAGACCTGGTGTTGAGTCAGCTACAATTACAAAAATTACAGTCTCTGTACTAATACGAATTATAAAGAACACTTAACATCAAAACGCTAAAAAATCGGTAGACAGAGAAGTTTTACAAACTGTACACTATTTCCAAATAAAAAACAAAAACGAAGAGTTAGTGCTGGAGTAGAAAAACAGCTGCACTGACTTCATAAAATAATTTTTCTGCAAACTTGAACCAATTTAAGTTACTTTGTAAGCCTTGTTTTCATTCAACATAATTTCTTTTCATCAAAATTATTCGTTTGGAGTTTTAAAACAAATTATGAGATAAATCTGAAATACATGTACTCTGTGTTTACTTATTACTTTTTAAATATACATTTTGATGTAAAAACAAAGGGAACACACCTTGTGCACTGTAACAGTTCTTTACACAATGCTTATATTCATTGATAGCTTGAACTCTCTTTTTTTTAATTCCAAATTTTTTTGAAAGGCTCTTATGTTGCGCATCATGGCACAATATTAATCATCTACAGTGCCGTTCTATTAATACCGTGGAACTTGCACAATATAATACGCAGCCTGTTGAATATTCAGTTCTCTGCCTTGTCTTCAGAACCATGCATGTTTTTAGGCCACATATTCACTGCGCTGATCTCTCGTCACAATATTATTTTTTCATCAGCTTTTACTTTCTTCAATTTACCACTTTTTTTACCCAATAACCTCGTCCTCATTCAAAAAGCAATCATCCAGATTGAAATTATCGAATATATCTCCTCCCATCTTGGTGTCTTTCGTCACCTTTGGGTTCACGTTGTCGTCACAGGAACGGTGGAAAGAGTGGACGGACACGTCTGCGGCATAGCGTGGGTCGAGGTTAGAGGTCAGCTGAGGTGGGACGTAATACATGCCGGGGTGAAAGGTCACCTGGTTTGGAGGTTGCACAACCTGGGCCGCGTGACGCAGGGCAGCGATGAGGTCACTCGGGTTGACCTGCGGCCTGGGACCTTCGACCTCGTAGTCAGCCGGGGTCACGCTAGGGGTCAGTGTGGCATCTGGGGTGCTCCCCACAGCCTTTCCCTGTGAGATGTCTTCAGTTACTAAGTCGGAGTCTCCCGTTTGGTAGTTGCCGTTCATGTCGTCGCTTACGGTCAAATCTTTCAGCTCTGTTGTGGGCGTTTCCGGCCGGACGCTGTTGTCGGGGGTTTGGGGCCGGCTGCCCTCGTTGCTGGCAAGGTAGTCGCTGACGGCAGACGACATGGAGCTGTTAAGCTCAAGGTCCATCCTGGCGTCTTGCTCTGAAGAACCCTCTGAGGTTGCTTCTGAGGTGGTGTCGGAGAAATGCAGTTCTTTCCTGTATAAATGACCCATGAAACGTTTACATGTTAACCAAACATGTTGATTGCAGGGAATTCTGTCACATCTATAACAGTATTGCTGTAACAGTGTGCCATCATAAATACGTATCAAATTTCAGTGTCAAATTAAGAATACAACAATCACTCCGGTGCCCACCTTGCTACTCTCGCCGGTTTGTAGGTTCCCTCGGGGTCGTACTCGTGGAGTTTCACACGCCACTGGCGGATCAGGCCGTCCCAGGCGCGCCGGCTACACTTCAGGAACTTGTTGGGGGTCACAATGTGCTCGTTCTTCACCCTCTTGTACCTTGGGTGTACAGTGGCAGGGATGCAAAAAGAGTAACAAATACACAATTATACTGTAATAAAACAGTTTGTGTGTCTATACAGATTAAGAACTTTTTTTAATAGAATTAGCAGATGGGATTAGTGGCCATATTTTCTTGAACACAAGTCAGAAATGTTTCAAATGTAGTGTCCATGTAGCTGTTGTTACTAGGGCTGTGCTTGTTCGACCTGCTCCAATATTTGAATAAATTGAATAAATTAAAATTAATTTAAAAACTAACTCACTTTGGGATTTGTCGTAGGTAGTGGTCGTATCCCAGGGTGTTCTTGCCCAGTTCTATCTGTTTCTGGCGACGTACGATGACAGTCTCATCTGTTTCGTACTCCTTCTTGGGTTGGGCATTCATATTGACCTTTCTGATCGGGAGAAAGTCAAGACAAAACATCTTTAATAGATATTTATGAAACCTTGTAATTATTTACAACTAAGAAGTTTTTTTTTTACTTTTAACTTTTGCAAGCCAAACCAGTATAAGTGTTCAACTTAATACTTTAGCCATTAAAATAGCCATTACTTTTATCCTTAATTTTGTAGGTCAAATATTTTTTTGTTCTAATTCCAAAAAGATTGCAATTTTTTTACTTTTGGATGTGGACCAAGAAAGAAGAACTCTCAGAGAGAATGTTGTATCCAGACGCCACTTCTTTAGCTGTGTACAAAGTCTATGGAGAGTTGAGTGCATATTCAAAGTATTTTCTAATAAAATTGGAAATATTTCTCAGTCCAGGATTCATGTCTTTTTAACATTTTTGCAATGACTGACCTTCAATGAGATAATTTAAGATGAAAAAAAGTGGCGTCGGGAAGCAACATTCTTTCCGGACTCTCTTATTTGACCTTTGCACTTACACATTCTCCTGATCCTCGTTGCTGCCGTCGCTGGACTCAGACATGAGCAGTCGACGCTTGTAGCGCATCATGTCTCTCATGGCGCGCTCTTTGTCCTTCTCAAACTGATCAATCTGGCTGGCCCAGTCCCGGCTTGAGGACGTGCTGCTGCTGTACAGCTGGCTGCTGCCTCTGACAGGATCTGGTGTATAACTATTGGGAAGAGAAGGAATTTGGCAAGAAATTGAAAGGGTTTAGAAAGTGGTCCAAAATTATGACATGGCTATGACAAGAATTTAAAATATCAATGTAACACTGACACTAGTGACAGGCAAGAGATTGTGAACAGGTTTCAATTCCTTTGGAATATTCATAAATGTAATCATTGTCATGATTGTTTTGATTCCTGAGGTAAAACATTTTTAAACAAGAATTTTGAACAAGATGTTTAAATTTAACATTTTAAACATTTATGATTTGCATTTTCATAAGAGTAAGACAGAGAAAAAAGACGGTAAGCAAACATGGCAACGAGAAAATCAAACTTTCCATTTTTTCTTTGGCTTCAAAAAGAGAGACAACTTCAAGAGTTGATTTGAAGTGATCATCTAAAGAAGTCATTGGATTTGGAGAAAGAAATAATTGAAATATAATTATTCTAGGTATTTCATGGCTTGCTGTATTTCTGTCAATGCAACCAGCAGTGACTTGCACTTGGCATGCTTGGTTTGCAGATTGGTTTTTTTTTCATTTCTTTCATTCCTAAAAATAAAGAGCAACTAGGGCCAATGTCTCTGGATCATGATGAAGTTCTTTTCAAAAGAATGAGGTCAGACATGTCAGAGGAGTCCAAGTATATCATGACAAATTTTTACCTGGTGTTCACCTCCTTGGATCCCAAAGGTGGAAACTCTGTGCTGCTGTAAACATCCGGCTTTCTGCTTCTAGGTTCGGCTCTTCTGTCGCTTGACCAACGATGAGGTTTGCTGAAATATGAAGTTTAACTTGAAGAGTAAGACTAGAGAATACTACTTAGTCGCTTTTGTAGTTTAAGAACACTTTACCAAGTTTAAAGAGCAACATGCTCTTTCATGTGTCTTTCAAAAGTCTGTTTGATTGTCATTTGAGAAGAGCGGGACTCACAAATTTTCCGTTTGTATCACCTGATCATAAACACGACTAAAGACTTTTCCCACAGATCCTTATTATTGACTCCCTTTTTTAAAGTTAATTTCTAGTAGTTCTACTGTCTAGTATTTCTTACCTTTCTCTGTCATGTCGATATCTTGTTCTGTGACTGCCAGTTCTGTCGTTCTCCCGCGTGGAGTGGTCTCTTCTGCTACCGGCGCCATGGCGGAAATGGTCAGCAGCCATGGCAGCGCTCGACTTTTGATGAGGCGATCGCCAATTCCGAAAATCATGATCTTCGTCTTTTCTTCCCGTCTGATTCCTACTTTTCACGGACGCCATGTTATACTACGTTTACGGGATGAAACTTAGATGAATGAGAACAAAGTGTTGACCAAAGGGGGGAATATTTGGAAGCGAAGTGGTCACTTCTTCCGACGCGGACTACAAAAAAATTGGGCGAATGTTGTTTCAGATTTCGCGCGAAATTTTACGAAGCCGCACACCGAGCTCTGCGCATGAGCACTTTACAGTCGCTTCGGCGGTGATTAATGAATATTCAATTTTGTTGAACAAAGGTTGGTTTGAAAATGCCTTCTCTTTCCCTTGTACCTGATTTTTTACCATTCCTCCTGGGTAAAAGTGAAGTTGGTGGACTCAAAACTCTATTCTGTGATCGAATAGTTAAAGGTTTTGCACAAATTCATCATATATAATCATGAAAGATGCATACAAATCGAAAGAATAAATAAAAGAATTTTGTCTGGTACCTGCTATCCACAAGTGGTAAATATTAACAACTCACAAGCACCACTCATGGTGCCATACTACTAATCAGCTGGAGTTGGTTTATACCACTTAGCTAATGGGTAAAACAGTTTTAAATACTCATAATTGTTTCAAAGTACGATCAACTTTTTCCCTTTAATTTACCTACGTAATATTTTTGAGCATTTTCGTATGATTTATTATTAAAATAAATGGAAGTTTAGAAGCAAAATTCTCGAAAAATTCTTGACAATTTCGAACCATTCAAAATGTTATCCCCTTAATTCGATAGTGCGGACACAATACATTTTGTTTTGGTTCAAACTTAATGCAAGAGGCCAAAGCGGCAATTCCAAATTTCCTGCTGCGGATTCCCCTGAATTATGTTCGACGATTGAGTGTTCCTCCAGGTTTCATCTGGTTGTTTTTGGAGCTCAGATATTGAGTTTATTATGTAAGTGGTTGTTTCATCTAAAAAAATTGTTTGTAATTTTAAAATTTTCTGTGAATTTTTATAGGTTAACCGTGGTTAACATGATCATGAAATGGCATGGTTGGAAAAAAAGTTTGATCATTGATGATCACGACTGACAGTGACAAGTCAAACGCCATTCGTTTCTCTTTCAATTTGCACCCACACTTCCAGTGCACATTGCAGAACTATGGAAATGCTTTGTGATGCCTGAGTGATGGGTCGTTCTTGCAATATGCAGATAAAAAACTAGGCCTAATATATTAATAAACATGATAAATAATGCAGTACTGTGCTACACATTTGTTCAACTGGTATAACAAAGGTCTTTTAGTTTTACTTTTATTTTGTAATAATTTTCTTGTCAAGGAATAAGGTCTTATAGACTTAGTTTAATTTTATTTTGTAATAATTTTCATATACGAAGTTCACTCAACTCCCTGTGTACAAACCCTTTGAGATTGGACTGAAAAATTCTAAGTGTTTTCTAAGAAAATGCTTATATTTTCTCACTGCTCAAATTGACTTTGATGACATGAAATTGCTATCTGGGGGCTTGTTAGACCCGTGAACGTGGCTTGTAAACTACGCCACGTTCTTATGTCATTTCGAACCTGGCGAACGTGTCCCTCTGACTCCCTCCGTTACACACACTGGACGTTATTTTGCCCATGTAATAAGTACTCACATATGAAGCTGTCTTGAATTCTATTTGTACGTAAAAACTTGCATTTGACGAAAATTGAGGAAAATTCTGGCCCCGGTTCATGAAGTCCGTCTGCTACTACTAGCCTGCTAGTGCTAGCTGCCATTTTCTCCCAACTGACGCATGCGCATTGCGTTTTATTTTCGTATGATTCGATGGCTGTTTACTGTCACAGCTAAAACAGACATCGTTTTAGACAAGTTTCAAGTCCTTTCCTCTCTCACCGCACCGCACGCGGTCGGATCGCACGTGCGCCCGCGTGTGTGTGCACACGCGTACTGTACACGAAATGAGCTGAGCAGCCAATCGTCTGCGGGTTTTTTTTTCGGGGTTGCGACATGAAACAGCCGTCAATCTGTCCAAGCGACTCAGACGCGTCCGAGGGTATTTGTCAGGCTGGTCAGGTTAAAATCTAATTTCTACACGTTCGTATGGGTCTTTACTGATGGGCAAATTTCGTCGAAATTACACAGCCGAAACAATCGGACGGGCAAATTTAGATTTCTAGGTGAGTACTCAACACCCATACGGAATTATGTATGTCGGATCAATTTCGCCAGGTTCGAAATGAAACAAGAACGTGGCGTTGTATACAACGCCACGTTCACGGGTCTAGGGGCTTGTTAGTCAATACAGAAGAAAATTAGTGAACTTCGTATATGGAAATCTTTCCTAATTTTCTTGTTCCTCCACAGGCATGACCAAGACAGGCACTAGACCCGTAAGCGTGGCGTCAATAACAACGCCGCGCTCCAGCTTCGTGTAAAAACACTCAAAATTGTCACGCAGCACGTCCTTTCGCCAGTATTAATTATAGTACATGTACTACATACAAAGCTGTCTGTAAATTCGAGCGAGCATCTTTTATAGGATCTGGCATTGCCAAGAAATTTAAGAGGAAAAAACGACCTCGAAACAATAAACATATGAGCAAAACTTTTGATTTTCTGAGGTCACACACGGTACGCTGGTACTCCGAGTCAAGCATGCGCGACACGGCAGGAATGGTCCGGGTACCTGTGCAATCTTGTCCGTGGAGTGTTTCTACGCAATTCTGGAGCTTGGCTATGTATAAAGCCACGCGTTTATTATGAATGGCGTAATAATAGCCACCACGATTTGACTTAAATTCCAGATCAGGCAAAATCTGTAATTTTAGTTCAGAATATTATATGTGAACTCTCGTTCTTCTTGAATGCAATTTATTTTGGGTTTCAAAATACAAATTTTACCCAACATCACATGTTGTCAACTTTTTAATTTGTTTCTTTTTTTACAGCAATGTGACAGAGAGAGTGCGTCGAGCTTATCGATCACATGCAGCTTGTAATGGAAAAGTAATCAAACCGGTCAAAACGTCAGCGGCACTGAAGTGGCAGTTACATTATACATGTATCAAGTCTTGCAAAGCAACAGAGAAATCGTTAACAACAGCAGATCGTTACAATCAAAAAATTTGCATAGAATCTTCCCAAAAAAATTATCAGCCCGACAATGGCAGCTGACAAAACCAAAGAAGTGCTCAACCGAAAGCGGAGGAGTCTCTCCCTGCTGTTGACACAGAAGGACGAAATGCCTTTCTCGCCGATTTTCGCCAAGATGGGTGGAGCTTCGCCCATGACATCGTTAGCAATGAACATGGGTGAATTAACCTGGTAAGATATAGCCGTGTTGCCTCGTTACTCTTGTTAAAACATTGCCAGTGAGATATATGTAATACTTTGAAAAGTCGCTGTCAATATTTTTAACCAATCAAATTGTATCCATTGACTCATGTGGAATATATTACTTTTTTTTCAAGTGACAAAAAGAATGTTGCATCCTGACCCCACTTTTTTCCATCATATATTGTCTCAATGAATGTCAGTCATTGCAAAAATGTTGAAAAGACATGCATAAACTAGTCAAGAAATCTGGGACAGAGAAACATTTCCAATTTTGGTGGAAGATACTTTGAAAATGCACTCAACTCTTCATAGACTTTGTACACAACCAAAGAAGTGGTGTCGGGGTATATTCTTTCCCAGGTGACTGACAGGTTGCCTTTTCAATACAAAATTTAATTATTTCCATTTTTTATTTTAGTATTTGTACATCCAATGAAGGTCTGTTGTAAAGATAATTTTTGAATAGGTCTCTTTTAAATTTTTGAATGGGGATGAATCTAAAATCAAATCTTAAAATCATGAAGAAAATTATTGATTTTAATCTTCTTTTCACAGTGTGGGTAACACTCCCAAAAGGCGACTGTCTTTGTCCAGCACAGGAGATACACCGGTCAGTTCACGGGCCTCCTCACAGAGCTCTGATGCTGTCGGTTAGTATGGAAAAAAATGCGTATTGATTTTACTGGAACTGAAATTCCCACAATCCAGAATTTTCTGTTTCCAAATATGTATTTTTTTTTTTTTTCATTTTTGAAGTAGAGAGGTTTAGCACCATGTTGCGCAAGAAAAACATGAGCGTGAACTTGAAAAGTCTGTGTACACGTCACCGCATAAATGGCCTTCGCATTCGCGATGACATTCGCGTAGAATGTGCAGCTAAACATCCATATTATGAACCCTAAGGCCCCCCCCCCCCCCTCACTGGTGGTGTAATTACTGTACGTTTAAGAAATGTTCCTGATTTTGTCTTTAGAACATAACATGTAAGCGGCCATAGGTACGCATGAATCTTTTCATCATGCAAAAATAATTATCTATTAAATCTGGGAAAGATGTCACAAAATTTAGCACAAGCTCCGTGAGAAGTGTTTTCTTTAATGAGAATATTGTTCTTTGTTTCCAGTATTCTATTTGGACTCGCCTGCTGATGAAGAGGATTCCCCATTCCTTGATCAGTAAGTGACATTGTCCCAATGATGACATCTTTGTTGTCGAAACACATAACAAAGTCTGAGGCTTAGCCAACTGACTCCATTCGCCTGGAAACACAAGCCACTCCCACACAGCGCCTGTCATTTAAAATCTTTATCTGATCAGCCTTTTGTTGTGCCAGCAGCAGCTGGCCTTTTGTAGTAGCAAGTTGACCAGCTGTTCAGAAAAACCACCTCATTTGCATACTGCCCTAACAATTTAAAGATGGGTGCCCCTGCTATTTTCAAGTTTCACCAGGATAAGTTGCGGGGGGGGAAACAAAATGGATCCGTAACATGTTCTTTGTCTTGGGTAGTTTCCAGATTCTGAACAAATTCCTGGAATCTTCCTGATATGAGTAATCAGAATTGTATACAAACTGATAACTAAGATTCCTGGGTTAAGAAGCTAATAATCCTGCACCTACTACCCAATACAATGGGCCAATTTGGGTAAAGTTGTCCCTAGCTTAGTCCAGGATATTTGATGAAATGACTCCTGAACTGAAAAGGACGAAGGAATTCAGACCTACAGTAGACAAAGAAAATTGCTCCAAACTAAGGAAACAAAGAAAGGGAGAATCATGGAGTAGTTGGGTATCTTATTATGTGTTCGCTCGTTTAGAGTTGCTCTGTACAACAAAGTCAATTTCTTCATATGGCTTTTTTTTTCAATTGGTATGTTTTGTTTTAACTAAAAGCTCTTCATATTCTGTATTCATGGCTTCTGATAAAATATGGAAATTCAATTGGAAATATAATTTTGGGGTTGCTCTTTTGCCTCAGATGCACAACAAAAATCTGACTGAATTGTTTAACTTCACATAATTCGTAATTTGAAAAAGTAATTACACAAAAGTATTCAATAATGTAGGTGGATTTTTTCTTGTCTGATTCTATTAATTGCCTTAGAAAATAGCAATAAAAAATTCATGGTTCATTTCAATGGCTTGTCAATTGAATAAAAACTTGATACATGTAGCTAATGAATGAGGACGTCACTTACAGCCCTTGTAAATTTCTTTTTTGCGAAATCCTTTTTTCCCTTCTACTTTACAGAGGCCCCAGCGCATTCCGGCGTGTCAACTCCCAACCCAGTCCTCGGGTCACCACGAAACCACCGGTATTCTCGTTATCCAAAGAGCTCAAAGATGACCAGGGAGGACCTTGTTGCCAGACAACTGAGCCAGAGGGTGCCGATTCGCGGCGGAACCGATCGGAGACGATAATGTGGGAGGCGTGCAATGACAAGGAAAATGTGGACATCCAGGTGAATGAGCACTCGGTCGAAATCTCATCGAGTTCTGATATATTCTGATCCATTAAGAGCAACTTTGATCAAGAACTCTTGTTACCCATGGTTTGGCTATAAACCCTCCTTGAATACACGCCAGTCGACGAAAGATGGCTAATCTAGTTGACCTTTTGCACCAGCCAGGTGAAGTATGCCATGTCACTGGTTATCAATAGCTGTGCATGTATAGTGGTTCCCTAATGTGGCCCACTTTGACGTTTTCCCTGACTTTCCTCATGCAGTGTTGCCAAACTTTGTTAACAAACTTCAAAATCGTCCAGTTAAATACTGGTACTTTTACGTTAATAATACTTGCGTTTGAACCTTTGTGAGCGATTTCAGTGTCGTGAAATTTAGTCCGAAATTCAAAAACGGAGTGTCCAGAAATTAGGCACAAAATTGGCCGAGCATTCTTTAACGTGGTGCAGTTGAACAAATCTCGCTCCGAAAGTCCCAAGTTAATATTTAAGAATTTCTTTAAAGTTGATAAATTCTGAAAAACCATTATTATCTCTACTCACATACCCAACTAGATGTTTGTCAGAAAATTATTTCGTAATTTTAGGTGCATTTTTAGAGGGTTCACAGTGAACTTCGAATTAAAATTGGAAAATTACGCCAAAAATAAATTTCTCTGCTATCTTTGTAATGGGTAGGTAGACTCAAGATTTATGAACGGGAATGTATGGAGCCTGTGAAATTTCAGGTAAATGTCTGCTCCAGCAAGGCAAAAAATCAAAGTGCGCCACGTTAGGGGCCGTGCCACGTTAGGGGAAATCAATATTCAGGGGACAAGCATACTTTTGTACTAGGACACATGTTCAAGGTACATGTGTATTTTAAATATCAATTAATTAACCACAAGTCTTCGATCGTACTTTCTCATCCGTGTCTATTTGTGGCTTCTGTTTGGCATGGTTGAATCTCACTTACATGAACTACACAGTCAAAAAGAAATCATTTTTAAATGTGAAAAAGTACTTCCTGTTTAAAGGATTTTTGCAGTATAACATCAGTCACAAATACTTCTATTCTCAGTGTAACAAAAATGTAAATCAAATTAGGTTTTGCCCTTCACCGATGTTTTTTAAACACTGTATACTCAGTGTGTTACCTCCCGAGTGAAAGTTGGAAAAAATCACTCGGGTGGGACTCGAACCCACGACCTCCTGCTTTCTAGTGCAGATGTCTTACCACTCGACCACCGAGCTAACGGGATCGGTTGGCCGGTTCGAATCTGATGTACATAGCAGCGGGTACCGCATAAACTATTATAAGATGGAATTTTTGCGTCGGGGTGATACGTCGGTAGAGGGGCAAAACCTAATTTGATTTATATCACCCTGACGCAAAATTCCATCTTATAATAACAAAAATGTATTAGACTACCTTTTTAGGGTAGTGGTTATCTTTTGTAAAGAGTTTTCATGTTCCATTTCTTTTTATGAAACAGAATAAAATCTCTACCTTTCAAGCTGGCAGGCCACGTCAGATTTCCTTCATCGAGTCAGGCACGACAGACAAGGCAGGGAAAGCGAGACCAATATCTGCCCCTGCAACCCTGGTAAGGCTGTTTTGACAAATTATCCTTCATGGAAATTACTCATTGTTTATCCACTGGTGACCTGAAAAGTGGGCACACTGTGACAGATACTTGGTAGTGTATTGTGAATTACTCTTATTTTTGAAACTTTCTGGTAAAATGAGACAGAACTGGGCGGATGGTTTGCTAGAATTTGGAAATAGAAAAAAAATAGAATATAATTCTGTTTGTTGCTTTTCAAATGGACCTTCCGTTGACAACTTTGCTGTTTTAAGTTCGCATTCATCAACTTGTCAAAACAATTAAATACTGAGAAAAGGAGCTTTAAAATTTCGAATTGAAAGATGATTTTTCTTTCTAATAAAAACACTTTGGTCAATGATTTTTATACTATATTTTTTTCTAGATATGTGTATTAGTAGACATATCTAAGATTACAAATATCAATAAAACTGAAAATCAAAAACATCACATTTTTTTGCATTTTGCTCCACTACACTCTGTGCCCAGTTGCATCTCATTTTGCAAGAATGCCTCGAATCGTCTTATCGTCTCTTAAAAACCATTGCTCGTTTTCTCTTTCGTAGCTTGACCAGTCCTCGAGACCACAGACCATTGTGGTGAATTCTCCCGTCAAGCTCCAGCACAGCCGTCTGACCAGCAGCAACGATGAAGACGGAGAAGATGGCTTCACAGACATCTTCAGTGGCGACTCCAATCAAGTTAGCCTCTCAAAATATTGATGTTGCTTGTAGTAATTGAAGGTTCCTCTTCCAAAGCAGTGGGGGGAGGGAGATTAGTCCGAGCACAGACTCATAACGACAGATCGTTGATAATGATAATTTAAGGTCTGATACCGGCTAGTTCATTGATTGTCAGGTTGACCTGATTTAAATATCTAGGCGCGTACCAATAGGGTGCTGCGTTAAAGCTACAGTCCATCGTTTGTAATTTGTGCATTTTGTTCGTTTGAAGCAACAAAAGAGTTCAAAATCTAATGAAGGATACTGAGCAACTAACCTGATGAAGTTTCAGCTAAGCTTCAGCTGTACATTCCGAGAAAAACAGCATTCTAAGATCTCAATTTCAAATCAAAAGTTACTGAATCATGTTTTGAATTGTTTTGAATTGCAGCTATGCGCGGCGTCGCGCACTGATCCGACGAATTATAACAACCGTGCGCGCGTGTGCGTCGTTCCAATACTTGTGCGCGCTGCGCTGAATAACAAAATGAACTACTAATTTAAATTTTCCTACGGTGCTTCTTAAGAATCACCGTTGGAAATGCCTTCTTTTGTTGATTACTTCAAAATGACAGCTTCCCAGAAAGAATAATTTCACAGGGAGTTTAGTTCTCTTACTATCTTTCAACCAAGTTTGTTTTTCAACTGTAATTACGCCAGTTACTTTTCGGATGGCTGCAAATGATGGACTATAGCTTTAAGCGTGACGCTTGAGTCTAAGGCAATCAAACCATGGGGGAGGCGCCACAGCCAAGGCACATACATAGCAACCAATAAGATAATAGAAATGCAAGGCTGTTGCCTGTCCTCAGGTACATGTGTGTTATGAGGTCATTTTCACAATATCAGTTCCAATTAAATTTTGACCGATTCCTAAACAGTAAATATTTTTGTTCAAGAATGTTGATTCCCCAAATTCATTCTCTCAATTTAAGTTTTAAATTGATTCCCCACAGCCCACCGAATCTGGTATTTCGGACGGTCTGTGCTCCCTGATGAACGCCCCCCTCCTTGTCACCTCGCCCCCGACCCCAACCACCACGACTACCTGCTCAGAGCCACCCAGCGCCCTCCGGGACCTAGACTGCAACACCCTGGCGGACACCCCGGGCCCCAAGTGTCGCCGGGGTATCTTCAAGGTTCCCAGCCAGCCGGTGCTGCGGCGTGGGGCTTTCCTGAAGAGACCCGACAGACCGCGGGACACGCCCAGCCCCGTGCAGAGCAAGCGATACCGAAGCTGCTCCATTGCCAACACCTCGGATGTCGACAAGGAAACGATGCACATGCAGACAAATAAAGTTAGTCCATTTGTCAAGCTCAAGTGCTCTTCAGGTGTAGATCGATTAAAAATCTTGAGCTCCAGATATCTTACTGCCTACTTTAAGGTTTTCTCTTCAAATTCTTTTCCTGTTTGGACACAACATGCTATATCCTGGCATTTCCTTAAAGGGAATATACATCAGTTGCTTTTGCTGTAATTTTCAGAAATGGATGGAATTGGGGGGTTGGAAGTATATAGCAAATATAGTTACACTGACTTTTTTGAGGTTTTGGGTTCGAAAATGCTATAAAAACCAAGAAAAACCATCATTTTTCCTGTAGTCTGGTTCCCTGACTCCATATAAGAAGAAACAGAGCAGTTTACATACATTGGGGAATTATAAGGTCAGGGAACCAGTCTAGCTGGCTTGTACCCGTTCATAGGTGTGTAATCGATTGCAAACAAGTGCGATGGTCAATTGGGGCCAGTATTTGAAAAAAAAGTCAGTTTTTTCCAACACTGGTCGGCCGACCAGCGTTGGAAATTGATACAAAAATACCACTTTTCTTGAAAATGACAGTATACCAGGTGCCATGATTTTACAGGATGCTTTACACTGTCATTCACTAACAGTCCAGCAAGGTATTTCAAAATGATTTGGTAGTTTTATTTTTTGATGTTTGCAAATGTTGTATTTTCCCTTTAATGAGGTTCCTTTCTCCAGATAATGTCAGTGACTGGTCCAATATTTTTGTGTTACCCCTTGTCTGTTTTCATTGATTGCAATTTCTGTGGGTTTTTTTTTTCAAATTTTTGGAATATTTCATAAATATTGGTTGCAGGTATTTAAAAATTTGTTTAATCATGGTATTATCCTTCAAAATTGCATGCGAATATATTTGATCCTTTTAATTTGTCACAAATCCTTTCCTATTTCCTTTCTCCTTGTCTCCATTCTCACCCATCAGTCTCCAAGGGCGCGGCCGCTTAGCCGGTCCCACTCCATGGATGACAGTACAGAGTACCATGCAAGAATCGCCATGGCGCTGATGCCCAATGTGGACTACACAAAGCTTACCGGCGATCTCAAAAAGGTTGGTGTTATTCCAATGGCTTTGCTAAAACATCTGGTTCTTGTCAGAGGGCTGGCGTGTGGCCAGGATTTTCAGGGTTAATGGGCTCCGTGCGCCAACAAAAGAGGGCGCATTCTTACCACTTTTGAGAGCTCCGTGGACGGCACACACAGCGTGTGCATGCTGTACTGTACTGGTTTGCGCACTAAGTACGCACGACTTTCTGAATGCGCCAAAGCTATTAGCAACAGCGTCTTTGCGTGAGCATCAGGCGTTGTCGGCTCGTGTAAACGTTCAAACTTAATTTGCGATGGTCTCCCAGACTAATCCCCGCCCCCAATAACTTTGGATTATTCGAAATACACAGTGGATGGATCGGGCCTCCCCCAACTCTCAGTTTCTGGCTGTTGAAGGAGAATTTGTGCACGGAGGCAAAAGTCTAAGCTACTTTAAAGGTTCACTAAATGATCCCGACATTTGGGTTTCGGGGTTTTTTTTAATCGCCCTGTATTTTTCTCTTGTTAGCCGTACACCCTGCCTCTGTGCAAAGGCAAACACCAGGATTTGCAGAGCATCACGCCAGAGACGCTGTGCCAAATCTTGAGGTCAGAGGTCAGCGAGGTCAAGGAGCACTACATCTTGGATTGCCGCTACCCTTATGAATACAATGGCGGTCACATTAGGGTGAGTTTCCATAATTTGTATTTAGAAAAATTGAAAAGAAATTTCTTTGGGAGTTTTAAAAGGTCAAATGCAATGCACAACATACTGAGTAATACCCATGTGTGTTAAATAATTTAGTATGTGTTGAATTTGATGGACAAAAGATTTTGTATCCTATAATGATAAAAATTATAAATATTAAAACAAAACTGTTTTAATAAAAACAATCTGATTTATATTTGAAATTTGAAATCTGAATTTAAAGGTAGAGTAGATCATTTTCGGCCATCCAAAAAGTAACTGACAAAATTATTGTTGAAAGGCTTACTTGGTTTAAAGATAGTAATGGCACTAAACTCCCTTGTGGAATTGTTCTTTCTGGCATGCTGTCATTTAAAAGTAAACAATGAAAGAAGGCCATTTCCAACGATGCGTGCGGTTGCTATTATTCATCAGCTCAGCACATGACATTGCGTAGCTGCAATCGGCTGAATGAGAACCTGTCCCAGACACTGATAAATTTTGAATCGAAAACAACATCCTAGAATATTGGTTTCTCGAAACATACAGCATTCACACAGCTAAAACTCCATCAGGTTAGTTGTGCATTCACAGAGCTAAAACTTCATCATGTTAGTTGTGAAGCACCCGTCAATAGAATTTGAGCACTTGTGTTGCTTCAAACGAAACAAATGCTCGAATGACAAATGATATATACCCTTTTGATTTCCTCTTCATGTTAAACTGAGAATTTCATATTTTTTTTAACAGTTTTAATGTATTTCTATTTTAGGGTGCCCAAAACCTGTATACCAAAGAGCTCGTGAGTCAGTTTTTCCTGGAGAATCCCATGGAACCGCGGGACGGTCGGGTTATCATCTTCCACTGCGAGTTCTCCTCCAAGCGGGGGCCGGACCTGCTGCGCTTCCTACGTAACAAGGATCGGGAAGCCAACTGTGACCGGTACCCTGACCTCTACTACCCGGAGCTGTATATCCTGCTTGGAGGGTACAAAGCGTTTTATGAAAACGACAAGGTCTGTAACAAAAATAATCCTTTGATATTTGAGCGCTGTTCAAATTCTTCTTGTTTCTTATATTTATTGAGTTCTGAGGCCTGGGTTCTGAGGCCCGAGTTCTGAGGCCTGATCACTCTTCCAGGTGTGTGTGATCTCCAGAATTACGTAAAAAGTATGGGTGAGCATGTAAACACCGGCAATCTTGGACTAGGGACAAAAGGGTTTGGGCACAAAGGGTCCACGATTGACTGATAGTCCATGATTGAAATTCGTGTACTATACCAATGAGAGCTGATGTTAAAAAGTTAGAGTACAAAGGAATGAGGATTAGGGACAATAGGGGGTCCAGGATGGCCGGTGTTTACACAGATTGGTGGGTGTGGGTGTCTATCCATTTAAACAGCTTTTTGTGTGTTGATCCATCGATTGCAGCAATTATTCCCCCCCCCCCCCCCAAAAAAAAATTCGGTCTCTGGTCAGACCAAAGTTCCGGAATTGACGCGGGGACGCGGCTTTGGTTGTGTTTTTTTTTTTTTTTCTTCAAGCTTGGATTGTACAGACAAGGTGGGGTACTATTTTGCTTTTTTGGTGTTCTCATGTGCATTGGTGTCCTCCATAATTTGCCTTGGTGCTCTCGATCATTTGCCTTGGTGCAATTTCCCATTCCTTGGTGCTCTTTGGTAAAAAAAATTTCGGAGGTGCGGGAATAGAGGGCACTGTTGGAGCTACCGCGGGACATTTTGGGGGAAAAAAAGATTGACGCGCATGATTAAAATCAACGCACACGCTGACCAGAGACCGACTTATTTTTTTTGTTTGGACTTATATTGAAGTATATATTGTACATGTCTTTCCTCATCGTTTATGTTGAAGGAAAAATTCTCCGATGTACGAAGTGAAGGCATCATCTAAATTTGAATTATTTTGTTTTTGACTAAGATACCGTCACAATACACAGTCCATGCTTGGTCATTCTGTCTACCTGTCGCTTAATATCAGAATTGTACTCCCATCAATATTTTTCTTTCTTTCTTTCTTTCTTTCTCAGACACTGTGTGAGCCTGAGTCCTACACGCCCATGGACCACGAGGGCTACAGGAAGGAATGCCTGCACTTCAAGGCCAAGTCCAAGTCCTGGGCCGGGGAGCGCAGTCGGCTGGGTCACCGTAAAGCCTCCGTCAGCTGATGAACCTTTGCTGTAAAACTGAAGAATGCAACGGAGTCAAATTGTAAAAAAAAAAATCAAATGTTAATACTCAAAATGCAGGGACGAACTCAGAGGGGACGTTGTATCTATTTGCATACCGGGACGCAATGTGTTGCCTACAAAAGGACACCCGCTGGCAACATTAACTGATGTATTGGTTTGAGTGTTGCAACCCATTTTTTTACAATAGACCATTATCATGTTGCAGCCATCTTGATTTTTTCCATTCAAATCAACGTAACCAAAGGGAGGCCGGAAGGAAAAGTAGTCTGGTTCCTTTTTGCACAAAAAATATCATTCAGTACTGTTATTGGACACAGGGAACATGCCTGAAATGGTGGCAGCATGATAAATGTCTATTGTCTATGTGGCTGAATCTGGGCACCTGATCACAGTCTACTCAAGATGCCCCCCTTCAATGGAGTAACCATTGTGTACTCTATTGTAGAAAGCAACTGCCCCATGATGGATTATCTGAACAATAGCTAGCACAATGCATTCGCCATTGTAGGGAGCCTCCGAGACATGAATCTTGTGTATCTTAAATTATTGTCTCTTTTTCAAATTCTTGTCAATATCACACCAGAAAGGTTCTTTTTTTTTAGGGGAAGGGTCCTTTTAAAGATAAGTTTTTAAAAAAATCTACTGAACATGGCATCGACTAATTAACTTTTTGGATGCATCCTTTGTCTTGAAATCATAACTTATTTTACGCGCAGACAAATGCAAAATTTTGGGGAATATAATGAAATGTAGAAACCCTTTATCTCATCAAGCCAGATTTTAATCCCATGAAAAGACGATTACATATAATGCAATATCAATAATACTACAATATATTTATAACTGTACAGTTGACGAAATGGAACAAAACTTACAAAAAAAATATATTATGTTGCAACAAGTACTACATTTGAACTTTTATTAATGGATAAGCTTTTCACTCTGGGGAAAATGTTCCCTTTCAGTGCTGGCTATAAAACTGAAATTAGTGTGCATTAAAGAGAAAGACGTCAAATTTACTCTGCGAAAAACAGAAGTTAAATTTAACACAATTTGTATTACTTATTTTGAAAATTATGACGTGACAATTGTCTGTGTGTGGTGAGTGTTTAGCATAGTATCAATATCTCCAATCAGGTTTAAACATTTTTTTGACTTTTTTGGTTTTTAAGTTAAACATCTTTTTCTTGTGGTTAAAAGTGAAACAGTATCACACAGAATGTAGCAAATCTTGAGTTTTTATGGATTGCAGTTTTCAAACTGACAGAAACATAGAGAAAGTAAACTGAATCCCAAGAAAAAAAAAGGCCTCGACAATTGTTGAAGACTTTTTTTGTATCAAAATGAGGCTTCAAATTATGCTGTATCAAGAACCTAGCGATAAACTTAGTAAAAATATAACAACAATCAGTGATGCCTACCATTTTACTAAACGTCGCAAGTGTTTTGTTCCTTTTTCATTTAGGTTTTCGTTTAGTTTATCGTATAAAACAGTTTATTGTAAAGGTAGGCAAAGGCCAGGGTGTAGTCGTGTTGTTTTTGGGGGTTTTTTTGGCCCCAGTATTTCATTATAAAATAAAGATATATATTGAATGTAACAACTGTTTTCTGTGACTGTTTTTTCTAATCCTGTGTTAGTTATGGAGAGAGGCTAGTAGGTTTGAAATTTGAACATGATATTAATGCTGAACATGTGGATTAATCACAGTGTATTGTTTGTTTTAAACGATATTCCCTCATATTTCAGACGTGTACAGAATATTAATGTACCTCCATCAGTATCACAAATTTGTTTCATGAAAAACACATCACAGAGGATAAGCTGTGCCCATGATTGACCTAATAATAATTTTCTGAAGGTTAATTAATTGAAACAATAAAGACAATGGAGCCTAGCAACTAGCCCCGCCCCCTTTTTCCAACTACGCATGTCTTTTTGCAATAAGTCGGAGAAACGCCCAAAACGTGGAGATTCTTTGATTGGAATTGACTCAGAGAATCTCCACCTTTTGAGTCGTTTCTCCGACTTCAGTGTGCATATGTACAAGGAACAAAAAGTGTTGATTCTTATTAATGCTTCGAGGAATGATGTGAATTCGATCCATTGTTCAGTAATGGCTAAAGGCATTACTCCTGGCCCTTATTAATTGTGCGCATAACTGTACCGTTACCGGATCTTATTTTTTAACCCTTCGCATGGCTGCACAACTTTAATTCCACTCATCACTACTAGAAATACGTGGAGAGGCCCACACCCACAATCACATAGGTGGGTTGCAGTGCATACAGACTCTCTTCTTAATACATGTACCGCTCAAATCAAAATGGAGTAAATATACAAACATGTATTTTAGTGTTACAGCTAAGGAATATGCTGGATTAAAAACAATGCCATTGATGTGATCGGACGGGATTGAGGATTGTTAAACACCGACCACAAGGAAGTTTGGCGAGCAGCTCATTTTGTGGAACCTCATTGCAATCGCCCACTCAAAAGAAGACCATTAATTGAAGCTGATGACCTTGTGTTTTGGAGTACACATCGAAATCTCTCACCTATTCGCAGGGAATTGCTTCGTTTGGAAAATACATAACATCGGAATATCATCTGAGAAGTATTGATCGGTAAGTTTCTTGCGATCAACTCGTTTAACAATAATATTCAGTCGGGAAAAAAACCGTTGCAACCTGACGCCACTTCCGCGATTGTGTACAGAGTCTATGGAGATATTTGAAAGTATTTCCTAACGTGGAAAGTATTTCCTAACAAAATTGGAAATGTTTCTCTTCCCCAGATTTATGTCATCATTTTTGCAATGAATGACCTTCATTGAGATTTATATAAAGAAACAAGTGGCGTCAGGTTGCAACATTTTTTTCCAGTTTGTTATGCTGTATTCGACCTCCCCTCTCCAGTTTTGTCTCGTGTCGGAAAGCTTTGAATTTGCATAAAATACATGTCAACACAAAATTAACAATTATATTGATGCATTGAATACTTAATACAAGACCTCTACATCCACACATGGACGAACAATCAAACCATCAGCACATTAATGTTCTATAGAAAAATATACAAAAACAACACACAAAAACAGACTCTGGGTAAAGTAACACAGGCATGATATGATTTTTCTAAAACAACGCAATCCCGTAAATAGGCTGAAATTATGAAGAAAAAAGGATCCACAATTACAAAAAAAATCCTGATGTTCATCGACTGTCATTTTCAGGGTGAAATAAATTGTTCTCTTATGTTTACATAAAGTCTTAAGTGTTCGTAGTTGCCTCTTAAACGCCATTTTGGTGAAAAAAACACTAATTCTTAGATGTATAAACTCTGACCGATTGTGAGGACAAGTAATCCAACACCTCCCCGCCGAAAAAAGAGGAAAATCCCTTTTTGTGGTTCGTAATGGATTTAAGGAAAAAGCTGGCCGAGTCTGTGAAACTTTGACTCTATGAAATACGGATTCTTTGGTTGTATTGCGCATGCCTCAGTGGACATAATTAGAACAGTGACAGGTCACGTGTGGGGGCTATAGAATCCATAAGGTTAAAAGAAACCGGATTTCATAAGAGTCCAAAGTATAAGACACCGAAATATTTGCCTTATTTGATAGAATTTCAGGTTACAATGGAGCATTACCAAACAAAATATTTCTCCATGATGCAATTTAAAAAAGTTGCCTAAAAGTTGACAGCGTTTTGAAAAGGATCTTCACCAGGCTGGCATGACTAACATTTCTGACAATGATTTTACATGTATAACCTCAAAGTAATAAATCGGTCTTATATATACATATATACATAGTCAAATTTCTACTACATGTTGTACATACTGCTATTGTCTGTGCACTGTTGTACGTGTGTCGTCACAGTAAACGGAATGTGCTGTTCTTCTCAGGAATTGCGGCAAAGTGAACTCAAGTTGAAATGGCCATAACCAAAACCAAACATGACTAACATGAGAGTCAAGGACATCTATTCAAGGCCGGCTATACCCCTCGAATCATTTGATGGATACGAACCACACCGTATGGCAGATATAGCCTACTCAAAATATGTGTAAGAAATTATGTGTATCTATCAAATAGACATGTTGTAGTTTTGAGAACCCATTCATGATAGGATGTGTTACGACTAATAAAGCCCGGTTCAAACTTCCTGCGAATGCAAATGCGAAGCGAACAATCTCAATCTCAAGATCTGTGAAGACTGGAAGGCAAACTGACCGGAGACTATGAACACAACAATGTATAATGCGCGTGGATATGTGATTTAGCTTCTCTTTATCTTAACAATATGGCTAAACGGACTGGAGCTCAAACATACGTAACTCCCCTCCCCCGATCGATATCACAGCCACGAATTTTTCTCTCTTTTTCATTATTTATGAATACATTTTTTTCGGAGAATGTCTTTCGGACGTTCTCGCGATATCTTGTACAAGTCGCCCGCAGGGTGGATTGAGCGTGCACATGAGAAAAGTGCTCACGCGTGACACCGATGAAAGAAAATGCTCAACTTGATTGGACTAAAACTTTATGCAGAGTATGGATGGTTTGGTATGCATGACAAAATGAACAAAATCTGTTTCTGAGATCTGATATAGTGGCAAAATCCGTCCCCTCGACTGTAGGAAGTTAATGATGAACAGTATTGAATATGTGCGAAATCATCTGATGCGTGCTGTTTCTTTTAACTTTATCAGCACACGTCTTCGTCCTTCTGTTACATGTATATTACACGAAAATGACGTTGGGGAGGTCTTGCTTAACCACCTCCTTGACAAGATGTCTATCGATCTGAGAGCAAGTATCAATATCCAAGACCTGAAGGTTAGGAAGACCCCGGAGATGAGCAGTGAGATTCCGCACTCCTTTCAGAGTGCACGATGACAAAGAAACACAAAGCTTTATCAAACCATGCCCAGCGGGAAGGATGCTGATCAGAACTTTGACGTCATCATCATTCATATAACAGCACAGGATCATCAAATCTTGAAGGGATGGAGGAACAAGAGGAGCAATCCTGCACACTCGACCTCTCAGGTTGACACCAAGTAAGATGACCGTCTGCAATATATTGCACCCCTCAAGTGCATTCGTTAGTGTTACGATGCCATGTGGCCAGCCAATCAGATGGACGTACTCAACCTGATTGGATATACAAGGCAGGCGCCCACATCGATCATCAAGCCTCGAATTCGGACCAATGTGCAGTGATAGCCTGAGTCGATCACGGAGTGCCTCATCCATCCTCTCAAGTGTTTCCTCCAACTCAAGCAGCTCCTCATTCCCTCGTGCAGACATGTTGTACCTGACCTTTATGAACCCAGCTGAATCCTGATTGGTGGCTGGCTTTATGTTGCCATCCAGCAGAACATCCCTCAACAACGTCAACACTTCATATGATCGACAGCCGAATTCAAACTCCGTGTCGTCTAGTGGAAGTGGGACATTATGTAAGAAATATCGCAGTGCTATCAGATCCTCCTGACTGTCGCATTTCACATGGGTTGACCTGTCTATCCTAGCAGCTATTTCATGAGAATTTGACTCAAAAAACAACAAACGGACAAAACGCTTCAAATAGAGGACAGGATGTTGCTTTTGCACGTGTTCCAGGATGAGTCCGGTTGCTGGAGACCTCGACGATATACCGCACGTGAACCGAAGCAGATATTCCATTGCATGGACATTACCTGGATGAATCTGCTGCAACTTCTCATGAAACATCTCTTCGTCTGCGTGATGCAAATTGGCAAAGAAGTATGCTGCACAGTATTCTTGGACGGACTTGTGTATGAAGGTAACAATTTGCATCAACGCCAGACCACTGGTGCAACTTTCTTGTTGCAGGAAACCTAACCGACACCCGTCCTCCAAGTCCTTCTTGTCAAATTCGTCAGAGGAGAACACCAGCCTTTCCCCCTTGGGGTCTAGTAACCCGTCCAGAGCGACTCGCCCCAGTCCACGTAGGACTGAATTCATCAGCCTCACCTTGTCCTCGCCTTCATTACACCGACGACCGACAAGAACCTCAGCAAACTCTGTATAAAGCGCTGTTAATCTCTCTGGCAATTTCGATAGATTTTCCCAAACTATGCACAGCAAGAGAGTAATGATTGGAACCTGTGCCATTGTCTGTAGAGATGTGTTGGATTTCAGGTTTGATATCAGTTTTTCTGCCGAGTTGATGTTTTCAGCAAAATGCGTCAGGATGTATTTGTTTGTGGTTTCGGTTGTGAACCCCAATGTTTGAACGTGGGCGTAGTGTGGGTAGCCCTTGGTGATATACTCCACCATATGTGGCCGTGTTGTGACTAAGACAAAACTTTTTGGCAATACCCTGCCATGCAAGATATCCTGGACTCTGTACACACCTTCTTGGGAATTGAGAACATCAAGTGGAATCTCATCTAAACCGTCCAATAAGAACAATGTGTTTGCTTCGTTATCTGCAATGAGCTCTTTCAGCTGGGGCTTAGTTAGTCGGATGTTTATTGGGAAGATTTGTTCAAATATGGCATCTATGACACAACTTGAGTTCCGCATTTGCTTCAGCTTCACCAAAAACACTAGCTTGAACTTTCTAAGGCATGAAGTTAGAGAAAATTTAGTGCTAGCATTTGCAACTCTCAACAAAAGAGTCGACTTGCCAAATCCTGCCCCGCCTGAAAGAATAGCTTTAATGCCACCCACTTTTCGGATTCTGAAGAAATCTTCCCATGAACTTAAGGAAATGTTTTCAGGTTTATCTACTATCCGTTCCTCCCTGGGTAAGGACACGTGTTCTTGGGTAGTTTGTTTCCCTCGTTGAGCGAGTTGTAACTCAAAAAAGAACTCGTTGATATCGACTCTTCTGGAAGGATCCAAGGGGTGTGCAGGGATGGTGCTTGTTGTAGCCTTGTAGTGCTGATTAAGCTGCTGCTGGCAATATCTGAGATCTAAACCGGTAAAGGAGGAAATTAAGTACTCGTATATTATAGGCCCATGCCTTTTTAACATCATTGTAAACATTTTCACACACGAATCTCTTGAGAAAATCACGCCAGTTTGATGTGCTGATTACTTTTGTGCAACTCTAGATGTGTTGATACTCAGGAAAAAAAGTGGGGGTGTGGTGAAAACATCTTTGATTTGGGCGAAGACTTGGCTCTGGGGCCACCCTGTACAAAACTGTATGTATATGCTTCTGTATTTCCCCATATACATTGTAATACGTTCAGTTCAAAACGATCATCATTCCAAAGAAAGATCCACAATCTAGAGTTTGAAAAGGAATGCCTTTTTTTAACATTTTACTCAAATGTTAACACGCAAAATAATGTCTTGGAGCATTGTATATTTACCACTTCCAAGCACTTGTCCCATTCTAGCTTGGTCTTTGCCGATTGTTCTGAAAGTGAAAAGAAACACGTAATTATAGTCATACATAAATATAGGGGGTTTTTTGGTTTCATAAACACAGTCGCCGTATGGGAGTATCATCACGCAAAGTGACGAAACAAGGGCGTTTATTGGTTCAGACGAATACACTGCACCCCCAAAAAAATCTATTATTCCGCAAATTTGACACCGACGTTAACAATGGAGTCCAACAACGTAAATTCTGTAACTTAATTAAAGTATTCCTTTCAAAGAATTTAAGTGATATAATTGATTAACCGAGAACGACCGAGTAATTGGATTCCCATGGAGTGATTAGTGTTACGAACCTCTATCGGTCTAGAGCCTTTTTGCCGCCAACTTCCCATGGTCGTTTTAGCCCTGCAAGAACAAAGCAGTTATTCTGGAATCATTTTACTCGTGAGTAAATTGACACATGTAAATTAGTTTGAAGTCTATTATAAACCTTGCACTTAAGCTTATTTGAAAGATATTTCGCATTCAATTGTTTTCAATAGATTTGAAAAAGATGACTAAAATCAGAAATAACACATCTAATAAACGTCATTAAGCTGTTGTGAACCACTGATTGGCCCACGGACACTTCGTTTATAGTGTTTTGCATGCTGCCTATATCTGTCTGCACAAGACCATGGTCATACTCCTTGCGCTATTGTTCACCTAAGCATTTGAAATAAAAATTGCACCAAAACATATGAAAGTTGATGGTTCGATTCAGAAATTGGCAGGGGAATTATTTAAAAAATGAATTTGAAATTTGATGCTTCGATTCAGAAATTGACAGGGGATTGATTTAAGACATGTTATGACGTTGATATGAAAGGTTACCAAGGTCATTGTGGAACTATACAGCCGCGGAGTTTCTACAGCACTCTGTCATATTCAAGGCGATGCTTTTTGTGGCTACATGTATTTGGTGCACCGCGGACTTGTCAACATGCATCAATGATAGTGAAGTGGAGGGAAAATCTAAAACAAACTTTCTCTTTTAGCAGCGAACCTGTTCAGAAAATAATACATTTCACTCGGACAAGGCCACGCGGGAATGGAATGACAATCACAATGTCTTCCATAAAAATAGATGGTTTTGTCAGTGGCGCACACGATGAAGCTCATTTTTGAACAGGCCCTTAATGGGTTCCGTCATACTTCAAACAAACCTTTTAATTGTCTCCATACTCGCTCATAATTTGTCTTGTAAGTACATGAAATCAGATCAAATGGAAATGCAACTTTTCTGATAAAAATTAATCTTTAGGGTCTTGATAGAGTGACGTCAGACTTTGGAATGATCAAGTGACAATTTGTCAGCCGATCATCGCGTTATTTTTGACGGAACTAATTACCAATAAGGTTATTATGCATATTTTTAAATTTTTTTTTTGCCCGACATCAACTCCAGCGGTTTATATGTTCAACCACAGAGGCGCAAAAGCCGACCAAAGATTAAGATCCCTTTTTGTAGGGTTGAAAACGCCTAAAAAAATCAAGATTCTCTAAAAGAAAGAAAAATTAATTTATTGGGATAAAACGCGTACAATTTTTTTTTTATTGTGCTAATATCCGATCTTTGTGTTATTAAAGCGAGGAGCTAAATCGAAGAATTTGTTCCTTTTCAATTGATTTTTTTTGAAACGGCGTTTTGAAATAATTACTTCATTTTTTTCCTTCTCAGGAGAAGTGTTATTGGCAGCCTAGCTGAGCCGGATAGCAAATGGTAAGGGACCAGTCTTTTTTAACACATTGTGCTACAAATATGGCCTACTGAGAAAGTCAATGTTGTCGGATATAAAATGCCTTTTCTGAGTTAATTTTATTTTGAAACGAAGGAAAAAACATTGCAGCGTCATGTTGTTTTTATTCAGTATTCAACGAATGTGATACAGCATCGGAAATAAGGAGGTTTATTTTTTGTAATGGGGCAGAACACTGATTTTTTAATACCCCATCATGATCACAGAAAAATCCCCCATATTTCCAAACGCAGCCGACTTTCGCAATACGTCATTTATCGCAACGAGAATAAAGCACCGTGAATTCACCTATTGGTGTCTAGCCTGTTTTGTCGTACGTCATCGCATATCCATAGCCCTACCCAGTTAAGCCCCGCCCACTGCATTCATATTCAAATTGAAACTGACGGATTTAAAACCGTATTTGGAGTGTGAACATTGATATTCATAATTGCAATACGCGTCGTAAACAGCCCAACAAGAAAAAAACCCACATGAACCAATTCATTGGAAAGTCCTTCCACTGGCCTGACTAATGCTGTCCAAGTATTGGATTTCCATTCGAAAGTGTCAGGTAGATAACGGCTTTTTCTACAAACTTGTTGGAGAAAACGACAACAAAATGAGATTTCATCTTAATTTTATGACCTCATACTAAGCTGTTCCCTTTCCTTTAGTTCATCTTTAACAATATTGTTTGACATTTTATATTCAAATGGACTGTGAGACAAAGATATCCATTTTCCAACTCGTATGTTTTTCTATCACCCCTGGAAACTCGGTTAATTGCTGAGAACGTTTTCTCCTTTACGTAGCGTGAATTAACAGTTTTAAATACCCCTTTAGTTTATACTTTGTTCCATTTCTCACCGTATACTGAATTTGCCTGTGTCTAATCACTGTGAAAAAATAATCCTACCTACCTGGCTATGCCCGACTTCTTCCGTCTCTCCACACCAGACCAATTATGGAATCATCAAACACAATCCAACCACGCCTGTCTCAAAGGCAACATGCACCGCGTAGCAAACCAAGTTGTCCAGTTATCTGTGAGCAGTCATGAAGCTCTGGGTGTGGTTTTCTTGTAGTTGGCCTGTGCTGGGCACAAACTCACAGCTGGTCAACGAGAGCAACTAGCCTCTGGTCATTACTGTCCAGTTTAAAGGTTGGTTCGGTAATTTTCATACTTGGTAGAGTCAAACTGTTTCACTCTCCGTACGGTCCAGCATGGTGGAAGACAGAGTACTTCTTGGAACACTTCTTGTACTTATGTCCTTCCCTCCTGCAGAACTTGAACGAAACCTAAAAACTGTTGCATCGTCCCTGTTAGTTTCTTTAGCCCCATGTAAATCGGACTGAAGTTTAGACCAATTTATCATGCATATCCCTCTTCCTGCATGAAACCCTCTAGTCAAACTGTGCCGTTCCTGTTCAGTAAAAATTGCTCAATCACGGGACAGAACGGGAAATTTCTAGATTAAGTATGCCCATTGTTATGCTTATTTATCTCCTTTGTAAAAACTGTTTGTGCCCTATGGTTCTCAATTACTGGTCACTGCTTACCGGGTACCAAGCAAGAGGTACACGTTCACGAGGCCGGTGGCGGCTTGCTGAACAATACTCTCAACCACAATTTCCATTCAGCCGAATGAATGAAGGTCACATGCAGCGCACTAAAATCCCAGGGTTTATTTTTCTGGCTGAATTAACGAAGCGACAGGTACTTGACAGTGAACTTTTCTCGTGGAGTTATTTATACTCTATGCTGTGTGTCAAAGCGCCCTCACTCGGGCACTGAGCTGAAACATCTCTTCCCTGACACTCGTACGATTATCCCATCCCTCCCAGTCTACATAAATCATTTTACAGCTTTGACTACGGATTTCGTTTCCGGTGCCACACATAATCTGGACGAAGTCATGAACTTGTTGGATTTCAAAGTTGGATGACACTGATTATTTATTAAGTATTTACTTTAAGTATACAAAGGTTAAGGGTGCAAGGGATCGACTCCTAGATTCCAAAGCGGGCTGGGGTCGGATTCTCTAGTTGAAGGGAAATTATAAAAGTTAAAAATATAAAATTAAGACAGCAGATTCTCAAATTTTTCTTCGATTGGATTTTTATTTTATTCAAGTCTAAAGTCCACGTAATTGTTGTTACTTAGTACGACAGGATAAAGGTGGTCATATTAGAATGATGTACAAGGTGTCAATTTTATCCTGACACGAGAAAGAGTATTTAAAGGATATTTTATCGTTTACATAGTAAATGAAAAACTAAAGTAGAAAGCAACATTCTTTGGAAAAATTTAAACCATGAAAGCAATATCGTACATTTCTATGCTTTCTTAATCACTAAATATTGTTCATAATTAACAATCCTTCGATTTCTTACATTGTTTTCGTAGGCTTTTAAACTACAAAAACAATGTTTCAAATGCAATAACCTTTGAGGTTCCAAAATGCATTAAAAAATGTGATACTTCTAAACAATATTTTTGGAACATATTCACTGAAGCTGTTTCTGATCATATTGCAAAAACAATACACATTTATCGGAGTACTGACATTGAATTTTAAAATGAAGCAAATGTGAGTCAGTTCTGGCAATTGTGTTGAAACAAATCAGTGTTTTGAATGACAGGTTACAGGTTGGAATACGGTCGTAATGGAAGTTTCTTAAAGCCTTTCATTCTATTTCCTTATTCAGTTTCCACCGAATGATTGTCAACTGCAATCGTTGTTTCTTCCAGACTCAATTTGTATGAAGCTGTCATATCTCTGAAATTTATCAAAATATCGCCTTACTAGGATTCATTCGGTTTTTCTGAATTTGAATTGATGTGAACAAGCCATAACAACTTTAAGCAAAATCAATTTTAAATAACGCCTCTGTAAAATCAAATAAAATCCCATTGTAATCCACAATGGCAGATAAAAGGGCCAAAGACACATCAAAGAGCAGTACACATCAATTCAATACAAACATATCAATGTTAAATAACTAAATCCCCATCGCTACATGTTCAGGTAAAATGTCCCACCTCCCCCTCACCATTTTGTCTCGTGTCAGACAGGTTGGAATTTGCATAAAATACATGTTGACACAAATGTTACAATACTATTGATGAAATGAAATTATGAAAACTTATAACAAAGCGTCTGTACCCATACATAAACATCAAATCGCCGGCACAGATGATCCATGGAAAAATGTACCAAAAAAAACAGACGAAAAACAGAATCTGGGTAAAGCAAAGACATGATATGAGGTTAACTAAAACAACACAAACCTCGTAATCGATTTGAATTATGAAGAAAAAAGTATCCACGATTTTAAAGCAAACAAAAAATTGCAAACTCCTGTTCTTCATCGATTGTTATTTTCAGGATGAAATAATCTGCTCTCCTTTGTTTACATATTGTCTTAAATGTTCGCAGTCCATGCATCGAAACACCTTTTTGAAGAAAACCAATTCACAAACTTACATTTCAACGATCATTCAAATCTTTATATCTTACTTGGGCATCTGAGTCAAGTGTACCTAAAGATATATGTTCTCTTTGCATTAACTACACTCTAAAAACAACTTACTGACTCAAAATACTGACTGGTTTCCCTAGTTATTGAAAATTGACTAGGAATTTAGTTAAACATGCAAAGTTTCATACTATGACTAGAAAAAGTAATTGGGTTCGACTCCAATTTCAGTTATTTGCACAACTATTTTTCCGAAGTCGATAATATGACTGGAAAAACCTAGTCAGATTGACTGATTTTCAGTTGCACCCAGCTGACCATGAATGGCTAGTCAAATTTAACTGGTTTCTAGTCAAATCTGAGAAGTGCTTTTTTAGAGTGTATTGATTTGCAATTTGCAGGATTTCACATAATCGTTAACAACTGATTCGGGACAGTGCTGAAAAACAGTTCTTCACAAATCTTTCATAAAAAATGCCAAAAAGTTAGTTGAAATATTCCCTTTAAGTAGAGAGAGTTTGTCAGATTACAACATGATCTTAAACATTACAACAAGAGAGTGCATACTTGATAACAATTAATGCAGCTTCATAAAAGAGGACAAGAGGAGCTTTAACACTCTTTAGCCAATTTCTCATAGAATTTACGATTATAACATACACTTCAAAAAATAATCATGAAAAAAAATTGAACACCAATTGAAAACCAAAAACTCTTTGGTTTTCAACTCTAACAACATATTCATTCATTTGAAGTACAAAGACTGAACGATTGTGAGCTCAAAGATTCCACACCACCCGGAAAAAAATTCCCTTTCTGCGGTGCATAATGGACTTAAGGGAATAGCTGAGTGGTTCTGTGAAATTTGGACTCTCATGAAATAAGACTCTTTGGTTGTACTGCGCATGCCTCGGTGAACATTATTAGGACAGTGACAGGTCACGTGTGGGGTTACAATCCATATAAGGTAAAAGAGATCAGATTTCATAAGAGTCCCAATTTCATATGACACCGGAATATCTGCCTGGTTTGATAGAATTTCAGGTTACGCTGGAACATTACCTAATGAAATATTTCCTCTTGATTGAGAAAACAAAAGTGTATAAAACTGACATCATTTAGAAAAGTATCTTTACCAGGCTGGCTCGAATATACAAAATAACCATTACAATTAAAACCTCAACTTACCAGTAATAAACTGGTCTAATTCTGACACACTGCTAATGTTAACTGTACATTGTTCACCGAAATGACGTGAGTCAGACGTAAACGCGCATGTCACTCACTGTTCTTCTCAGGAATTGGCAAAGTGAACTCAATTTCTAATATACATGACCAAATCCAAACTTGACTGTCTGTTTCACCATCATAGAGTCAAGGATATCTATTCAACGGACGGCTTTCGACACCTTTCTCACTTGGCGTCTATACGAACCACACATGGCAGATATAGCAAATGTACTCAACGTGTGTAAGAAATTACAAGGAAATGTGTTCAGTTATAAAGACCTGTTGTATTTTGAGAACAAAGAATTTCATAGGATGTGTTTCGAGTATTTTTGAACATTACTATTGCTTCCATGTCAATCTCCAGATCTGTGAAGATTATGGGGCAAACTAACTGGAGACTATGAACTCTACAATGTATAGGCTGTATGCGCGTGGATGTGTTTCAGCTGTTCTTTAACTTTAACAATGTGGCTAAACCGGCTGGGGCTGAAACATACGCAAGCCCTATACGTCTAATTGTAAATCCACCGCCAACTTTTTTTTGTTTTCTTTCATTATTCAGCCGAGCAATACACGGGGTTTTTCGGCGCTTGTCTTTTGGATGATATATATTTCAGACAAGTACTGTTCTCGCGATATCTTGTACAAGTTCGGCGCATGAAGGATTGAGCATGCACATGAGAAAAGTGCTTACTCATAAAACCGATTAAAGAAAATACCCGACTTGATTGGACTAAAACTTTATAGTGCAGAGTATGAATGATTTGATATTCATAACGTATTTCAACAAAATCTGTCCTGGGTCTGATATAGTGGCGGATTCCGTTCCCTCGATTGTAAAGGAAGATACATTGTTGCATTCAATACTGTGCATCATTGTATGTGTGAAATCATCTGATACTGCTGTTTCTTTTCACTTTATTAGCGCACGTCTCGTCCTTCTGTTATATTAAAAGAAAAGGACATCTGGGAGGTCTTGCTGAACCACCTGCGTGACAAGATGCCTATCGAGCCGAGAGCCAGTAACAATATCCAAGAAATGAAGGTTAGGAAGACCCCGGAGATGAGCAGTGAGATTCCGCACTCCATTCAATGTGCAAGATGGCAAATCAACACGAAGCGTTATCAAACCATGCCCGGCAGGGAGGATGCTGATCAGGTCTTTCACATCATCATCATTTAGATCATCCATCAAGATCATCAAATGCTGAAGGGATGGAGGAACAAGAGGAGCAAGCCTGCGCATTCGACCTCTCAGGTTGACACCAACTAAGACGATCGTCCGCAATCTATTACACCCCTCAAGTGCATTCGTTAGTGTTACGATGCCATTTGACCCGTCACTGATGACACGCTCAACCTGATTCGATATGCAAGGCAGGCGCCCACATCTATCATCAAGCCTCGAATCCGAACCAATGCGCAGTGATAGCCTGAGTCGATCACGGAGTGCCTCTTTCATCCTCTCAAGTGTTTCCTCCAACTGAAGCAGCTCCTCATTCCCTCCTTCATACATGTTGTACTTGACCTTTATGAATCCAGTTGAATCCTGATTGGTGGCTGGCTTTATGTTGCCATCCAGCAGAATATCCCTCAACGACGTCATTGCTTCATATGATCGACAGACGAATTCAAACTCCGTGTCGTCTAGTGGCAATGGGACATTCTGTAAGAAGTATCGCAATGCTATCAGATCCTCCCGACTCTCGCACTTCACATGGGTTGGTCGGTCTAGCCTAGCCGATTCGTGAGAATTGGACTCAAAAACCAGCAAACGCGTCAAACTTTGCAAACTGAGGACTTCCTCCTCATC